ATCGCCAACGAGACGTCAGACGCTGTTTGCATCGCCCGTCACACGCAAATCGGTACGGTCGGCGAGTCCGATTATCTCACTGCCTTTGAGGCTTCCCCCGACCTCGCAGATTTCGCCCGTGCCGAAGACGCCGACGTCTCTGAAGATAGTTTCGTGCCGATCACGGAAATCGAGCCCACCGATTATCATAAGTGTGTCGCCCGCGACCTCGCCGATGCCTACGCCATGGCATCCTCCTTGGCTGCCGAGACAGCAGCAGCAGAGCCGAAGCTCGGATTGTCTGAGATGACTAAGGTCTTGCCGAATGGTGTCACCGTGTACGACGACCCCGATGACTCGTGCGCTCCCGAGCTCGAAAAGGTCATCGTTCTGTATGACGTATGGGCCAATGAAGACGGAAGCAATGTCACTGTGGCTAACGTCCCTGAGTCCGAGTGGATGGAAGTCCCTATGCAGACCGGCTGGGAACGCCGTATCCCCAAGCCAAAGGTCTATCGGAGTGGTCCGCAAGACCGAGCCGTCATTGACAAGACGTTCGACTCGCTTCAAAAGCAAGGAAAGCTTCAGCCCACGCGTTCGCACACGCCAGCCGGATGGCCGGTGTTTGTCGTCTGGAAAGACGTGGTCGACCCCATCACCGGAAAGCACGAGCGGAAAGGCAGAGTGGTAATAGACCTCCGTGGTGCTAATAAGGAGGCCATCCCCGACGTCTATCCTGTGCCAAGACAGGAAGACATTCTCAATCTTGTCCGACACTGTCGATATATTACAGTCCTTGACGCGACGAAGTTCTTTTATCAATGGATGGTTCGGAAAGACCATCGCGGACGCCTCGCTGTCATTAGTCATCGAGGTCAGGAAGTCTTCAACGTGGCTATCATGGGGTTCTTGAACAGCGTGCCGTATGTCCAACGGCGCATGGATTTGTTGTTTAAGGACATCGGAGCATTCTGCAAGGCGTACATTGACGACATCGTGATTGCGTCCCTGACACTTGCTGAGCACATCGAACATCTTCATATTGTACTTGGTCGTCTCCAGGATGCGAACATTAAGATCGAGCCTAAGAAAGCCTTCGTCGGTTTTCCGTCGGTTCAATTGTTGGGGCTACGTGTCGACGCCCTAGGGCTGATCACGACTGACGCCAAGCTCGAAGCGCTCAGGTCTCTGGTCTTTCCCGAAACCCTCGCCGATCTTGAGCACTATCTCGGTGTCGCCGGTTGTTTCCGACATCGGATTGAGCATTTCGCCCAGAAAGCTCGACCGCTCCAAGACCGCAAGACGTTGATGCTCCGTGGAGGTCCTACCAAAGGACACCAGCGCAAGACGTTCGCCGCCAGTTCCCGCATCGACCCAACCGAGGATGAGTTGGAGTCGTTCCGCGTCTTACAGTCCGACCTGACGAGTGCAACTGTCCTTGTGCACTTCGACCCTGATGAGCAAGCCTATGTCGACCTCGACGCGAGCCGAAAGGGTCATGGTGTTATGATGTATCATGCCCCTGGACACGAGCTTCCCAGGGACGGAAAGCCCGTTCCTCCACCCCGCACGAAGGTCAAACCGGTCCTGTTCTTGAGCCGTCTGCTTAAGCCAGCCGAGACACGGTACTGGCCTACGGAACTCGAGGTCTCTTGTCTGGTTTGGACGCTGCACAAGATCAGACACATGGTCGAGTCAGCGACGAAGCCCGTCATCGTGTTTACGGACCATGCGTCCACGGTTGGTCTTTCCACGCAAGGCTCCCTTAACACCGTGGCTGTTGAGAAGCTCAATTTGCGTCTTGTCCGAGCGAGTCAGTACATCCAGCAGTTTCGTCTCCGCGTCTGCCATCGCCCCGGTATAACCAATGTCGTGGCGGACGGTTTGTCTCGATTGCCTCGCAAGGGCGGCAACCCTTCCCAGGATGACGTCGATCTCGACACGGAAACTGCGTTCCTGTCTGCTTTCCCTGCGGAAATCGACAATGGCGTCATTGTATCCCTGCATTTGTCCGAGGACTTCAAGGCTCGCGTACGCCAAGGATACGCGGATGATGCCCGCGCATCCGAGATCCTCACCGTTCTGCGATCCAATCGGGATTCCGACAACCCGGCGATCCTTCCTTACACCGAAGACGACGGCCTCCTTTATATGATCAAGCACGTCGTCCATCCTGGCGGCCGGAATGACGCCAACGTTATTACGGAAGAGCCTTGGCTATACGTGCCCCGCAGTCTCGCAAAAGACGTCTTCCTCATGGTACACGACGAACAACACCACCAAGGCTTCGAGAAATGCCTCGCCGCGCTCGACGGCATCGTCATGTACAAGGGAAGGAAGCTCCTACGCGAATACCTGTCTCACTGCGAATCCTGCCTACTGAACAAGGTCCCGCGACATCGACCGTACGGAGACTTGCAACCCATCGTCCCGCCTTCCGTCCCGTTCCATACCATTACCATGGATTTCGTCACTGACTTGCCGGATGCCGGCACTGAGCGTTTCAATTTCCTCCTTGTCCTCGTTGATAAATTCACAAAACGAGTCGGTTTGGCCCCAGGGAAAGCGACCTGGACTGCCCAAGAGTGGGGTTCATGCCTCCTCCGATACCTTCAAGGACATGATTGGGGAATGCCGAACACCTTCATCACTGACCGCGATCCGTTGTTCACGTCCGATTTTATGAAAGGACTCCATCAGGGTTTGCAGTCCGCATGGCACTTCGCCACGGCATACCATCCTCAGACGGACGGACAGACAGAGCGCACTATCCAGACAATCGAAATCATGATACGCCACACGACGTGCAAGACGAACGGTACCGAATGGCTCGCATTGCTTCCCTCTGTCGTCGCCTGCATCAATGGCTCCGTCCATGCGTCCACCGGACAGACACCACACATGCTCATGTACGGCATCGAGCTCCGACAGCCGTGGCACCTGTTGAAGACGCTTCCGGGTAATCCGTATCCGCGTCAGGACTTCGCGTCTCCAAGGATCGACGCCGAGGACGCCGTCAAATACGCCGCCATGCATCACAAGCACATGTATGATCGGAATCACCGACCCGTCACATTTGACGTCGACGACGAAGTCCTGCTTCGGCTGCACCGAGGATACAACCTTCCATTGTCCCGAAAACTCCCCCGCAAGCTGCAGTCACGTTTCTCGGGTCCGCATCGCGTCCTGGAACGCGTCGGGCGTGCCGCCTACCGCCTGAACTTCCCCCCTGCGTGGAAAGTCCACCCGGTCGTCTCGGTAGCACAGCTCGAGAAATACATGCCCGGCATTGACCCTTTCGGTCGCCGCCGCGAACCCCCTCGCCCTGTCGAAGAAGACGGACTCGAGGACCACTACGAAATCGACCGCATCCTCGACAAGCGTATTACGAGACACGGCCGGGGACCCCTTCACGCCGAGTACCTTATTCGATACGTCGACCTCGGCCCGGAACATGATGAATGGGTATGCGAAGCGCACATCAACGCCGACGAGATGATCGCTGCATTCGAGCGCGACAATGTGGACTAACGCGGGTTTCCCGTCTTTCGTATACTGCATTTGTACCCTGTCATCTTACCTCTACATGACGAGGACGTCATTAATTTTGAACCCCCCACTGTCATGTGCCTTCCTCATCCGATGTATGTAATTACGCCTTTGGCGTTACCGTCTCCCGTAGCTATATAGATATAGGCAGCTCGGATCCCCCGATCCTCAATGAAACCAGCTTCTTCATCCAACTCGTGTCATACACAGCTTTCCCTTCCTCCCAGGAAGGATGACAAGAAAGGATTATATTATACAAGGCTGAGAGGGGCTATGTGTAGAGCGGCTGTAATTATAGTAAAAGATTTTATAATATATTTTATACAGCACGATTTTTTGCAATTCACCTGATATAGGATATGAATTAAATGTTCAAGGTTCAGTGTAATACTTGTGATATCTGGATTGAATTCTGGAACCGACATATTGCTGACCTCGATTTTGTCAAATGTTGTGTAAACAGCCGGTCAGGATGTAGGAAATAGACCAGTCTATCAAATAGGAAGAGGGGACATTTTTTCTGACCCAGCAAGGCTGAAACCACTATTTGTATGAAAGATTGATACTATTCTCCTGTTAAGCAAACATCCAAATATTATTGGATTCGCTGTGTCCTTAAAACATATACCTAAATCATGTCTGGATGAATGGCTTGGCTCCAATTTCTGATTTAAAATGTTTGACCATCGATACATTATCTTGTTGACTCCAAATCTTTATAAAGGATTGAGGTAGGGCGATTTTTGCGTCAAGTTTATGGGGTTTCTAAGCTGTCTCTTTAATTCACGTTCTTTATTGCCGGGATGGGGGAATAGGATTGATTACGTGGCAGCTAGACCTAAAGTAGATAATCTCGAGTCAGTTTTGTGGCTTAGCAATTCCAGCACACTATTACAAACCAATCATCATTGCTACACAGAATTGAAGTGGATAACAAAGTTTCAACGGGTGAGATTGCTGAACGTTGCGCGACCGGGTGATTACTCACCCATTCTTAAAAGTTACTTACCCTAAGTCACCCCCGGTCGTGCGACCGTAAAGCGGCCTCACCCGCTAGCTCACCCGAGCGGCACCCACCCGCCTTCTGGCCGCGTTCAAGCCACACGCCGGGAGGTTAGTAGTTGGGTGGGTGACCACCAGCGAATCCCTTCTGTTGTATGTCTTTTTTATTGGATTTTACTCATATCTGCCGGACTGGTATATCTTCTTCGCCTTATCCCAGCTTTGGATGGTAGTACTGAAAGGCCGGATATGGGATTGTAGATAGTATCGAATCACGCGGATTGTGTTACAGTCAAATGCTGATTATGCTGAACAAGCTTAAGCTCGAGTTACCCGACTACTCAACGTGCACTTGAGAGCTATGTATACTCAAGGATCAGGCAGCCAATCGAAGATAAACCCAGGCACAATCGAGTCGACTACATAACTCGTTATAAAAACCTTGCTCGGCCATCTTTAATTATAGACCAGGGCAATGGCAAGCTCGTAGCTAATCTGTCATCAGGTAACCCGGAATCATCTTCCGCCCTTTGCCCCCCACCCAAACACACAACCACACACACCCACACACTCACCGCAGAAAGACTGAGACCGAAACAGAGACAGAAAGGTGATTCATGGGCTCCCGTCCGAGGACTGGGAGCCTGGGGTCACCCAGTCCACAGGGTGTACCGGGGAAAGCGAGCGGACCGGGGTGAGAGGGGCGACCGCTAACAAAGCTCTCATATCAGAATCATTTTCGCCCTTACTCGTTGGAGTAGGAAGACTTACCATTGGAAGGCTTGGGGTCGGGCCCTTGTCGGGCCATCCAGGCGTCTGCACTGCTGGTGGGAGTATAGGGCCGTATGTAAAACGCCGGTGGGTGGCTTCAGAATTCACATACATCAGATTCAAATAAGCATCCTCCTTAGCACGATATACACACGAGTGGCGGAGGCATAGAATGGAAACCACAATGATCCAGACCCAGAATCCAACGACGCAGGCAAGGATGAAGGCGCCAGTCATGGCCGATGGCGAGATGTCGAGGACCCCGAAGGCGGCGGAGACGGCATCGGAGACGGCGGCGGCGGGGAGGGATGAAGCGATGGCGTTTGAAGACATTTTGTCAAAGTTCGTGTGATATCGAAGGGTGACAGATTGAGAGATGATGTTTGTCCTACAATGGACCACGGGAGCTACGGCTGCAGTCTATATACTGAATTCTATCTGAGGTTCTGGGAAAGAGCAGACTGGACGTTTCTTACCTATAAAGGAAAGAGCGGCTGCACACAGAGTAGGTCGCGAATGGAAGGCGTGGAAAACATCCTACACGCGAACTGAGTAAGAGGTGGAAGGAACAGCCTGGCTAAGGCTATCACGCCTGGCTTGGGGCATTCTCGCGGTCGCAGATGAGATTGTCGGAGGAGTGATTGCCATGGAAGAATCTTTGGGGTAGCTGTTAACCTGCCCACGGCGCTGCTTAGTGTGTTCGGTCAGGAACTCTTTCAGCTACAATACCGACCGTGATAGTGGGTAGGTAGAATCCACCTGAGTTGAAAAATGAGAACAAACTTGATCGTCTTTAGCATTCTCGCATTGCGCATGAGCAGATGGAATCGCGAGTATAGGATACAACTTTGCGAAACTACCCTCATGAGCCTATCTGTCTTATGACTTCAGCAAGGTTTTCAGCTGGCTCTACAATTATATTCACATTAACGTGATCGGTAAGCGAGTGGCCCATGTAGGCGAGTGGCCCAACTCTGTATTCCATATAAAAGAACCACTATTTAAAGCCAAATATCTCAACAACTATAATACCTAAGAATCTAAGATTTTAATATATAGTAAATAAGTATATTCTTTATACATAAAGTTTTTTCTAGAGACTAAAAATCAATATTTCTTGAGATATTTAGAATTTACTTTAAATTACAAAGATTACAAAAAATACATATGTATTTAGGTAATTAAAGTAATTATATATTATTCTTAAGTAGTATTAGATAATTATAATAGTCTGAAACTTAACTCTAATGTTATAAAAGATATTTATTAGATATGGTTGAGATATTCAGCTTATAAAAATAGGTATTTTCTATGGAATACGGAGTTGGGCCACTCGCCTACATGGGCCACTCGCTTACCGATCACGTTATCCAGAAGGGATAATGACTAAGCATACCATTTAAACTTAGACTACTGACAGGCGTTTTTGACCTAAGTGAATCAAGACCAAGCAATAGCTGGCTTAGTGGGACACTCAATAACCATAAACATACTTCTGCTGCTACCGGCAGTCCAGAAAGAAACATACTATAACATCCCCCTGTCCTTTCATCGTCACCCATTCAATTACCCAGTCACCCAAATGTATAGTTCAGTTCAGAGATCCAAGGCCTGTTGATGGAGGCCAAATTTGGTTTTGCTTATATAGGCCAAAAAGTGCACGCGACAGAGAAACTGAACCCAGCCCAGAAAGCATGCGGGAGAACTGGCGTGGCTATATTTTTCTCTCCATTACGCTCAAGAAATCTTTAGTCTTCAATATCGACTCGGAGCAACCCAGAATAAACGGATAAGTAGGTAGAACTTAAGAGGCTTATCACAGTCTACATTCAACTCTCAGTTGCGGGGAAGCCTTTTGTTCTTGGCTTGTTTGCACCTAGACCCCCACGGCATTATCCACGGGAGCGGCGCTGGAGCAGGCCTAGCTCGTGCGACTTCGCTTACATTTGTGGAGACAAGGGTATAGCTGCCTCTGGGGCAGCTAGGATAGTTCTGCTGATATCAATAATCAGCCCAACCTGGTCTTCTCGAACTCGAACACGTGGGTGGGTCAATGCGATATAGTATCTAGGAAAATCTAGGCATATGCTCGCCAGCTCGGCTAATTGCCTCGGTGGGAGAGCTTGGCGTCTTTGGTCTGCCTGGTACCAAAAGCTTCTAAGCGAGGTGATGATACTATCCAATTATATCCCTTGTCTACTCATCGTGGTATGCTCTCTGCTACTCCTGGCGATGAATTCCAATTAGTAGTATAGAGATTTAGTTGGAGTAATGCTGCCCTTTTAGCAAGCCCTTCTTCATTATATAAACTGCATCATAAGTCTCCAGTAGAATTCCTTACTACCTATCCTTTTCCAGATTCTATCTGTGAACCAGTCAAAATGCCTAGCTTTTTGAAGGCCTTTCACATGAAATCGTTGCTTATACGGGCGCTGACGCTGAATCTACCTCCCTACCCCGAGAGTCCAATTCCTTCCGGGCCCTCACTATCAGATATCGCGACTGCTGCTGCAACAGCTGTGCCCGAGGCGCCCGTCTCTAATGTCCAGGGCCTCGCCTTCGACCGCTTCTACCAACTATGGATGGAGAACACAGTAAATAATCCCTTCAAGCATTATCAGACGAATTCTAATAACTGCCTAGAATTATGGCGACGCAGCAGCCGATGAAAACATGCAATGGCTCGCATCTCAGGGCATCCTACTAACAAACTACTACGGCGTCACACATCCCTCTATGCCCAACTACTGCGCCTCTGTCGGTGGTGACACCTGGGGAATGGACCATGACAACTTCGTCCAGATGCCATCCAACATCTCCACCATTGTTGATCTACTTGACACCAAGGGTATTTCGTGGGGCGAGTATCAAGAACACCTACCCTACGCCGGGTTCCAGGGGTTCAACTTCTCCAATCAGGACACGCAGACAGATGACTACGTCCGGAGACATAACCCCCTCGTTCTGTTTGATTCCGTGGCGAAGAATGACACTCGCGCCCGTCAGATCAAGAACTTCACCAGCTTCGAGATTGACATGAGCAACAAGAAATTGCCACAGTGGGCTTTTATCACGCCAAACGTGACCAACGATGCGCATGACACGAATATCACCTTTGGCGCGAAGTGGGAGCGGTCCTGGGTCGCGGGGCTCCTTAACAATGAATATTTCATGAATAACACGCTCCTTCTCCTTACCTTTGATGAAGACAGCTACGTTGAGAACAATAAAGTCTTTAGCGTACTCCTCGGCGGCGCACTCCCCGAGCAACTAAAGGGAACAACAGACGACACATTCTACACCCACTACTCGAGCATCGCAACCGTTTCTGCAAATTGGGGGCTTCCCTCTTTAGGAAGATGGGACTGCGGCGCTAATATCTTTGAGATTGTCGCTAACAAGACCGGATACGTGAACTATGAGGTGGACACTACCAACTTACGTCTGAACGAGACATATCCCGGTCCTGAAGCGATTGGTTGGATTGGAAAGTACTCGCCCGTCTGGCCTATCCCTGTCACCAATGCTCAGTGCTCAGCTGGTCATGGTGTTTTGGGTTCTGTGCAGACTTTGTTTGGAGATTCCAAGCCAACGTACAACTATACCAGTCCCTATCCATGGGATGCGAAGAATGGGTATAATGACGATGTCACTGCAACACGTCCATCTAATGCCACATTTACCAATTCAACATTGGGAAATGGAGATCACACACTACATACTGGCGCTGCTATGGCTGGCGCTTCTCCCAGTCCTGCGATCATTATCTTGGCTCTGGCGGGCATCCTCCCCTGGCTTCGAATTTGAGCTGGCTGTCACGGCAGGTTCGCTGGCCTGCGTCATCTGTCCCATGGCCTTCCATGAAGCACTGTTTGTTGTTCATAAAAGATCAGACCTCGTGTAATTTGTTTAAGATTACACAAGCTCTCTAACACAGCTAGCGCCTCCTTAAAGTAGCTACTCTACCTTTTGGAAAATATCTACTCCTAGTATAAATAATATTTAGGAAAGTTTATTACTCCTAGCCTAAAGTCTAGATAGTGTATAATCATTATCATAAGGGTATTTCTTGTATACTTTAGGTATATCGCATAATTTTATACGTAATCCTCATCTGCAAATATTTAAAGCTTTAAAAAATCCTGCCTAAGGCTAAGTACTCCCAAGGAATTCAGTGCCTGTGGACATTCACTTGCCTGTGTTGAAAGAGGTCAAAGGCTTAGAGATCTCGGCTCTGGTTTGAAGGTATATATGAATGCCTCATATCCAAGGTCATTCTTGTTTGTTTACTAATTGCCTTTCCTAGTCTTCCAGTTCCGAAGCTCGAATAAAATCGCAGTGATGGGATAAAAGTAGTATCAGGGTACGCTAATCTGGCAATTATGAATTTGCCCTCATTGCACAGTCTACAAGGTCCACTGTTCTTTTCTGGCCATATCAAGTAGTGGTCCAACCCGCCCGATGCCCTCCTATTTATCCGTAATCTTTCCATCTAACTTTCTGCACGTGCTTCCGGACTACTTTGGGCCCCATAAAAAAACAATCCATGAAACCAACATCAACCTTAAAACGCCTGCTAAGATTAACTTAGCTCTAACCAATATCAGTAAGCTAAACATAACAGATGTAATTCAAGCGTTAGTTATCACCCGCCTTCACTAGAAATACACTGCTATAGCCTGTATTATTATATCTAGCCAGTCTTAACTTTAAGGTAATCCCCTATATTAAAACTCTTACTATGAGACCCGGCAGCTAGGGCCAGGCCTACTACTTTTGAAGTATCATAGAACTATACAGGTTCCAGTACCACCCTTTAGAAAATAGAACTTAGCAATAGGAAGAGCCTCTAACTTGTTAGGCTAAATCCATGGACTAATTATAGAAACCCATCTCTAAGCTTAAGTTCCCTAGTAACACACATAATTGCACCACTTGATTATGAGCCAAGCTTCACGCCCACGCCTACTCTCTCACCTAGCGTCTCAGGACATTCGCTAATCTTATAGCTTATTCTTCTCACTTTACTTACTTTGGTAGATGATATTTTTTCCGAATTGTTATTTATTTTAATTATATTTATTTATGGTTTAGTGTCTGTTATCTATAAAGCAGTAATATCCTTGAGGCTTATTCAATTTCTGGCTATGTTTATCAGTGTAGTCAAAGTACGGCTGAGCAGACAGGAAGCCCTATTTCCCACACCCTGTGGTCGTATGTGCCAGGTATAAACTTATGAGAAATTATCTACTGTCAAGCACAGAAAGTACTAGATATTGTATAATCTCCCTCGAGATTTAGATCTTTAAACAAGGTTCGCCAAGTTAATAATTCAACTGCGTTCCTGTGCTGTCAGAATGCGAAGCTCACAGCATGCTCAATAAACGTTGGGATCCTTTCTTGGATAACACGGGTCAGTACAGTCTTCGAATTAGACTGCGGCCAGCCCGGATAATCTCCGGGTAGAAGAACACAGGAATCACCTTCTTTTCGAATGTGCCAGTGATTGGGATATATTTAATTTATTTATATCTGTGAATATTATTATCAACTAATTGATTTTATATACAATCTATTTATCTTTATTATCCTTAATATCTCATAACTTCTTTTATTAGTAGTAAACTTATGATTGATATCTTCAATAATTATTAATTTCAGTATCTATAGTTTGAGTGAGTCTCGGATGAGGGCTGAGCATTCATTTGCTCTATCTCGCTTTCTAAAAATGTCACTGGTCCTATTCCAAGATTCCCTCTGGGAACAACAATAGTACCAGAGATTTGTATTGCGACAAGTCAGCCACTTGTCGTGTCTTAGTGACACGTACCTCTCAAACTGAATTTGCTGCCGCAACTTCATGCTCTGCATGAGTCACCAGGTCCGTGCAAAACTCCACCAAAACTGACAGCTGCTCAACCTCGACGCGTGTCAGATGGCAGGTATCTATGCAGCGGAGGAATGCCGGGGACGATTGTAGGATTTGCAGGCGGGCGTGATTCTGAGGATCGCAGGGGCTGGCGACGACGTTGCAGAATAAATTGAGGTGAGCCGAAAAAAGGTAGAAACATATGAACCTGGTACCAGTGTCAATGCTTGCTTTTCCAAGGCGTGAGTAGCATTTTTTTCAAAGCAACAGCATCGCCATCGAATATGAAAACGCACCAGAACATTTCAGGATTTAAAGCCACCTGCGTGGCCCGCAAGAGTTCTAAAGATGAAACACTGGCTTGAAGGGAGGGTCTGAGACTGGACTCCAAAGCTTCGTGAAAGGTGGCCGTCTCCCCTGCCCAGGACTGGCAGCGATTCACCACCTGGTGGATACATCCCAGGATGTGATGAAACTTCAGATTCAAAAGCAGGAGGTCGATGTCGCGAAGTGAGTTGGTGGGCAGGTTGAGTACATGGATGGTTGGCCGAAAGGACTGAGGGATACTCCGGCGCCATTCCTCCAACTGGTTATCCAAAGAAATGATCGTCTGTAAGAGTTCAACGCTGGATTTGCTGATAGCTTCCGGCGCGTAAAGTGAGATGTAGAGTCGGGAGACGTGCAGGGTGAGATCGGCCATGTAGATGTAGACATCCGCGCGGGGGTCTGCGCCACGAGCAGGGAGGAACCGCGACAGAAATTGGGAAGAGAACTGATACTCGCAGGGCAGGGCAGCAGCAGTAGCGAATTTGGCCAGGATCAGTGGTGGATGACCCGTGCGCAGAAAGATCTCGTTATCGACCATCAAGCTGATCCAAAGCAAATCTCGTAGGACGTCCGGGTATTCAGTCTCAGCATCTAAATTTGATGGCAGGCCTTCGGGTGATGACTCGAAGAAGTGGTTGTTTATAGCCAACTCGGTTAGCTGAGAAGCTATGATGCTGACTGTCTCCCTAGCTTCCAAAAGTGCCCCCAATAAACAATGACATAGAGCCTGTGTGGTGTCTAGGCGTCAGCTTTCTAGGCAATGAGGAGAGATTGAGAACAGGTTACTAGGAGTACATAACGCACCAATAGAAGCGACACTTGAAGCGACTCGAAAGACGACGGGCTGCTTTCGCCATCCGATGATAGGCGTTTTGCCTCCATCAACAGTGCCTTCCCGTCGACTGGGTAAGAGATCTCCTGACTGTGCCCTGCTAGTGAACAGAACGCCACGAAGGCGTAGACTAAGGCATGACTTCTATTGACCACTTCCACGGATTGACTCGGAGAGTGGGAGTAGGCGATCTCTATGGCCCTTGTCATCATGTCTATATTAGGTATTGCGCGCAACAACCCCGTCTTTCTGGTTGCATAGAATGCGACTGACGCTTCTGTGATGAAACGAACGGGTAGCTTTGAAGGGCCGTTTGTTGAAAACGAGAAGGTTGTTGGAGCACCAGAAGAGGACTTTTGCTCGGCCCACGGGGCTCCCATCTGGAGGACGGTGCCCAGGACTTTCGATACTCTGCTATCAGTGTCGAACATTTTGCAAGCGGCACATGACAGCAGCGGGATGGCATCGAGAAACTGTGTGGGTCCTCCATGCTTTCCAAGGGCTTGATCACTATCCACCAGCGTGCCTTGGGGGCTCTCCGTGAACCGCCTCGTAGGCAGGTTCGAGTCGTCATGTGTGTTTTCAGTCTCTGTAACACTGCGTCAACCTGTTACTGCGCAGGAGATTCTGTCATAAGGAAGATAGCATAGCCATACTTTCGGACGTGGATACTTGATCTTCAAGAAGTCGACGCCGATTGCCGCTGGAATGCGTAATCAGTATCCTTCTGCTCTAGGTTTTCACGTTGATTGGCTTTGCGAAGATGATCAATACATAGATGAAGAGCCAGGCGTTCTGGCTTTGATGGGTCTGCGACGAATTCGGGTATAGACGCAGTCCAATCCATGATGTAGACACCAGTCACAGCTCGAGCTTCGGGGAACCTCAACACAGCCGATCTGAACCCATTAATATTGATGTCAAGAGAAGCCCCCCTCCCTCTTCCTGCTCCTTCTGGCATTTGGACGGACCTTGCGCTGATAGCAGGCGTCACAGGAGAAACGTGGCCTCCCGGAGCGTTCATGACCTGGTGTCACAAGCATCTTGAATAAAGTTGATCATATAATTACATCGAAGCGGGTTTGAGGGCAAATGATTGAAGTTTGAAGATTACATAATGACGGTGACAGTAGGTTCATAATCTTCCGTTCCCGGGGGTAAATGTGTTCGAACATACCTACCGCTTGCCGGGGCTAGGCTAGGGTAAAGCTCCACCTCAAGTGTAGATCATTGCCTTGAACCGGTGAATTACAAAAATCAAGCAGACATGCACAGTCCGGGAATTTCCAATGGCAGGCTGTGTACAGAGCCATATATCAGGAGTTATGGAACAATGCTAGGAAGATTAAGTATGATTTATAAATAAATTTGTTCTATAAAATTAGTTATATTTATCTAATTAGTCTGATTTAATAGCTAGAGAGCTCGTGGTATATAATCATAATGCTTAGCTTAAGTTTATTAATTTAATTACTTTCATAGAGTAAGTTTACTAGTCAACTAGCTGTATAATATAATTTATTTATATCATGAAATCTATTGTTGTTCCATAACTTTTGGTACACGGCTCCGTAGCTCGGTGTGGTCCGAAAATAACTCGGTGTAGGCCAAGGCCATTGCGGCGGAATGAGAAAAACGGAGGCGGCTGGTCATCCCGGCTGCCCCCCTGGACAGCAATATACGGAAGGAGAAGATCTTGGATAGGCCAGTAGACCTCATTTTGAGTCTTTACTAAGAGAATTCTTAAACTTACAAAGTATTACTTTCCAATACAACTGTTCTAGCCACACATCTACTGGCCTCAAGTTCCTCTTTCCCTTTCCCAGATTAAATCAAAGAGGTATATGGCTGATGTGATTGTCGCTTTCGCCTGATTTTCACCATGAAAATCCCACTCCGGTGCACGCGGAAGTCGGGTTTAGGCTCGGAATTTGGAGATCATTAAGCTTGCGAAGCAAGTGGGCCTAGAGCTGGGTTGTCCCTTGGAAAGTAGACTACAACAACCGAAAGACGAATAATTCCAGTTGCTTTGCGGGGGCTAGAAAAGCGCTTAGTCATCGGCGCACTAGAATCTCGGATCGCCGAACCGAACCATGCCTTAAATTTTGGCTACTCCTTATACGTAGTAGGCACTGTCTAACACCTCCTGCAAGAAGTCAAACCTCTCTCGTTGTCTCCACCATGTCGCAGATTCTTTCTTCATTTGCCCCACAAATGTATGATGTTTTCCAGGCACGAGGATCAGCCGGGTCTGAATGCCAGACACTCGAAGGCGAGTTTCTAGGTTCTCACTCAGATAAAACGGGATCATGAAGTCATCCGTCCCGTGGACAATCGCATTTGGGGGTCAGCCGGCATGGTTGCTGAGAGCGGGGTCAATCAAATCCCAAATCTCGTGGGATAGGGGGCCAGATACTTTCCAGCACTCGCCCTTCGGCTATGGATCTGAGGGCAAATGGTCGCCAAGCATCTGAAGCTGACGGAGAGTCACCTGGGGCTGCAGATTGCCCTTCCAAGGACATACCACCGCGAAGAGTCGTCTTTACTTGGAAAAGAGGCCCGAGGATCGGTTTATCCAGAGCTGGCGCTTGGTCGAGCTGAGATCGCACCTTCTCGATGGGTTGGTGCCAGAAGTCGTCGGTGCACTCCTTGGCACCGTAGAAGTCTAGAACTGCCAATGGAGGACGCGGCACTCCTTAGCCCTAGATTCCCGGATACACCTTGCATGTTAGTCAGTCAAACTAGTCTGCATACTCAGATCCCCGGCAGATTGTGTATACGTACCAAGGAGAGCGCCAAGTGACCCCCGGAAGACGTCCCCCTAGCTATCCCTTGATTGTAATTGGGCTGACTTAGAGTTCGGTGCGCGTATAGTGCGCTAGCAAGCCCTCCCTCTTGCACCCATTGCAGTGTTGCGCGCGCATCCGCCATAGGACCCTGCAGAACGTTCACTCCCGGGCAGAGGCGATACGCCAGCGAGAGTACAATCCAGCCCCTTTCCAGGCAGTCGTTGATCTGGTCCCAGTGGTTCATCGCCGCATGGTCCAGCACAAATCCGCCCCCGTGGAACATGAGAAGAACAGGACCAAGCTCTCTATCCCCAACCACCGTCAAAGACGGCAGCTGAATGCCGGCCGGGCTAGGAACACCGTCCTGTTCGGTATAGGGTACCCAGAAAGGAGACGCCTAGTGGGATACCACATTTCCTTCCAGGATGATTCAGTCAAAGCGCTTCTCGGGAAAAGTAGCTTCAATAAATTCGCTAGTGTTAGGGCTGACCGGAGATAAGACACCCAATCGGCTCTGTCCTAAGCACGCGCTTGATATCCCACCTTCGTACTGTTGCGACTGCCTCGGAGATTAAGTCGATGATATGCTTCTTAAGCGGAAGGTTCTTCCTTCCGCAGATCCGGCAAGCGGAATCGGCGCTTGTCTTATCGCTTTGGACTTCTCTACCGCCGGTCCAATTCATGTAATACCGTCTGATTGACTGAACCAGACTTCCTTACTAGCATAACGCAGAAAGATACTTCACCATCTTCATCACCTTCAGTGCTCTTTTGCCCACAGAATGTCCGTTCCTCGAGTTTCTCGCCCGTTGGGTCAGCCCAGCTCCTATACTCTGCCCGCTTACGAGTGTGAGGCTCTGAATCTTCCTGGGGGCAAGTCCACCATCCGGGTACTCGCTTCAGCCAAGGAGAACCAAGGGTAGATCTCCACTTTCCACATGGACGGGGTGCTTGTCGACTCTGTCGGGTTTCATCATCATAACGAGGCTCATGACACATCTTTATGTGCACCATAGGGTACATCAAGGTCTGGGTGGGCGATCAACGCCGTACCCTCGCTTCGGGGGACTTCTGCTCTGTGCCGCCAGTGAGTCGTCCCTATTCAATCTTTTTTCTTTCTTTCCTAATCATTTCTCTGGGAATTTGAGGGATAACCGGGCTCTTCCGATCCCAGGTGTCATCCACCGTCCTCTAGTGCTTGGGCCATGAACCAAAACAGTAGGGGTCATCACTCCCGACGACTGGATTGACTTCTTCCGGTGCGTCTCCGACGAGTACATGGGCATCATGGCGGATGAGTTGGATTTCGGGACACGCTGCAGGCTATGATATTAGAGATGTATCTGATCCAGGAGCGCCAGTATGACGTGGTCTTCCATCCCCACCACCAGCCATGCGAGAAACCGGAGTGGATGACCACGGATACAGACATCCCCGATGGAGTGGATTCCTACTATTTGCGCGCCAACACCGGCCCGCGATTCCTTCTAGGGCGGGGGTGCTCTCGCGTCCCTCCATCACCACCTGCCAGACCGCGGGCAAATTTGTCATTACTAGTATCGAGTCCAGTTACTTGTACGGGGCCTCTATTTTGGATCAGTCATTCACTCTGCAGAGCGTCCATCAGGTTTACCATATGCTAGACGGGGCGATCAGTGTGGCTATCGATGGAGAAGTCAACGTCGTTCGAGTGGGCGAGACGAGTTTCATCGCCGCCGGAATCAAGATTCAAATCGCCTTTCTGGAGAAGTATACTCGCTTTTGGGCGCTCGCTAGTGGCGACTGGCTGGAGTCTCCAGTTGAGAACGCCGGAATAACCGTATAAGGGTAACATAATCCCTGATAAACCAGTGGAAGCGGACCAAGGACTTGTGCCCGAGGCTGCAAAGATACTCGACATTATTTGTCAGAGCTATTGAGAGGAAACTAAGCAAATAGAATATGGAGCTTGTTTCTGAACTTCTACAATACGTGTCTGTATTTCCTGCTGGGATTTGTTTAATCGAAGTAAATAATTGATAAAATCAGCACCCACAATGTACCGGTCGCTGTACAAGGTACCGTTCTGTCTGAAGAAAGGTTCATTGCAGATCGTCAACACGTCAGGCAATCTACCGGTAATGGGTTACCCGATATTTCCGGAATCCAGACTGACGAACCGTGGAGAGGTTACAAAAGTGTGGGTGGTGTTCAGCGCTTATTCATCCTCAGTTGATCATTTCGCCGCTGACTAAAGAAAGCGTATCTTCTCGCAAAGCCCTATATAAATGTCAAAGGGAACTTCATCGTCTCTAACACTCCAAGATCAAAACAAATCTCCTCAGACTTTCGCTCCCTTCACAGCAGCTATCATCGTTCACTCTTTCTCCCGAATTTTTTGTTTTTCACCATGAAAACTCACTCCCTTTACCTGGGCCTCGCTGCCCTCAGCACACTTGCCAATGCTGTCTACACCTTTCGTCCTGAGTCTGCAGGTGTGATTGTTGATGTGAGTGTTTTAAGTTGATCTTGAGTAATCACAATCTCTCCAGAGGATCCAGCTGACGGATTTCAACAGTCTCGTCTTCCGGTTCTATTCAATATCTCCGAAGCCCAGACCATCAACAGCAACATCTCCGGCACTGGCTCCTACTGGTCCAGCTCGTACGTGACCGGCGAGAACGGCCGCCAGTATCTGCTCCTGTCCCACACTCTGGGTATTGCCGCATCAGGCAGCGGGTACTACCGTGCCTCGATCATGGATTTGACCAGCATGAGCGGCTACAAGTCCTACGTGGCGACGGGTTCGGCCTCCACCGAGCAGGCGTCTGAGTTCGACTTCGCAGTCGATGGATACGGGTTCGCCGCGCTGACTGACGACAAGTACTCCACAATCCGCACGTGGTCGGATCGCGACGATGTCGTCTTCAACGTCACGTACGAGGCGACCAGCCAGGCCTTGTTCAACGGCGCTGTCGGCCAGTTCATGTACGGCTCTGGGCCCACTCACGAATTCGCCTTGCCCGCCTGCCGCACCACGGGCTCGCTCACCATCGACGGTGAGGTGATTCAGATTGACCCGGCCCAGTCAGTCACCTGGTACGACCGCCAGTGGGGTGAGGGTTCCCCCACCAGCGGAAACTGGACTTGGTTTGAGCTCAACTTCGACGACACCACCACCAAGGCCAGTGTCTGGATGATTGACAACGCCGACCCGTACCGCCGCGATCGCTTTGCCACCGTGCGCACCGATGATGGCGCCGTCAAGTTCTTGCCCGTCTCCTACACCCCGAACTACAGCAAGACCTGGATCTCCAACTCGACCGGGATTGAGTATCCCCTGGAGTGGACCATCGACTTGGCATCGACGGATTCTTGGTTGTTAAGAGTACCGTTGAGGACCAAGAAATGGCCGGAGATTCTAAGGTCGAGACTGCCTACGAGGGTTTTATCACCGTTGCTGGACGTCTTAACAAGCAACCCGTCACTGGTTACGGAATTGTTGAGATGGTCACCGTCGTCTAATCTGACCCTGACGGTCAAAGCTTTCACGGAGCAGAACCGCACTCCAAATTATTAACCCTGGGAGATCAGGGGACAATCGAGCTTTGCAAATGTCTGGCAGTGCTTGGACTGAGTATAGACGTTACTCCTCAGCATGCCTGGTGACTACTGTTCGTATTTGTAGTGGCTCGCGCTGTACGATAGAAGCGTTACCTGTTCCTGTCTTCATCCTGTTATTTTCAGTTCTATGCTACTTCTGTTTACTACTGGTCTTGTTATAGAGGTACATATACAATTTCTATGCCTGGTTTATTTTCCGGTGTGTCTCTTTGCATGGTAAACAGGCATCTCTATTGTATCTGTAGAGCAAGCAGGTCATACCAACAACAGAGACACTCTATAACCCTATAACCTTCCATTCAAGGCCCTTTTCGTAATATTAATTCAATATAAATATACTTTAGATGCCCGGCTCTCTCCCTGATTCATCTTGACCAGATACGCCTCCATAAGCGCCATCTCGCGCGCCTCCAGCTCCCGCCTACCCAACGTCCCGCGCCCAACATCCAGCCCGGTATCGGGGTCCTCGCTCCCAATATAACCAGCCGCCTCCCCTTCAACAACCCCAACAGTCGACGCAAGAGCGCCACACTTCCTAAGCAGCCAGGCACGATGCTCCAACCCATCGCGCCACCGCGATGGCAGAGCCGTGAACCCAAGCAACGCGCCCAACAACGCGCCCGCAACACAAGCATTCGTATCGGCATCGCCGCCGTGCATCACCAGCTCGGTGATAATCTCCTCGCAAATGCCCATCTCCGTCCCATCCCCATTACCATCCCCCTCACACCTCCCGGCCCCCCTCATTCCCCCGATCCCTCAGCAGCGAGCACATTCCCAACCTCAAAGCACAAACCCCCGCCCCCAGAGCCCTAAACACATACCCCATCCTCAGCGCATCATCAAGCACCAACTCCCCAAACCTACGCACAGAAACATACCTCGCGACCTTCACCCGATCCAACACAACCCCATCATAGAACTCGGGAGACTGCACCTCCAACCACCGCTCCACCCACCCAGCCACGCGCTCCACCAACGCAACCACATCCGTTTCTGCCCGCACCTCTCCGCGCAACAACCCCCTCACCAGCGCCGTGACAAGACAACAAGAGACTAGGCATCGCGCGGATCAGCGTGCGTGACGAGTGAGACTTCCGCTGCGGTGCGGAAGGTTTCCTCGACTGAGAGGCCGAGACAGAAGATTCCGAGGGGGTGCGTGCGCATGAGGGAGCCGTTTGGGGCGGCGGTGTGGTTGGTGGTTGTTGACCAGTGAGTGTATGCTGTGGGTTTTGGGTTCAGGGTGTAGGTGGGTTTGTTTATTTCCTGTCATAGTGTATTTCAGTATGCTATAGTGACGGATGGCAGGAGTGGATAGTGGGAACAGAGGGGAAGGGAATGTACACTACCGACTAATCGCCCCAGTCCCAGCGGAAGCCGGTCAAGACACGCAGCCCTGGCTCGCTCCAGTGGCGGAGGCGGAGGGCGAAGTCCTCTGGGGAGAGTACGATCCCATTGCTGTGTAGGTAGGAGAGGATTGGGAGGAGGGCGTGGTCTGTGTCGTCTGTCCCGCATTGCTTTATTCCATTCCATTCTTAGATGGTGAGGTTGAAGAGAGGTGGATGTGAACTCACTGGTGTGAATTTATCTGATTCGTGGGGTTGGAGCTCTGTTGGCCTTCTCATATACACCATCCAGAGAGATAGAGGGGAATCAAACTCCGATGACCATCATTCCGCAACGCGGTCGCAGGCTCAACGAGCTGGAATCGTCCGCTCGGATAGGGTTGTTGGCTTTGGTCGCGGGAGGGGAACTCTATCTCATCGTACCTGAGGGGGTCAGAGTCACACTCGTGATAACTGGGACATTTTGGAGGAATGCCCACCGATATACAGCCCAATCGCATCCCCCAGCGCGGACCCGAAGATCGTCCCCTGCAGTTTATCGAGGACGGTTTGGCGCACGAATGGGTGGAGGTTGAGGAAGGCGAGGTCGGGAGGGGTTCCATTCTGCACGTTGTTGTAGAGACTAGCAGTTTACGAGGGAGGGGGAGTAGAAGTGGAGGAGAAAAGATATGGCTGGGTTTTGATGTCTCAAATAATGTGGCGCTGTGGCTTTCGTATTCCCTTTGTTGATGTAGAGGGGAGGGGAGGCAGTGCAGGGTGTTTAAGGTTGTGGCAGATGGTCGATACATCTCATCACAAGAAAAGAGCATAAATTTGCAGGGATTACTTACTGGAGATAGAGATAACCTGTTAGCTGCACCGAATGGTCTATAATGGCTGTCTACGCTCTACCTGCAATGCCTATCCTGGAGGCGTGACAAGATCAGCACTCACCAGGAATAACTCCAGTCAAGGCCTACAAAGAACAAAGATTGAACAGAATGGATATCTAAAGAAAGACCACTGCAAGGCAGTCACAACGCCCGTCTATGTACATATACTGCAGCTCAGTTCTTCTGCTTGCTGAACGACAAGCACCAGTTGCTCCAATCGGTAAAGAACAAAGGCTGGACATGGCACTTGCGACTAAGCAGCTGCGCCTTGCGCGTCTCGCCGTACACATCGACCGCGCGGGCGACATTGGCCTTGTCGTGCGCGACCAGCACCTTGACCACCAAAAGACTGGCCTGGCTACACGACGTCGTATGCATGGGGGGTCCGCTGTGCGTGGCCTCGGTGTGAATGGACTTCAGCAGCTCCCAGACGGGTTCGGGGTCCTCGATGGCGGGGAGGCCGGTGGCGCCCTTGCACTGCTTGGTGTACTCGCGGAGCACCTTGGCGGCCTTGCCGGAGATCTGCTTGACGCTCGTCTTGCGGGTGAGGCGCAGCAGCGGCAGCAGCAGGTCCAGCGCCAGTGGCTTAGAGTGGCACTTCTTGACGTAGATCTCCAGCAGGTCGAGCACGCGGTTCTTGAAGTTGACCATGTTTTCGCGGGCGTCCTTCTTGTCCTGCTTCTGGCCCAGCGCGTCGCGCCGCGCCCGGAACACCTTGACCAGCTGCTCGTCCAGCTCCTCCATCTCGTCGTCGTTCATGTCCGCGTCCGAGTCGGCTTCCGCCTCGTCCATGTCCGCGTCTGCGCGGTGCGTGCCCAACGCCGCCGCCAGCTTGGCCTCGAAAATGGCCTCTTCGTCGTCGTTGCCGGCGTCCTCGTCGTCATCGGAGGGCGACTCGTTGTCATCGTCGGACTCGTCATCCGAGCCATTCGCCTCAACAACCTCGACATCACTGTCCTCTTCGTCATCATCGTCAACATCCATCATATCCGCATCCCCCTCCTCATCCTGCTGGTCGAACATCTCCTGCTGCCCAGCCAGACTCTCCTTTGCCTCCAAGACGGAGGTCAACGAATCCAGCCCGTTCTCGGTGATGCTCTCCGCGAACGCCCCGAAGACCTGCTCGCTCATGCGGCGGAACAGCTGGGATTGCTTGGACGCGAAGCTCAGCAGAATCTCCACCAGCGCATCCGACGCGTCCGTTTCTTCCTCCTCGTCATCGCTGTCATCCTTCTTAGACTTCTTCTTCTTGTCTTTCTTCTTGTCACCGAAGATCCGCGTGTAGCAGAAATCCAGTTCTTCCAGCATAGACGCCGCATCCGCGTCACCGTTGTAAACCTGGAGAATGGTCAACGAATAGAGCAGACGGAAGGCATTGGCGCTAGCCGTGTTGTCCTTCTTTTCCTATTTCCCGAAAATGCATTAGCTAACTTCTAACGTAGAGAATTTTTTCGTGGCGCAACTCACCATGCTCGCCAACTTCTTGAGGGACTTGAATGCATTCTTGACGGCTCCATTGATGGTCTCGTCCATATTGATGATGAACTTTCCGGCTTCCTCGGACTTGGCCAGGTCCCGGATCTTGCGGACCACGGCGTAGGGGACGGTAGCGAACTTAGAGGACACGATGAGACTGTTGATGGAAGAGTTGATGCGGCCGCGGAAGAGCTCCTGGGTCTGCTCAGTGAAAGCCGGGGTGGCCGCATCGCTCTTGAAATAGGCGAACCGCACGAAGATGGAGAGGATCTGCTCGAGGATGCCCTGGGCGGCTTCCTGGTCTTCTTCGGTGCTGGCCGACGCGCGGGCGCGCACGATGGCAAGAAGCAGGTTAGTCAGGAACTGGCGGTTCGCGGCCGCGGCCTTGCTGTCCTTCGTGCCGGGAGATGCCACAAGCGCCTCAAGAAGGGGGACGATCTCCTGCAGCGCCTCAGGGTTGGCCTCGACGACGATCTTCTCCACCGTCTTGGTCTTGGTAGCCTGGTCGAAGGTGACCGAGCCGGACGGGCCCATCAGGCCACGCACCGCGGCCGCGGCGAACGCAGGCTCCTTGGACACGCGGGTCTGGATCGCCTTGGCGGCCTTGACGGCCATGCGATGCAGGTACCGGTCCTCGACGGCCAGCTGGTTCATCAAGCAGCGGACCAGGTTCTTGGTGAACACCTGGGAGGCCACAGGCAGCGGGCTCTCAGAAACCACCTTGACAAACAGCGAGAAACCCCAGTACTTGCGCTCCTCGGACGAAGCCGCCGCAAACAGACCATCTAACAAACACAAAGATTAGCCCTTCCCCGGAATTTCACACACAAGGTAGAACACGGGAGATAAGAAAAAAACTCACTATCAACAACCTCCGTCCAAAACTCTGCAAACCCAAGCCTGGACTTCTTCGCGGCGGTCTCCGCCTCCGCCAAACGACCCAAAACCACATCCCAAGCAAAGTGCAGCTTGGAGCTCCACACACCAGAAGACTTCGCATTAGCACCGGTCGCCTCCACCGCCGCGCCGGAACCCGAAGACGAATCCGACGAATCCTTCATAACCTTGGCCAAGGAATTCCGCTCGCGCGCATCCAACGGATCATCATGCTTCCACACCTTGGCGGGCACTTTAGCGGAGGGGAAGAGATCGCGGGCAGCGAGCCAGACGGAGATGCCCTCGGGGGTCTTGGCCAGGTCGTGGGCGCACAGGCGCTCCAGCGCCGTCTCGACGAAGCTGACTGCATCTACCGCCTCCTGTTTCTTGTCATTCTTCTTCGAAGAAGAAGAAGCAAGTTCAAAAACACAGCGATAAACAACCCACCCGCACTCCTCACGCAACCAGGGCTTCTTCTTGGCGAGCTCAAACACCAAATCCAAAAGCCGGGTCCACTGACCCGCATCAGATTGCGTCGTGCGAAACAAGATCCCGGATTTGATGATAGCTTCTGCGCCGAAGAGACGACCGAAGTAGTGGTCGCGTTGTTCCTGGATGCTGTTATCAGCATCATCAACGCACCCCACAAAAAAAGGTAGACCAAAAGGGAAAAAAAGAACATACCTGCCCCGATTCACCACCCGCAGGATTCGACAAATTCTCCCAAACATCCAACACAGCCGCCACACTTAACCCCCCTTCCTCTTTGGGGGAAGCAGCAGCAAAAACCTGCGCAAGGATCTCCGTCAACGCAATCGAGAACCCCACGCGCGCCGCCTTGCGACTACTGCACAGACCCCGGAATAATCGCTGCAGGGCCTTGCGGACTTGCTCCTCAGTCGGGGATTTGTCCGGCGTGAATTGCGAAACCAGCGCCTGCGCGGCTTTCAGGCGGATCTCGTCCTTCTCGTTGGCTAGGTCCTCGTAGATCTCGACCTGCTTGATGTCCACGTTGAAGGCCTCGCGCCGCCGTTTTTTGGTCGGTGCCGTCGTGGCGCTGGCCGCGTTTGGGGGCGCCATGACTGATTGATGTGTGAGGTGATAGTGGTTCTTACAATGGATTCACTTCCCCTTCTTTTGTGTTTTCTCAATTAAGGCAGAACAAGTATGTTAAGAGTGAGGACTGCCGAGAGAAAAATATGTGAATCTGAAAGAAACACGCCAAAACCTACAACCACTTGACGACGGAGATGTTGTCGGTGCTCCAGTCCGTTCTTGAAAATTTGATGGATGGGACGATCCGCCGGAACGGGTTAGCGCGACCAAGGTCCCCAGGGCGGTGGCCGCTTCTGGCCGCCCGCTGCTTGAGGCATACGGTATGGAGTATAGTAGAGAAGGATATTATAATGATATAGTCTATTGTATTTGTGGTATGGATACTCCTACACCCCTGTGCTCATCATCGAAGGGAGGCCTGCTCCCTCGTCTACCGTCCGTCCTCGTCGACTCTTATTTCAGGCCGAACCCCTCACTGTTCAGCACCGCATCCCAGAGCACCCGCTCCAGCTTGTCCCGAGTCTCATACCGATAGAGGCCCAATTGGTTGAAGCAAGTCCGCGCCGTGGGGAATCGCGACGTATCATCTCCCAGACACGCCAAGCGAATCGACAGACTCGTAGCTCCCATGGCAGGAATGCGGTCACTGCCTGTGATGAACGACAAAATCTTCCGTTGAGACTGTGGTGCCGCCTGGCCGAAGATTTCCCAGAACCAGCGCACCACGGGATCCGTTTCCGGTCGCGGTATCGACCAGTTCTCGTACGTGGCAACTGCCCGGAGCGAGGCCACATCGAGCGCCTCATCCGAGCCTCGCACCAGCAGTTCGATCTCCTCCGGCCGGAAAAGAGACAGCGCGTTGCCTCCGCACACGGTAAAGAACCCCCGCTTGAAGGGCTCAAACTGTCGCGTCACGGCGGTGTCCAGCAGGTGTTGCACGTACAGCTCCACGAATTCCCGGCGATTGGCGTTCGTCACTGGACGGTCCTCGCCTCCGGCACAGAGAGGCACAGACATCGGCTCGCCATACCGATCCACCTGTGCGACAAAGTCATAGCAGAATGTCTCCGTGACATCTCCCTCGAAATCGAGCAGTGCCCGCAGCCCTTTGGCAAGTGCAGGTCGATACTCTGCTAGATCCTCCAGGCTAGCTTTATACACCGATCGAGTGGTCGACCACTGCGGGGCTGCAGCCAAAAGCTTCTTGAATGCAAAGGGCGGAAGGGCTATATCTAGAATGGTCGAGTTGTAGATAGCTAATCCCAATAATACCCCGACTAAGAAGAACTGCTCGGATGACTCGAAGCAGTAAGGGTTAAAGTAGCAATATTGGGAGTCTTCGTCATAGATGAACAACCCTACAGCATATTAGATCAGTTACTCGGCCAAGATTGACAAAAGAAGTGAACATACCGTGATGGGGATCGAAAACCTCCCGGACAAGCAACAAGAACCACTCTTTCCGTAGACCACCCGCATCCACTCCCTCCTCACCGACAAACTCGATACGCAGCCCTTTCTTGATCTCTTCGTGGCTAGAGCCAACGACCTCACTGACTCGGCGAAGGCTGTCCTCCACCAAGCAGTCGCGCCGGACTTTGAAGACCAGGTACTGGCTGATCGCCTTGCGGCTCAAAATGCTGTTGAAGAATGCTTCCCGTGCCTTGACCTCCATCTGACGACGAGCATCGTGCTCCAGGATATGAATCTTGGCCCAGATACTAAGGAAGAAGGGATACTGGCAGAACGAGAATTTGCTCGACTTGGACTCCCAGGCTTCAAAGTCAGCCACAAGGTCTGAATAGTCGAGTAACGTGTTGTAGAAGGAGCTGATTGGTACCATGTGGCCCCGCCGGTCAGGCCGGCCACTCGTGCTCGTCCCTTGTCCGTCAGGCTTGCGAATGACAGTGGCGTTGTTCGCTGTGAAGAGCAACGACATCACCCGAGCGGCAGCGCGAATCTGCCAGTCGTCAGTATAGACCACGGGCTGATCACGGTCGTCCTTGGCCGACTTGTTCGGGCTTCTGCCATTGATGGCGGCATGCAACTCGGCGGGGGTATTGCCAGCTGCGCTAGAAAAGCTGGGTATCAGGCTGTCATCGTGCTGTGCGGTCTCGCTGCGTTTCCGCCCATGCTGTCGAGTCAAGCGATAGGTCACGAAACTGCCCACGATGTCGACAATCTTCTCAAACTGTCCCGTGGGAAAGCGCGAAAACCATGAAACCAAGTAATGATGGCAGTCGTTTGGTAGATTAGCTAACAGACCCATGATCCGTTTGACAATGCCAGAGTGGTGACCGGGTCCTCCGCTTCGCTGGCGATGAGGGAGTTTGGAATCACGAGGAGCTGGTCTCGGGTTGCCGAGTACGGGATGGGAAGGTCTTCTATCACCCCGAGGAGCGGAGGGGGTCAACGTGTATGAGGCCAACGACGGACTGGAGGGATGGATCAATGGGTTCACCAGGAGCATCAGGAGAAATCTGATATCTTCCGGCTTCTTGAGTGGCCGTCGCGGCCGTTTGAGAAGGTTTTCCGTCGCCTTAAGCAGGGTCCGATGCAGGTGCAAGCGCGACTCGGTCACCTCCTTTTCAATCATGGCCAGATCAGCCAAGTCCCACCGGTGAGCGGCCACAATATCCTCATCCGTCCGTAACTCAGTTGGCTTCATCGTCGACCACAGCTCAACCCATGATGAGCCGGCAGTCATAATCAAGTGGTACCATTTTGCGAGCTCCGCCCAGTCGATGCGGGGGCTGCGCGAGGAAACAGCTCTGGACCCCGAGGATCTCTCCCGGTGGTCTTGAGAGTGAGAATGAACAGTGGAATCCACCTCGTTCATCCACCACGATGAGTTTTCTGCTATGTCACCCAGGAGGAGCAGCTTGGCATCCGGCTCACATACATGTTCAGCGGCTGCAGGTGCCACGCTAGTACTCTTGTCCTCTTTCTGCTTGGGAAGACTGCTATTCTCGGTGGTTCGAGGCGCATGCTGCACCGTGGTGAAGGAGCTATTCAAGCAATCACAGCCCTTGAATGAATTTATTATGTAGTCTTCCAGCAGCCTAAAAATATAAGGGCGGCGAGGCAATTCCTTCGCGTCCAGAAGATTTCCCGGGCCAATGTCTCGAGGCGAGCGGTCTCGCCGGGGCAAAGTCTGAGCATCCCGACCCTTCATCGGAGCGCTCTTTCCTTCTCCAAGGGCAGAGTATGGATTCAGATTGGGCTTTGAATAGTTTGGCGGACCGTCTGGCTTTCCTGGTTTGTTGGAGGCCGAGTAACCACGCCCGCGCGAGGCGACCGGCGCCCGAGGGTCACACAAGTACTCGCCCGTCTGTCTAGGCGAATGCGCCAGGTTCTCATCCTGCTCGGTATCGGGGAACTTTTCAGCCTGGCTTCCAGTCGGATTCGCTCGGGGGCCGGTCCCGTGTAGAAGTTGCCGAAGGTATTCTGTCATGCAGTCGTCCAGCAAAGCCTTCGTTCGCTCGAGAGACAAGGGTACTGCTATAGATGGAGTCAGTCAGGGGGATATACCACAAGCCAACGATCGGTGCAATATACCTTTCCGTAGAACCATGGGTGTGCGCGGCTTCCCGTCAGGACCCGAATTGCCGTGACCACCCGGCTTGGCCGTATCCAAGTACGGCTCCAAGTCATTGACCGTCAAGCATTCCGTGCACCGAAACACCTTTAGATCGCGCGGCCACCGCACCGTGCAGTTGCAGGCCATGCATTTGCCCGAGGTCATGGCGCCGGGAGGCGGCGCGCGGTTGCGCGGTGGCGACGTGTTGGGGTCCGGCATGTAGCTTACGAGATCGTCGTCGTCCGAGTCCAGCCCCATTCTCTCATTCTTCTTCCTCGAGATGGACGGGCGCCTCTTCCCCACGGCGGCGGCGAACGCGCCGGCGGCGAACGGCGCAGGAAATGGGTGGCTGATCGAACGGGAGTGCCCTCGCCCGGTTGGAGGTGACGTAGCTGAGAGTCCGGTCATGGCAGCAGACAGGTCGCGAGCATCTTGGACGAACTCGGCAGGAGCGCTCCTCTCGTCATTTATGTGAAACGGGACTAGGGAAGGATAGAGATGTCCGGCAGCTGGATTGGATGACGGGTTACGTGAGAACCGCGACGGCATATGGGCGCATTGGTTTGGGTGATCCTCAGCGATCCGAAGACAGCGGGATACACAGGTTGCGTTCAGGTTCAGAGAGTGGTGGAATTGTTTAGGCGATTATATCGTTTCGGAGGATTGACTGTAATAGTTCAGGGGATGGACGGCGGACCGAGTGACTCGTGCACCAGCGACGGCAACGAGGGGACGATCCTGCCGCAGGACCGTTCTTGAATCGAAGATCAACGCGGTAAATTGGCGAAGTTGGGAAGACAGGAAAGGAGAAAAAAGAAAAAGAAAGGCAGGTCTCCTGGAAGAGGAAAGAAGGACTTGAAAACCGGTTGGATGATTGATGAGGTAAGGTCGGGAGGGAGGTGAGCTTGAACCGGTAAGTTGGGAGGCGGATTGGAGTAATATGTAACGTGAGGGGGTAACGTGAGCATGTACAGTACAGCGGAAGGGACGAAACAGGGCCACACAGTGACGAAGCGAGGAAAGATTGTCGTGTTGGGTAGAATACAAAGTTGGTGTGAGGATGGAAAAGGAGAAGTTATCCCAAGTGATTTTCTGTGAGGAATGAACGGGGAGGGGAGGGGTTCGGAAAGGAGGGGAGGAGGGGGAGAGGGGGAGAAAGAGGGAGAGAGAAAGAGGGGGCGCAATCCATAATAAAGAGAGATGGGCTGCCTGAGGCCAATTGCCCGGAGATCCCGCTTGGGCTTGGGCAGCACAAAATGACAAGGAACCATATTCCATTTTCAATCCTCCATTGCTACCTCAACCCACAACTTAACTGGGTCTACGACGCTACATACACCACACTACCTACCTACCCAGATACGCTGACGTCCATGAATAGACTCGGCCAGTAAGTGCCTTGAAACGCCGGATGGGGAGTTTCAAACAAGAAGACAGACAACAGGCTACAACTTACAGCCAGGTATACTATTTTTAAAGGGGAGGGGGGATCCATCCGACCAGCTCCTTGGAAAAAGCTCTCCCCGGGACTAGTTCCAACTTCCAGCTGTCTGTCCGATGGGGCGCTCGCATCCTGCAATTCAGTGCTCAGCCAGTCCGGTCCAGACATTCGCCGTACATGTCTTAGACCTGTCAATCAACCGGGCTTGCACCGTTACGACGACACGGGATGACGAAGTCGCGGCCTTGGGAAGGCTGGCTACCCCCAAACTTGCCTCAGTGGTCTGTACTCGCTTTACATGTATCTCACGAGGTAGGATTGACTAGTGATGGGCCCATCATGAAACGGATACGAATGAAGTCATCGTGGCCCGTCTCTGATCGTGACAATTAGTGGCGTGTGCACACTGGCTTGGGTCACCAGCTTGTAGATCCTCAATTAGACAGACTGACCTGTCTGTGCACCCCACACTCGCTGCTATCAATCACAGATAGACTGGGGAAGATGCATATCTAGTCCTTCTAGCGTGAGGTTGAGATTCTCGAGAGTTATGAATGATCCAGATGGTGGGACTGCGATCCCCACGTACTGTAGCACTTAGTATCATTGTAGCTAAGAATACTCTCAGATCACCAACCTCAAGCACTCAGAACGAATCTACGGGTCTACACTACGAACCGCCAAAAACAGACTCAAAATCCAAGAAACAAAAGCCATACTTCGTTAAGGGGGAATAAAAAAAAAAAGGTGAACCAGAAGAAAGAATTTTTGCTAACATCCGACCATGAAGATCTGTTGCATTATACTCGCCCCAAGACAGTTCATATTCATGATAGACCTGCACACGAGAGGAACGATTTTAATAGACACAACATCCACGAGCCTATGCGTTTTCCACCACCAGAACCTACACCCCCGCTCAGTAGCCCCCGGGCTACATCTAGCGGTAGCGCCAGTAGCTCTGGGTGTTCTGGAGCTTCCAGGTGTGGCGACGGCCGGCCTTGGTGTTGTTGTAGCGGTGGCCCTTGTTGATACCACGGGACTTCTTGCCGGTGGAGGTGAGACCACGGGACTCGCGGTGCTAGAGGCGAAGTTAGTGAGCCTGGCTCAAGTGCATGTAACTCGAGATCTCGGATAGGACGAACCTTGTGGACGGGGTTACAGATCCAGTTGATGCGGGCATCGCGGCGGATGGCCTTGTGCTGGGGGTCGACGAGGATGACCTCGAAGTACTTGTAGGTGGAGTCCTGGTTGATCCAGTAGGAGTTCAGGACACGCAGGTTGGCGCAGCGGCGGCCAACACGCTCCTCAGCGGTAGCACGGAGAGCGCGCTGGTACTTGAGCTGGTTGACACCCTGGTTGGTGGGCTTGCCTGTACATCAGACGCGAATTAGTCCTCCAATTCTTCACGCACCGAAAATCGCCCTCAACTCCAAGAAAAGATTCTGCATACCGTAGGTGGCACCCTTGGGGACGGGGCGCTTGCGGCCACCGCGTCTCACGCGGATACGGTAGACAACATAGCCCTGCTTGGCCTTGTAGCCGAGACGACGAGCCTTGTCGGGGCGAGAAGGACGGGAAGCACGGTGGATAGCGTTCAGTTGACGGAGCTATATTGATGCACTCTCAGCAAAGTTCAACGAGTGTATAGCAAGACACACAAAAAAATGAAAACTCCTCATCGGAAAGACGAAGTTTCATTTTTTCATTCTTGTGCCACATCCATCATCCGCCGGCGATCAAGGAGAAGAATCTTCACACGGGGTCGTTTTTTTTCTGTCGAGCCGCCCAGCAAAAAACACCTCTCCCCCTTCTCAATCAAGGGAAGAGAGAGATAAGGTGTATTCCTATGGCATTGCACACGAGTAGAAAAAAACAAACCCCCAGTTTCCGGCGGGGGAGATGGTTAAATCATCGACATTTGGGGGGGAATTCTCACCTCCCAGCAACGGACACGCAGCAGGAAGCGAATCACGTCGGACTGCTTCTTCTTCTGGATCTCTTCCACGTACTTGAGGGCACCCATCTGGACGAAGTGAAAAAAAGTCGTTAGTTGGAGAGTCGGATTTTTGTGGATGCTCGGATAGCGATTCTGTCGGTCGCGACGAGATTGCGGGCGAGATTGAGGCTGGAAACGTACCTTGTCGGCGTGGCAGGTCGTCGATTGTCGTCGTTGTCACAACTGAGAAGTTCGAGAAGCAAGATCTCTTCAACGAGCTTGTGTGTGGGACGCTAGAGAATTAGGCGAGCCCCACCCGGGCCAATCGAACGGCTGTGTGGTGTGTATGCCTGAGGCAATAGTGCATGTCACGGGATCCTCACTGAAATCTCTCGTTACTGCCTCAGGCAAGCAGGCAAGAACGACACCTGAGCAGATAATTGGCCAATGACCATTATCAATAATGGAGCAATGCATAGATTGAAATCGAGCCAGATTCTACAGAAAGTGAACGCTCTTCACCTTTACCCATTAAGAAATCCGTGAGCAAAGACAGTGTGTTGTCCCTGTTGTCTGCTAGCAGCCACACGTTGTGCCAAGTTCAATTCAGGCTCTGTATATATTCTGGTATCATACAGCCACGAAGGCACGATTCATCACCAACGCATAAACCTCGAGCCATCACACCACTACTATCTAAAGCCTACACTATACTAGATCCCCCCGCTTCAATCCCAACGAGGTAGTCCAAGTACTTGGAAGGTATGAGTTTGAACTCCAAGATATTGAGCCGAAGAAAGTAGGCACCCCGGTGCTCTTCAATCCAACGAACGCTTACATCGAACACAACCTAGCGGGGCTAACTACCCAATCTTCAAAATGCTCTTGATTCAAACAAGTTGAGTGAAGAGCAATATAAACACTCAGACTATTTCCATACCCAGAATCATATCTCATAAGCCGCTCCTTCACAGTATCCTGAATCCAATTATCATACTCCAAACCACCCAAGTCCCTCTCTCCTCAGTCTCATAAGAATAAACGTAGAATCAATACCCCCACATATCCCCTCCCCCCTTCACCAAATCATCCTCATTCAACACGTGCAACCCCGTCTCCCGCCCCTGCTTCCGCCGCTGCCGCTTAGTGACCATCCGGCTAGGCGTCAGCGGCGTGACAGGCGTGAAGGGCATGTAGGGGCTGTAGGGCGTGGGGACGCCAGTGCGCGGGGCCCCGAGCGGCCGCACCGGCCGCTCCAGCACCGTCAGCTTCGTCGCCGGCGCGCTCTGCAGCGGGTAGGCGTCGCGGAGGGGCAAACTGCGCTGGCCGCCGGGGCCGCCGGCGGGCGGAGTGCCTGGGTTGATCAGGGTCAGCGGGGGTGGGAGGATGCGGGTGGATTTGCGACTTTGAGTTGTGGTAGCTGGGTCGAAGTTGTGCGTGGGGATGCCTCGGGGGAGAGGGAGGGGGAGAGAGGGTTGGTGATCGGGAATTGTGTCGTCTTGGCTGTATTGCTGCTGCTGTTGCTGCTGTTGCTGGTAGGGCTGGTGGTAGTGTGGAGGGTAGTGTTGCTGCGGTGCAGGATGCGTTAATTCTCTGTGCGGTCCTGGTCGCTGCGCACCACCACCACCTGTGGTGTTATTCGTGGTGTTTCTCGACTGCACTTGCGCCGGTAGGGGCGGGACCGGCGGCGGCGGGGGGTTGTAGATCCTTGGCGTCAACGGCGAGTGAGCATACGGATCGTCCTCCTCGTTCTTGTGGGGATCACTGGCAGTGGCATACCCGGGCGAAGTGATCGGGGACGAGATCGACATCTTGCGCAAGGGCAGCGCCAGACGCGGCGAGCGAAGTCTTCCACCACTTGCCCCATTGCTACTTCCACCCTTGGAGGGAGGGCCAGCAGCTACATGCGACAGCGACGTCGATGATTGATCTCGACTGGAGAACAGCGATAGTGAAGACGAGATTCTCGATAACCGAGACGGCGTGCGAGGCGACGTCGGGACCGCGTGCGCCGGAAGAGCAGCAGGCGGGTCGGTGAACGGGTTGCTGGCCACGGAGACGGCCGTGGGCGAGACGTCGTGGGCTCCAGCGACCTTCTTCTGCTCGTCATGCTCCATCACGGCCGCATAGAGCATCTCCAGGTCCGCCTGCGCCTTGCGTCTGTCGGAGGTAACGACGCCCTCGTCGAAGGTCGCCAGGCTGATGCTGCTGCTGGGGTTGGACAGTTGGGACTGCGACTTCTTGTGCGAGCCGCTGTGCTTGCTGAAGGTGCTCCAGGAGCGATTGGCGCGGGTTGTTGCAGTACTGCCGGTGTGATACTCGGGGATCGCTGGAATTGTCCCCGGACCTATTCCACCGGGACTGGGGAGGTGGACGCTTATCGGGGTGATGGGGCTGGGGTCCATGCTCGGTGGTGGTTTCATGGGTTGCAACATTTGCACTTGGAGGGAGTAGTTGGAGGAGAGGACGGCGCGGCGCAGGCGGCGGCCGACGACGAGAAGGAGGCTGAGGAGAAAGATAACACTGAACAGATAGGCCGCGATGATGCCGCCGATCTGAACGGCGAGAAGTGGCTCGTCAAGGGTGAAGCTGGTGTCTCGCTCGGAGAGGGGATCCGATGCTGAACCAGCAGCAGTCGTGGAGAGAAGGGATAGGTAAGAAAGAACCACGATACCACTAGTGCAGGAGAGCATTATCCCAAACAAACCTGGACCAGGAAATTGAGGGTATTTGAAGTGTTCAAGACCAGCGGTGGAGGTTTATGGATCATGTATCGATCATCTTCTTCATGTGGAGTGAAGAGCCGACAAAAACGAAATCGGGAAGGAGACCGCCCATCATGTTTGAGAATCGGCAGGGAACAGGCAATACCATTTATTCGTTGACCGTCCCAAGTGACTGGATGTGATGGCGTGAAGAAATCGAGGAGAGCCAGCAGTGCCAAGGATGTGATGGTGATGGGGATGAGGGCAATCCCCCGCGTTCGTTGGCCGCATACGCGCCCGGCTGCAGGCCCCGGCACATTTAGTGACCAGCTAGTCACATTCGGCGCGAAAGCGTGGGAGTGACTGGCTGTGATGGCCTTGCAGATTATTCTTTTAAACTTTGGCGTTTCCGTGTCGGTCTGAGCTGGTGTCCTGTCATGATAAGGGACTGTAACTGTTGAATCTATTTTGGTGAGGGATGGAGTGGAGCCCTAATCGAAGGCCGGGCAATGGGCTTGAGAGATACGCAAAGCTTAATCAACTACTAGGCAAGGGTCTGGAGCAGGGGAAAAAAAAAAAACGGAATGCCTACTTTTTGCATGAATGGTGGGCTGGAAGTACCTCTAGCTTGAGAGTACTCGGTACCTCACATTCCTTAAATCACTAGTAGCTAGGGGAGTCGTGAATCGGTCGGTAGATAAAATATCGTAATAGCTTTCCTCATGTATCATTACTTTTCCAGTCCGCATCCATCAATCATCAAGAAGATCTTCAAGTAGCAGGACTCTCCCATGAATCCCGCTTGATCTTCATCAAAGCTGACTGCTTGTGTGGGAACGTCACCTCGCCTTCCTTGTAGAAGCCCGCGCGGTGCAGGTATCCAATTAACCTATCAATCCACCTGTTAGCATATCGACCCCTGTTGAAAGAGTCAAGATCGAACATACTTCTCATTGTCTACTCTTGGCTCCAGCATCACCGTCTGCGTCCGTGGGTCTGCCAACCAGCAGTAATGCACCAAGGCACTCAACCAAATAGCCACGCGATGTGGCCCGCGGAACTCTTGTTCGCCCACCAACACATGCAGTCCCCGATCGTAGTTATCTGCGCCCCCCGGGATCAAGGGACCCAGCCGATCCTCCTTAACCCAGTAGATCTCGAAGTAGCCGAACGGTTTACCGTCCCAGCAGCCGATGACGGGGAAGCTGTGCCGACTCCGCAGATTATTGCGGAGAAACTCCTCTTGGTGACTGGCCGGGCCTGCCTCGCCCCAAGCAACGTTGACTCGCGGCTCGTTCATCCATTTGTGCAGCAGATCGACATCAGACGGCCCGGAGACCGGTGTCAACTGTTGATCGAGACTGCTGTTCGATGAACTGTGAGCGTGCTTCGCGCCGATATGATCGGCAGCAGAGCGCCCTAGATAGGGGACGCGGAACGACAGGTACTGCTGTACGCTGGGAATGTAGCGAATGTAGAAAACATCGCCCTGGTGCGGAGGTTTCGGACGGATCGGATGACGAATGCCATTTGTGAAGGTGTACTGTGTCGGTGGTGGAGGGAAATATGTAGGGAGGTGGCTGGTTGATGCGAAGGGGCCCTCGTTCGGAGTATAGTGGGCAGTCTCCTGCCCGGCCGGGTTACTGAGGTACATACTCGCGCGCGACGGCGATGCAACGCGCTGGATGAAGGGCGAACCCGATATCGCAGGCGGGATATTCATCTGGGGAGTCAGAGTGAAGACAAACAGTCTGGGATCGATCTGCCAGAAGCTCCGACGGCTCACGAACATGCGCGCCCACGCCTCCGGATCGTAGGGCTCAGTTCCGACCGACGAGTCCTCCGAGGCGATCAGACCCATGCGCTCCAGCTTCTGCAGCAATGTGCGACCCTTGAAAAAGCCTTCGCGCCGGATGGAGATTCGCCAGTCGCCTTGGGGCCGACCCGTGACAGGAGTTTTGGCGGAGGCATCGGTCGTCAAGTAACGATCGGGCTCGGATTCGTGGAAGTACCACCAGAGCGTCACCCAGAGCATCATGGCGATCTGGCGCGTCGGGGAGCTGACCGGCTTGTACTCGCTGCTGGGCGGGTCGACGATGTAGGAGATGTAGAGCGAGTCGTCGCGCAGAGTGGGCGTCGTAAAGCGGGTGTTCACTACCTGTGCCCCACGCTCTGCCTCAGTCGATCGACGGTCCCGTCCGCGATCTTCCTCCGATCCATCGGCCATTGTCGTATCTGCCTGTTCCACGGGCTTGCTGGTGTTCAGCACAATGCTCCAGCCGGGGAGTACCACATGGTAACCCTGGTTTTTGTCGTTGGACTTGAAGCTGACCCCGCCAAAGACGGGTGACACGGTGAAGGTCTGCCCGTTGGGCAAATGGCACATGTGATGGCGCATGGCGAAAAGCCCGTGAGAACAGCGACCTACATACAGAGAAGAGGATTGAGCAAGAAGGAGAGGGCGAGGAGGAAGGTTAAAAAGTAAATAAAATACAACAAGCACGAGACTGAGGGGAAGCTAAGGCCAACACAAGGATGGTGGGATGATGCGTCGTTGGCTGCCCCTCCCCCCGCTGGCGATCGCGCCGTCGGTGAACGGCCGCTATCAGGCTGGCTGTCGTTCTTGGCCCCGACTGCGATTCCAGTTCAGGGCTGCTGACGGTTTCCCTGCGACATGATCTGGTCTAGATAGAGGCGATCGCGCATGAAGATAGACAGCAGAAGAGGCTCAGACCGAGCTACAATGATGAATTGGGAGTGGAGGAAGAGAGTGCGTGTTGAGAGAAGTTAAGAAAGTGTAGTGAGGGAAAAGAAAGGCGGATTGCCAGGTTGATGTCATCTGCCCGATTACCGCATTTTGCTTCCATTACCGCCCGCATGTCCAATATTACGGCTCTAACCCGGATTGACCAGGCAGAATGGCGGCCTGTGCCTCCTTCCGCCGTATGACAAGCCGCGCATTAGCAATCCGGTCCGTTCTCTATCCACTCGAAGTCTCCAGATCTACTTCACCCCCTCTAGTTTGCCCTGTAAGGTGTCTGAAAAGTCTGCGAGCCACTTCAGTTCAAGCTGCTGACCCCGTTTCTGAATGTATTGACCAGTAGAACACATCGTATAGTCAGCCTGGAAAGTATAATGAGTACCTAATTATTAATATGAAACAGAATAGGAAAAAAAAAAAAAAAAAAAAGGAACCAGGAGAAGAAGAACCGGATTTCGCAAAGTGATACCGAAGAAGTCAAAGTCCGAAGATCTCGGAAATCAACAGTAAAAGTTGAACCGAAGCCGAACATAAGTAGTAGTAAAGCCGAAGCCAAAAACAAGTCGGAAAAATCAACTGTCGAATTGGATATCATTTCGCTAAAATTCCGCAATCGTCGTCCCAATGTTCTTCTCGCGCGCCAATTGAATCAGATCCCCACCGGTCACCAAGTCCATCAATCCCATCCCCACGCTCTTGAAGATGACATTCCCCCGTTCTACCCACTCACGCAGGCTTTTGTGGTCGTCGCTGTCGGCATCCCCATGGGAGCATTCACGCACAATCAACAGCTCGCCAAGTTCGACCACTTGATGCGGCTTGATCCCCGCTTGGATGATCTCTCCCGCCTCCTTGAGAGCCGCGTCGAGACTGTCGACAACGACTACGCCGCTGCGCTTGACGTGTTTGTGGAAGTGTCGATGGCCCGGGGTGTGCACGCTCACTTCGTCGCGAAGCAGGTCCGGCGGCAGTTCGGTCATGTGTGGTTTGTACGATCCAATCGCGCTAATCAGCCGGCCCTTCTGGCGGCCTTCGCGGTCCGTCAAGATCTCGGCCGGGAAGAGCGGGTCGATGGCCGGAGTGCAGCAGAAGATAGCGTCGGCTTTCCGCAGCGCGTCATGCAAAATGCGGGGGTACTCCACGAAGTCGGTACTAACGGCAGAAAATTTCACATCGCCGCGCCAGCTCGAGTTCTCCGGTGCGTAAATATCCCGTAGCAGCTGCGCGGCTCGGTCGAACGATCGGTTGATAATGTAAACGCGCTTGATGTCCGCGCTGCGGAGGACCAGCGCCAGCCGGATGTGCCAGTATGCCTGCTTCCCCGCACCGAACACCACAATGGTCCGCACCCGCTTGCGCTTGTTAAGGGTCATGAGAGAGGTCAGGGCAGTTCGAAAGGGCGTCAGTTCGTGTGCGTTGATCAATCCGAAGGGGAGACTGTTGCCGTCCAGCAGCGTGACGCTTCCCTGCGGGGAGGTATCCCGGGTCCCGGCCCCAGGCCAGGCGCCCATTGTCTTCGATAAGCCGCCCGCGACCGGTTGTTGGTTGACGCAGCCCGCCGCCAGCGACTTGCTGCTACTGCTGCCACTACCACTACCCCCACTGCTGGTCATAGACAAGGAGTTGTTGGTGGAGGTGCCTTCTTGCGATGAGAGGGACAGTTCACTGACGTCGGAGGCAATGGAGGCCATGGATTTCCGCTTATCGACTCGAGAGACACCAGTTCGATCGCTCGGGGAGACTTGAGCCGCGGCGTCAACCGAGCAGCCCACCTGAGCGCTCTTATCTTGTAAAGAAATCACCTTCATGCCCAGTGTCGGGCCAGTGCTCGCGGGCATAAACACGGTGGTGCTGCCATCGGGGCGGGTAATAGCAGTGCGTTGGGGTTGATAGGTGGCGGCACAACCCTTCTCTTGACTGCCGGTCGAATAGTCGCGAAGGGCCCGGGCGAGGTTTTCTTGCAGAGAGACGATCTGATCGCGGGAGAGGGAGAGAAGAAGGGAACGGAGTTGCTCTTGAGAAAGGATGGTGAGGGGCATACTGAGTATGAGTCAGGAAGGGTTAAACTGATAAGGAAGGGAGTCTTCGGTGAGTGTGGAAGGCGGAGGGAGAAGGAGGAGAGGAGAGGAGGAAGAAGAGGAAAGGTGAAAGGGAGGGTCAAAGAAAGAAAAGAATCGAAAAGATAAAGAGATGGGGCCTGGTGCTAATGGAGATGGATGGCCCGGAAGGATTCCAATGATAGATCGACGGATGGATGGAGGGGCAGCCCAGAGCCTGGAGGGGAGGAAGAAACATATTGACACCGGGGCCGGAAGCGGATTGGATCAGCAGTTCCCATAAGTTCTGGGCGGACGGAGGCAATGACGCCAGCCCAGCCGCTGGGCTGACCGAGTCCGGCCTCGGTGATTGGCGTGCATCCGCGAGATCTTCCCAGGGCTCGAGGGAGTTCTGCTTGTCGAGGAGGCGATCAGAGGGAAAATTGCCTCGGAGGATCAATTTCAGTTAACTATATGTATAATTCAGTAACTCTATCCCGGTGAAAGTAGTGGTTGAGAGAGAGGTTGGGCAAATGGAGTAAAGGCCAGACAGAGCCTGTGACAAGACACAGACATCTCCAGGCTCCGGACATCCGCCAAGCCGATTCCCCGGGTCTCTTGGCTGGTCGCGGTCGGGGCCGGCTTGATTGGCCCGCGCAGTGCTATTTCCGGCCTGTCTCCATGGATTCATTGGCTTCAAGTCCATTGTATGCCTTGGCGTGGGAATTAAAGTGGGAAGAAAAGTACGAGTCGCCCAAACAGGCACAGCCACAAATATCCGCTTTCGGGGACTGGTCATTATCACTGGGCAATCAATTGAGCTCATGCATTGTCATCATAACTACTAATAACTAAGTAAGTATACTACCCCATATAACTGATTCAATCAGGCTGTATAGTATATCCATCCATCTGTCCTTCCTTCTTTCTTCCTGCCCTTGATCATTCTGAGACACCAAGATCCATAATAAATACCCAAAAATCATTACCAGAACCTCATGTCCAAAACCTCATGTCCAAAGATAAAAAAAAAAAAAGTAGTACAACCTTAAGAACAGAATCACGATCAACGCCAGCAGAATGCACAAGGTAAAGAGTGTCGGGGTATTGAAAGAACGGTCGTGACGGTAAGTAACACATCAAAGTGCTTTTCGCATGAGAATCATCAAAACAAGAGGGAAAAGAAAAAAAAAACATTAATTAACCAGTCAAGTCACAAAAGACGGATCATCAAGGCCAGCTCAATGAGATCTATACTTAGTGTCGACGACTGCCCATGTACGACCCCGCCGCCGTGGCGAGAAAGCGCGCCACGAACCCGTGACCACCGACCGTGACCGGGTGGGCGGGGCCGTGGGGATGGGCTGTGTGTCCAGAATACCCGACACGCATCTTCTTGCTGGGCTGCGTCGCCCCCAGGCACTCCTCCAGTGGTAATCTATCGCCAAGGAACGATGAGGAGGGACTGCGACCGACATCCATCACCTGCACGGACATAGATTCCTCGAAGCTGTTGATGGAGCTGGAGGTTCGGAGGCTAGCCGGAGTCGCTGCCCGCGAACTGGGCGCCAGGCTGGAGGCCCGCGAGCTCAACGAAGCAGCAGTGTCAGCACGGGTTAGCCCGGGCACTTCCTGCATGCCCGGGGGAGAGCCTGACATCCGGCCGCGAGAGGTAGGGCGCCGGCGGCCAGTCGGGTATGGGTGATAACGGTCGGCCCCAGCCTCCGGAAGGGAGGGGGCTGGAGAGGCACTCTGTGAGCTCGACACGGACGAGACAGAAGAAAGGGATGACAGGGAGACAGATGAGGCAGGGCTGGCAGGTATCATTCGGCGGTCGGCGGGCTGATAAGCTGCATCCACCACTTGTCGGCGAGCATCCAGTTTCTGACGGCGGAGACGCGAGGTCAACAAATCCGTGGAGGAGTGGAAGCGACGCCAGTCTCTAGATTGGCGACGCTCAACTTCACGCTGTTGAAGCTGCTGTTGCTGGTACCGCTGGCGGATCGGGGCCAGAAAGGGCTCCAGGTGCTGCAGCAGGTCCGCTTCAGTGACGCGCGTGTCCCAGTCGAGCAGGAATAGCAGCTGGCGCTCCATGAGGTTAACCTCGGGCAGGGGAAAGGCGAATCCATCGTAGCCCTTGACGGCCGTATACCGGGCCCAGTGCTTGTTCTTCGGGCTCGAGTCGTTCAAGTTCTTGGCCGCAAGGATGAGCGAGGCGAGGAAGATGCGGTGGACGGTGCAGCGCATGCCCTTGGCCACCGGAGGAAGACGGGAGCGCAGTCGAGCCAGATACACTAGCGAGGTCATCAACGTGGGCACCTGAACCTGTGATCGAGCGACTAGGGAAGCGATGAACGTTTCAACCGAGGGGAGCGGTGGTAGCGTCGCATCCATGGGAGGTGTGCTGGGTGGTGTCGGCTGGCCGTGGGCATGTTGTGCCGTCACATGCGGTTCGCAGCGGATGACCTGAGAGGCCTGCTCAGCCAGGTGCGCAACCATCTCCCTCGACACCGGTTGCATGATAAATTCATGCAGGGCGGCCCGTTCAAGATTCACAGTCGTCGTCGCCGTTGCGGCGGAAACCATGTTGGGGGTGCTGTGGGAATATGCTAGGTAGGGGTGAACGGTCATCGTGGGAGACCGTGAGGAGCGGAAGAAAGGGCGGGAACCAGAAACACTATCAAGTTTGGCAAGCAGTCTTGTGAGCTGGAGGTCGTCCAGGATATATTAGAGTCGATGAATGAATGTACGTCAGTCCTGCCAGCAGGAGAGGAATGTGTGGTTGTCGAGTCAACTGTAGTCGGGGAACGATCGCTATGGGGATGCGATGGGTGACTGGGACTGAGACACGCTTTGAGACACCAAGTGGATGCCGGGGAAGATCCAGACCAGCGAAATTCAAGTTGTCTTTGGAAGAGAGTGTGCAAAAGAGAGAGACCGACCGAGACGACAAGACTAATTCTGGTGATGGTGAAACCCCGTTTGGAGAAGGAATGAACTGTTGGCGAGATCGAACAAGAGCACTCAACCACCCAGCGACGAGGGCTTCATATAAGGAACAGCCCTAGGGTGTATGCAGGAGGGGGTGGGCAGAGGCGAGTATGCGCGCAACGAAAAGGCTGGCGCTGCAAGGACGGCGACGCGCAGAGTATGCATGAGGGGGGGGGGGGGGGGGGGGGGGGGGGGGGGATGGAGGGGTGCCCTGGATTTTTTTCTTTTTTTTTTTTTTTTTTTTTTCTGACTGCCCTGAATTGTTACCTTTTTTTATTTTCTTTTTCTTTTTCTTTTCTGCAACACGCTGCAACACCATGTTGGGCATTGGGTGCTGAGTGGTCTTGACCTGCATCGCTCACGCAGGGCCGATCGTCGGGGGTTTGGCGCGCGCGAGCCTGGAGTAGGGCAGTGATTGGAGCAGCCACGAGATGCAGGAATCAAGGGTTGGCAGGTGAGCGCGTCGGCGCCACGATCCTGGTACGCGTGAAGGACAGACTGACTGGTTGACAAGAACTCAAGTTCCTAGGTAATGGGAGGAATGGTCCAGACAGGAGCACCAACGAAGGGCTGTCATTCCAATGAGCTCAAGGGTTTTGCCTTCTCATAACCAGTTGCGGAAACATGTAGAAGTGCCGGCGGGATCAGACGGAGCAATAGAGAGAGAGTAGACTAATTTAGTTGCTACTGCACCTGCCGCCCGTACTTAAGCGCCCGCGCGATGTCTGATGCTGTTATTTTTATCATCCACCCCCCTCAGAACTCCAGGAAACAAGTTATAATTAGAATAATTAGAAACAGTTGTTGACCTTCACTTAACCGCCAGGCTAGTAGCTTAGTATGTATGGCATAGGGACTAAATCGGTATGCATGCATGACTGTCTGAATGTATGGATGAATGCATGGGTGTGTGTATGGACGAATGTATGTATAGATAGATGTGTGTATATTTACATTGTTGGATTGATTGATTGTAAGCACCCCTCATCGTCATCCCCGCGCAGCGCGTCCGGAAACCTTATAAACCCCTACAATGGCCTCCCGGTATCCTGCCTAGGGAGCTGAAACACGGCGCCTACATTCTCTCACTTCCATCCCCACCCACTCCGGTCAAGTTCCGTCCGCGCCATACGGTCGGCCATCCGCAACACTCGAGGTTTGAATTTACTCCTCAATGGAGATGGTGTACTCGGAGACGGTCAACTTGGCGTTGGAGCCAGTGAAGGGCTCGGTACCAGCCTCGAGGGTAGTCAGGTACAGGTCCTTGGACAAACCCTCGTGCTCAATCAGATAGGTGAAGAAGTCATTCAGGTCACCGGAGAAGTCCTCGGTAGTGGACGAAGCGACGAAGCTGTAGACGGTGGTGTCACCGTTGGGGCCGGAGTACAGCTTCCAGTTGACGCCGGCCAGCGTCGGGGTGGCGATGGTCGAGCCAGTCGACGAGATGGGGCCAGCACCGCCCAAGGCACCAAGCCAGACCATAATCTCGTACTTGGAGGAGCCGCTGGGCGATTCGGCCAGGAATGTGTCGTAAGCCACGTCGGCAACGATGTTCGAGCCGGAGTATCTGTCCAGTCAGGTCAGTCACGTTGTCCCCTTCCGTTCGGTGCGAAAAGCCACTTACGACCACTTCCAGGTGGTAGGAATGTTGCAGATGCTCTTCAGCTGCTTGGGCGTGAATTTCAGAGCCGCGTTGGCGTAGCTCTTAACGTTGCTGCTGCCACCAGACCAGGACCAGTTGGTGTGCCAGGCGATCTTGTCGCCACTGTACGAGTCAACACCAGTGCACTGCTTGCCGCTGCCGGAGTCCTGGCCCCAGAGGTCGTTGTACAGGGTGAAGTCACCGGCGGTGACGGATCCCCACTGGTCACAGAAGTCACTGCGGCGCTGGAGGGTAGCAGCCGAGGCCAGAGTGGCGAGGGAAAGGAGGGAAAGCTTCATGTTGGAAAAAAGTAGACGGTTGTTTAAGGAAAGACAATTGGTCGGTTTGTTGGGTTCAATGTACGATCAACGTCCACTGTCCTCGAATATGTGATGCTGATAAGAAGAAATCTTGACATGATGGCAGGTCAACGAGCTGCCTTATATACGATCCCACATGGCACAAATCCCGGAGGGCTCTGTTGAGAAGCCTGTTCGTCTGGGCCGTGGCTTCAATCAATCAAGCAGAAACAACGGGGTGGACTAGTCTCAACCTGGTCAATGAGACCTGAGCAGTCAGCGTGAGTGAAGCTTCTGGCTTCTCATCCCCGCTGGACCCGGTGGACCACGAGGGAGAAGACCGATAGGGTCGAACATCGGGCTTGTTCTTCATTTGAAACGGTCCCACGGGTTGCTCCGTGCAGAGGAGTGGAAAACGTTCGATACATCCAGTTTGATGGAGCACGGCAGAGGAGTCAACGGTGGGTTAGCCCAGGAGAGTCGGTGGATTCGTCACCTTTTCATTTCCCGGGTCCGTTTCGAATTCGATAAGGGGAAAGAAAGGCCGGAGAAATTGACCGGAACAATTCCGCCTTCGCCAAAAAGGGGCGTCATTGAGGCGATCGCAGCGCCTGACCCCAAATCTGCTATTTATATGGACGGAAAAACCGGAAGGAAGAAATTAATTAACGTTCATATCCTATTGATGATGAGGTCCCCGGGGGTTCAGTTCAGAGATGATTCTTGCACGTGTTGGTTGTGGCCAAGCAATGGATCTCTCACCGCTTCCGGAGACGTCGGATGGATGATCGTACAGTAGAATCCAAATAACGTCAACAAGATCAGCAAGGCTTTCAATGTGACAGCACTACGTATTCGCAGGGGATTTGGACATGTCCTGAGGTGCCCCGTTTGAAACCATGTATGCGGCAATAAGGTTCCGGATTGACGTATAGTTAAATTGGCAGTGGACAACATTTCATGTCTAACTCTGAGAGGCTAATTATCCCGTCTCATCGATGAACTACGCATGGATGCATAGATGAGGCAGCCGAGGTAGAACTGACGCACGTCTTCATGTGCATAATGGACTGGGTTCGATGTTGTTGCGCGGAACTGCGATTGAACGTGCCATTGCGTTGAAGTCTGATCTATACTATATATCTGCTGGGAAGTGCAAAGTAGAGTGATATTTACGTGAAGACGGTACACATACTTAGCACAATATATCTTTGTACAAGCATTCTGGCGTTACTAGCTGCAGGCCGCAGAAAATGCTAGCGATAGCTTGACTCCATGCTTCCACCCACTTTGACTTATGACCAAGGTGCAAAGCGTGAGGTCAAATGCTTAGCAATTCCGACCTGCTGAGATTCAGGGGCTCGGCGCACATGCTTTAATATCCATAATCTCCACCTCAGGTTCGATAGGAAGGGACAACCGACACTAGAACGGACCCTAGATGGAGAACACTGGGTCTAGAGCTGGTGTCTAGAAAATGCTTGGGAAGAGCCAAATCCACCGACATCCAGACTGTCCAGGATCTTCAAGTGGTGATGAGAAGGAACAAAAGAGTAGCAACGGTGGTAGGTGCCTGAGCCTCAAGGCTGAGAATTTCCCCTTAGAACATAGTCTGTATTACTAAGCTTATCCCCGGCGTTTGCTGCTATCAGCACTAGTCCCGATCCAGAATACGGCCTCGGAGAAAGAAAAACAATCCATCGGCCCATTCAAACACCATCCATCCATTATACACTCTCTCCCTATCCTCACCCAACACCCTCCACTCTCTCCACTCCACCGGTCAATTGCACTCCGCAGCAATTAACCGTCATCGCCATGCGTGCCATTAGTCTCGCCGTGGCCCTCTTCGCCCTCTTCTCCGGCCTGTACAACTACCTGAACGCCCGCCTGGAGCAATTCTACATCTTCGACCACGCTCACCTGCACGACCTCTCCCAGCGCGCCATTGCCGCCCACGGCAACGACACCCGCGCTGTCGTGAACTATATTGTCGCCGAGCTGGACGAGAAGACTCCCGGCACCTACATCAACCACGAAGAGGAATGGGTGTTCAACAACGCCGGCGGTGCCATGGGCGCCATGTATATCATCCATGCTAGTGCGTCCCCCCTTCGTCCTACCATTCTATAATTATCCCAGTCCTCCTGATAACTAACCTATGGTCCCCTCTCTTAATTAATTAGGTATCACGGAGTACCTGATCATTTTTGGTAATACAAACCCGCGCAAATCTCCACCCACCCTTCCCCCCCCAAAATACTCAACGGCCTCACCTCCCATTTTTATAAATCTAGTCCACCACCCATACTCTTTCCAGACCACAGGCTAACCTCCCCCGGGAACTCAGGAACCGCCATCGGCACCGAGGGTCACACCGGCCGCCACACGGCGGACGACTACTTCAACATCCTGCAGGGCACGCAGCTGGCGTACGTGCCGGGCGCCTACGAGCCCGAGGTTTACCCGCAGGGCAGCGTGCACCACCTGCGCCGCGGCGAGGTCAAGCAGTACAAGATGGACGCGTCTTGCTTCGCGCTCGAGTACGCCCGCGGCTGGATCCCGCCCATGCTGTTCTTCGGTTACGCCGACACCTTCTCCAGCACCTTGGACTTCCCGACGCTGTGGGCTACCTCGCGCATCACCGGTCGTGAGATGATCTCCAACTTGCTCAAGGGGAAGTTCTAAGCGGACTGTCTAAGCTGAGCTTGTTGAGAGGATTGAAGCGTGTGTAGGCTGAGTTTGTCACGAAGATGAAAAGAGCAAATGTGTATACTACCTTAAGATTCTTTTGTTGTCCTTAGATTTTGAATCGGTCGGCAGACCTCTTTCTGGCCTTCTGTCTGGGGGCATTGGTCGATAGAACTTTAAAAATATATCTAATCATGTTTTGATATCCAATGCTTACTGTTCTGTGCTGCATGGGGGCTGGACTGGAGATTGTTTACCAGGAGCATAGGGTTGAAACAAACAAGCCAAACAAAAGCATGACTAATCAATCCGCTTTTCTTATCGATAACATTATTCCAATTCCTCGAACCCACCCGCGCGGCCGCCTCCAGAAAATTGCCTTGCCCCCTCATTCCACGCCTCCCCTCCCGATCGACATACAATAATCGATACACCCAACAAACCAATACGGACCCAGAACCCGGCCCGAAAAATGCCTCCGTCCCCCTGCGCGAACTGCCACGCCGAGCGGGCGGTGATCATCCGGCCGAAGAACCGGCAAAAGCTGTGCCGGACATGCTTCCTGGCGATCTTCGAAGCGGAAGTGCACGAGACGATCACATCGACGCGGCTGTTCCAGCGCGGCGAGCGGGTGGCGATCGGCGCCAGCGGCGGCAAGGACAGCACGGTGCTGGCGTCGGTGCTGAAGACGCTCAACGAGCGCCACGACTACGGCCTGGAGCTGACGTTGCTGTCCATCGACGAGGGCATCAAGGGCTACCGCGACGACAGCCTGGAGACCGTCAAGCGCAACGCCGAGCAGTACGCCATGCCGCTGGTGATTCTGGGATATGGCGAGCTGTATGGCTGGACCATGGACCAGGTCGTGGCCCAGGTCGGCAAGAAGGGCAACTGCACCTACTGCGGCGTGTTCCGTCGGCAGGCGCTGGACCGCGGCGCCGAGCGTCTGGGCATCCGCCATGTCGTTACCGGTCACAATGCCGATGATGTCGCTGAGACTGTCATGATGAATCTGCTGCGCGGGGATCTGCCCCGCTTGGCGCGCGGTACTAGTATTGTTACTGGATCGGCGGCCTCGGATATTAAGCGCAGCAAGCCGCTGAAGTATGCCTATGAGAAGGAGATTGTGCTGTATGCGCACCACAAGCAGTTGGACTATTTCAGTACCGAGTGCATTTACTCGCCTGAGGCTTTTAGGGGCAGTGCCCGCACGTTGATTAAGGATTTGGAGAAGATTCGGCCGAGTTCGATTCTGGATATTGTGCGCAGTGGGGAGGATATGGCGGAGTTGGTGCCGGCGGAGGTGCGCGGGTCCGGAGCCGCGGCCGATGAGGAGGCGGCGGAGACGACGGGGTGCGGGAGTCAGAGTGGGCGGACGCGAGGCGGAGAGATGGCGGAGATGGAGAAGAAGCTAGCTGAGGACGAGGCCGCGACTGAGCGCGAGACGGAGGTAACGGTGGCATCGGTCTCGGGAGGAAAGAGGAAGAAGAACGCAGTCAAGTCGCAGGTACTGGGCAAGTGTGAGCGCTGCGGGTATATCTCCAGTCAGCGGGTGTGCAAGGCGTGCACATTGCTCGAGGGCTTGAACAAGAACCGGCCGCGGACGGCCATTGAGATGGAGGTGGGCTTGGAAGAGGAGGAGAGTAGTTCGACGCTGCGGCGACAGATGGAGAAGGTCGAGCTCGGAGGATGAGAGGGTGGTCTGGATGAAGAAGACACCACTGCCGAATTAGACGAGATACTAAAGCCGAGGGACACTCCGACGGACTGAACAATACCTGACAGCAACAGGACAGCCACTCATCCCGCCAGGATCATTGCTGCAGCAGCAATCACGACACAGAGTGTAATTACTAGACGGGAGAACAGCCTCATACCTCCGCCGACACCACATAGACCAGCATATACCAAAGTCTATAGACCTCTTGACTTTCAGTCCATAAATTCAGTCCATAAATACACAATAATATACATCCACAAACAGGAACAGGAAAGATTCAAACCCCAAACTCCACAATCCTCATGCAAGACAATCTATAGGGCATCACCAACCCCAACAACCCCGCTCCCTTATGCATACTCATTACCCCAGCACCCAGTAATACACCCCGTCTTCCCCCGAGCCTCGAGGCCCCCAAAACCTAGCATCCCACCTAATCCGATCCTTCTCAGGGTCCCCAAAGCCACCCCAACCAAACGACCACCCCAGATTAATCCTTCCTTTCCCCCTCCTCAATCGGCAAATCCAACCCCACCCGCCTCGCCGTCAACCGGATCCTCTCCTCCTCATCCAACCAGCTACCGGGGTTATACCGCTCAACGAGCGCGGAATACTGCCGTTGCGCGCGGGCATACAGCGCGAACTGCTCCGCCTCCTGCAACCGGGCCGTCAGCGTGGCGGTTTGCTCGTCGCTGCTGCTGCTGCTTTTCGCCGTGGACGCATCGCCTTGCACTTGGTACATTGCGCGGATGCTGCTGTGGAGGGGCGTGGGCGGGGTGGCAATCGTGCGGCGCGGGAGTTCGCGGAGGAGAGCGCGGTAGGTGGATTTTGCGGCTGTGATTGTTGAGGTGGCCATTGTTTTTTTTTTCTTCTCTCAGAGGGTGTGTGTGTGTGTGTCTAGAATAGGAGGTGGAGGCGTTGGTTTCTTTGAGTTGCGCTGTGTGGAAGACGGGGTGTGATGGTCTGGTTTGGTTTGTTGAAGACCGAGCAACTTTGCTATCATTTCCTATCGGCTACGGAGAGTGGAAGGTCGGGCCGGTTGTATCACGTGATCTACCGTCCCCGTTCACTCTGGTGCAGACTAGCTATCCTGTGTAGGTAGTGTGTAATAATGGTGATATAGTAACTACATGGTCAAAAAGTGTATGTATGTATGTACATCATCAAAACGACGATCGTAACATTCATGGTCCTCGTCAGCCTGCGTTCTTGCGCGCTGTATCTCCGTTGTGGTCATTATTTGCCGCGTCCCTAGGATCGCAGCCAGCCAAACTTCTTCCGTCCAGTATCACCGCCAGCGGAGGGTTCTACCTGCATACTACGTGTATACAAATCCTGCTCACAGTTAGACAAATCTCGGTCCAAGTCAGAGCACGGAACCATACCTCTTCATCACCAGATAGCTTGATGTCCAAGATCAGGCGAGTCACTTCGTCGAATTTGGCAAGGTGTGGATATGGCGTCTTCTGGCTTCGTTGGATCCCCAGCACCACTTCACCCATTACCTCGAACTTGCGCCAATTGATTCGGTTCTTCGTGTCGCCCACAAACGTCTTGTTTCCTTCCTCGGCGGAAACCAGATCGCGTCGATGCAGCGGCAGGAACGGGATCCGCTCTGCGAATGAGTTGTCCCACGCCAGGCGATATGCAAAGTGGCTCTTTTGTGTTCCCATGAGGATGACCAGCCTCATGAAGTCTTTCTGCGTCTGCATCGGCACCAGCTCCCGAGTCTGGGAAAGCCGATGTACCGGAGTTCCATTAATTCCAGCAATAAGAGCCCCAAGGGAGTTGTAGTTGTTCAGTCTTCGAAGTTTCTATCGAACCACATTAGTTCAAACACACGAAGACACTCCGCGGATCAACTTACAAATGCAACGTTCATGAATTTTTCTAGCGCCTTGGCCCGGTGTTTAGGCTTGTCGCGCAGGAGAATGACGCTTGCAACAAAGAATGCCACGTGGTTGAACTGTTTGATCATCCGATTGACATGCTTGAGGCTGTGAATTTTGTCTTTGTCCGCACCGGTGATGCTAACATGTCGGACGAGGTCTCGTGGGCGGAAAGAATTGAACATGATCCAGTCAATGCGCGTCAATTCCCGAGCAAAATCTTCATCGGGAATTTCCATGAATTGCCGCCATTGCACCTTCGTCAACGGAATGCGGGGCGTCAAATTCAAATGTGAAGCCTCTCTCTGAGCTGACTCAATGTTGAGTGCCGTGAACGACTGGCTTGCCACAGTCCCGGGCTTTTCCGCTGTGAAAGAGTTCGTCATGGACGCCGACAGCCTCGAACCAGACTCTAGTGCGCCCTCACTGAGGTCCAACGCACTCATATTGTAGATCGGATCCTCTTCCTCTTCATCACCCTCATCGCTCAGCGGAGGAGGTCCCAGGAAGATTGACGGCGAGCTTCGACCCGAGTACTGAAAAGTAGGCTCGGTTGGATCAAACTCCTCCACCTCACCGTCTCTAAACGGCCACCCGATATTATCATCCTCGGTGTTGACCTCAAGATACGACCCAATCTCTTTGGCCGCAAACATATAGAAATGGCTCTTTTCCAGGTTGGCGACAAAATCAGTGATCCGTTTCCGCGTCTTGGGATAGGCCAGATCACCTGGATACTCTGACACCCACTGGGCCATGACGGTAAGTAGTCTCAGTTGGTCGGCAATGCGCGTAAGCTGATCGGAGGTTTCTCGCTCATTCCGCTCAAATCGATTGATCAAAGCGCTCAGTAAAGAGGAAGGGGCGGCAAATTTGCGGTACAGGCACAGGAAGATCGATGCGAATTTAGAGTCATGCTTCGACATTGGCTGTGCGACTAGCCGATCGACCAGCTCATCGAAGGTAAAGCCATTCTCATTGGAAGAGCTCTCACTCGGCGTCTTGTCTTTGCTTCCTGGGCTCGACGGAATGCTTCGGGGCCCATCCATCTCTTCTCCCATTTCGATGAAGCTACTGAAAGCGTCCGACCCACCACTGTTGCGCCAGGCCGCATGAAGCCGATGCTGTCGATTAAAATCTTTGCCCGGGGATGATTCTCCCGGCGCTGAAGGCTTGCGCTGATTCAGTCGTCCCGAGGGAGGCGTGTGCGGTCGCAGAGGGTGTGAGTTGCTCCGGGCATAGCGTGGGCCTTGTCCATTAGAGGGAGTTGAGTCGGTCAGTTGACGATCTACACCGTACCCATCGACCCCTGGGTCCAGAGCTCCTGTAATTGGGCCGCCTGCGGCTCCCGAGAACACGGATGTGGGGGTTTCTGAGCTGGCACGACTATGACGCCAGCCCGGTGTGACAGTACGATCAGATGAGTACTCTGCAGCTGAAAAGGAGAACAGTTAGCATCGACACAGAAGGTTCCAGGCCAGGCGGAATAGAGGAAGAGAGGATCGGGGTGGCGTTGTTGCTGCTGCGCCTGCGTTCTGGGGATGGGCGGGTCTCGGAAGTCCGAATGCGAGCGCTAGGCGGAGGCCGTGCCGCGGACTAGCGCGACATCTGGTGGACCATCGCTATGGACGGGCCACAGCCGACAAGTAACAACAACAACGCAAAGGTGGATATAATTTGAGTGAGTCATGGCAGACTTGGATCAAATGGCACACAATTGACAACATATTGTTTGTTGCGTAACGAGTTCAAAGATGGGGAAATTCGTTCTTCGAAGCACTTACCATTCCTGTCGCTGATAACGGATCGCAAAACCAGGGCAATACACATCTTCTGCGACCGTGGTGAATCGGGGCAGGTGCGAAGAATCTCATAGCCATCCATGACTGGCTCAACTGGACTATTAGGGGTTTGCATGTCGCATTTACTTGCAACCAATTTATGAGGTATGCAGGAAGCGTCCAAGGCGGCTGCAAACATCAGCATACACATTTCCACCACGAACGAGCTACGATCGTAGCTCAGAACAAGGGCACGCACCTAGTAGGCCTTTAATGTTGGCAAGGCTTGCAGGTTGAGTCACGTCTTGAAGAACAAGCACCCCATCAACGGAGGGAGGTGTATCATTTCCTAACCGTGGCCATTGGACCTCGCCATTGCTTCCGATCGAGATCTCCAGTGTATCTATCTCCAGTAGTCGAACGAGGTAGACTGTCCCATCAAGGGACATCTTCTTTGTCATTGTCCGGGAGGAAAGGGAGTGTTTCATCTCCAGTGCGCTTTCAATGAAAGTTGATTTGCCCACATGATCTGGACCAACCACGGCGATGCTCACATGGGGGAAATTCGGTTTCCGAATGGACTGCGTCAAAAGGTCTGGTCAGCTATGCGTCGAAGAAGCTTTCGCAAGGTAGGGCTCACCTCATTGCCGGCATGACTCAATGGGAGTCCGTGTTCTCCGAGTGAATCCGCTAAGGCCTGCTTGAGATGCAAGAATCTTGTCAGACCATGATGCCGCAGGATATAATTCCCAACAGAAAATGTAGGAACGGAGGTTGGCTCACCTCACCACCGAAACGGGCCGACGAGCTCCTGTGTCCTTCAGCCGATGGAGACCGTTCATCTTCCTCCACTAGAGTCCGCTCCATTTTGGCCGAGTCCATGGCCATTCTGGCCGGATCGAGCTTATACAGGCCCCCAGCGGGAGCGGAGATGGTGCGGTTGGGGAGCCCCGGTCTTTGCGGGACGGGCGCGGCCTCCGCCCTGTCGCTGGACACCGCTCGCTCTCTATTCGGAAGTTGGGAATTCATGAGGGATCGATCAAGGGGGAAAATGACAGTGCGCGAACGGTTGGACAGTAGCCGCGGGCCAAATGAGGGTCCGGTCGAGCAAACACAGAAGGTGCGACAGCGTGAGGTTTCAACGGCTAGGTGAGTGAGGGACGCGAACACAACAGCTCATCCATTGTCGCTTGCACCGGTTAAGTAAGTAGAGGGGAAGTCTAGCAATTGATGATGACCGTCCTGCTGCAATCAATTGACGGAGCGAAACAACGATCAAAGAGAAGAGGCGTAGCGCCAGTTGAAGGGGGTGGGAATCTTTTGTTTGGTCGTTTTTCCGCCGCCCGTTGTCTGGCCCAGGTTGATGTTCTTTTTTTTCTCTTCCGCTTCTGATTGGTCTTCCCGCGGCCGTAACAAGATACCGAACAATTCAGCTGAGCCCCTCGTGGGATTTATGCTGAGCAATTCTAGGGGTGTCCAGCTCAAGTAGCACAGTCTGACGAGAGAATTGGTTGAAGGATTGATTGCGAGGAGAAAAGGAAGGAGACAAGTAGGCAAAGGGTACAATAGATCGGAGAGGGAAGGGGAGAGAGTATGCGAGTGAGAGAGGGAGACAGAGCACTTGGGGAGAGAGGGGAGTAGGAAGAGGAGAGACTCAGACGGAAGTCGGAGAAAGAGAGCAAGCAGCAAGCAGTACAAGTCAACTGGGGGCCGAGTGGGCAGGAAGGGCTTTTGGGGCCTAGTCCTGGCTACTGCGGAGGATTATATTTAGCAACACGAGGCAGTCGTAAAACTGACGGACACTCAGCATTCCTGTCGGTCACACAGGAGGGGGGTGGGCAGGCCGATAGATAGACAGCGAGAGAGAAAAAGAAGTAACGAGAATAGAGGGATTGCAGGTTGAACGGTACGGGAGTTGAAAAGGGAGAGAAATTGGTATCCGATCCCCTTCACTCCTACTACCCAAGGTTCAATTCTTTACCCCGACAATTCCATTCCCAATAATTCCAATCACTAATCCCCCGCTTGAACACACTCCCAACAAAAGTACGCGACAAGAGCCGAGAACCAGCCACAAATTGGGAAAAACGTGAGATTGAAGATCTTTCGGTCAAATTGACTACCAGTCAAGTTGACCTTTCCCTGACGGAGCATCCCCATTTGGTCGGATCCCCCGCCTATACCTCAATCCTTGACCTTCCCTCAAAGCCTCGTGCGGGTAAATCGCTCGGGATGGAGTCGATGCACAGCCTGATCTTCAGCTCCAGAAATGCGACCAGCAACCAGGGAAAGTCCATTTATGCTATTGGTAGCGGGACCCCAGATTGTCTTCGAAACGCGCAGTGATTGGCTCTCTGGTTTTCCCCGGAGTCTGGATTAATGATCATTTGACTGCTCCCGGAGTCCAACCACGACGATCCGCTGCGTGGCGGCGAAACAGCTTATCTGCCTTCCAACTTCATGGCTCTCGGTTACCGATAGCCGCTGACTGCAGCCTCATCCGGACTCAGGCCTACGTTATTACGCTACACATAGAGGCGCCAGTTTGAACGAATGAGTGTGCTGCTCTCGTCTATCAATTCCCAATATTGAAATATTGCTCACTGATGGCATTTCTAAGCGCTATGCTGTTTGTATGCATGTAGCTTCTATGATTAGGTCGTGGTGGATGACTATTCAGGCATCACTGCGATCTTCAGCTAAAGTGCCTCATACGTGTCCTCAAAGGAGGGAATCGAGGCTCGCTGTTATGTGAAACAGCATGGGCCTGGTCGGCTGGTCAAGCTCTGGCTGCACTGCGCGCAGCTTGGCAACTTTCTGCGGCAGGGCGTAGTAGATTGCCACCACGGAGGAACATCGAAAAACCTGCAGTCCGATTGGGCGCGACGGATTGCCGCTGCAGTCTGCACCATAAACCAGACAGGCGCATTCTCAGGCAGCCTCAGGTAACTGGTTTCCGGTGATCAAGGCCATGAACCGCATATAGCCTTCAGCTTTCCGACTGACCTCGTCACCCTCTTCGCATCGCTCCCGGAGCTTTCTAACTTTGCCCACCCCGCGATTGAAACCTTTCTCACGTGTCCAGGGTCCCCGATGGCGATGCATTGCTTTGCCCTTCCCGAATCCCCGTGACCGGCCAGCGTACGGTTGTGTCTCCTGCCATTCCTCCTCCAATGTAGCCTGGTAGATGTCCTGCAGCTGATCCCGGAGGGAAGGGAAGCGATCGAGCAGCTCTTTGAGCTGAGTCGATGATCCTAAGGTTCTGATGTCGAGTCCGGTCTCGGTTTGAGGCGTTTCAGCCTCGGGTGCGTCGCCGTTGACAGCATCAAGGGGCGCTTGGTCTTCCGACGGCTTCGGCGACGGTGCCTTCGGAGCACAATAGATTTTATGGGATTGCGTGCACGCGAGAGAGCAACTAGAGACAACAGTCAGTCCTCGCCCGACCTGACAGTATTTGACTTGACTTGGGTTGCGTGCCGCGAGACAGCACGAGAAGGGGCTTGCACATACCTCATCAACTTGCAGGTCGGGCATCGATATTTGGATGGTTCCGACTCGCAGACCTCGCAAGTGCCCGGCATTTTATGGCAAACTCTTTTTCCTACGTGCTTCAAGCGTAATGATTGATTTCGACGACCATGGTCCTGCCGCAGCCGATCACAGCGTGAGGGAACCCAGATGCTTCGCCGAGTTGATTACAGGATTAGACATCTGCTTCGCGCAAAGTTGCATTTTGGGAGATGAATCGGGCCTAGCGTGGACGCTTCAGGAAGGCGGTCAGGCCACTGTCAGTCACCAGGCGGACTCACCATTGCAAGCCATCGCAGCCTACCCCATAGACGCAAGGTGAAAACAGCCAAGAATAAGGGAGATTAACATAATTGCACTATCGTCATGAATTAAGGAAGCGTCGTACGGGCTGGAGAGCTTAAGGTGTCTGCAATCAGGCCCTAACTTGTTGTGATGGCTCTGTTGCCATGAACCAACTTATCTGCACAGATGCGACTATGGGCCAGCTGTGAGATACAAGCAGATATGCATGGCTTCTGCAGACTTATGTCGCGGTCATTCACAATGGTGGCTCGATGGCTGGGAGATCGATTTATAAGCGTCACCAAAGATCCACCGAGAAACTCCTGGATGGAATATATCTGTGGGCATTGCAGTGTACAGGCCCTAAGTAGATGGCGACGGCACTTCTGGAGGGATACGAAAATCGCCAATTGAAGTTAAACGAAGATAATGATGATATGGGACGGAATCTCGGACTGCGACTCTGGCCCACAGATCAATGGAAGCATTGCCTGAGGAGTATTGTGCAGATGCTGACCTTCGGCATGGGAAGGAGCTCTGTTGGAACAAAACACTACGGCAGCCGGTAATCTTTGCAGTGGGATACTTGTTGTTTGCGTGCCTGAATAGCCTGCTGAATCTGTGGTATTTGACTTGCAAATGGCATGTTTCATCTTTTTAGCTCGGTGCTTGGCTCTTCTCTAACAAACAAAGAATGTGTTAATTTCAAACCCCAACGCCCGGATGTTACAAAGATCATGACCATCTCAGCTGCAGGCTGAAATCTAGATAGCATTTGTTGGGAGTAATACACGACAGGATCTGATTAGGTAGAGATCCAAGCATGTATCATAACCTACGCGCGTTTCAATCATACGAGGGAAAAATTCCTGCTTAGCCAAGTACACCTAGATATTCCTGTAGCTTGATGAGGACACAGCTTCATCCAATAGTCGCTTCCGGGTCTTATGGAATGGATTGCACATGTCACGGTGCAAGGCAGTGGGTCACCATTCAATGCGGCGGACAAACCAAAGAGAATGACCGGGAAGGAAATGGTCCCACCGTCAACTCAAATACGTCGCTGTCAGTTCCCTTGATATGAAACGATTCGTAGATTGCTTGCTGTCGTGCAATGTCCGAGCAGCTGATGTTGAACAGGCTGGTTGTACGATGTAGCGGAGTGACGCAAAGCTGCTAGTATTTATACCGCGCTGACCTTGCAAATAAACTCATCGTGTGGCGCTGTGCAACCTGGGTCTGCGGACGAACTTACCGACTGGCTGGCAGGATGTTCGGCTCTTATCAAACAGATGGCTACCTGCGGCCAACTTGCCATCCCTGTTTCCACCAGGGATTGGTCTTTTGGAAAACAATTTGCTGCATCCATGATACATGCATGGCACCTGACGTTCCACTGGAATTGCTTTGCGATGCAGAAGACGCCTGGGAAGCCGTCTATCTTGATCCGGCTGCCTCTTCATGCGTGATCTCGTATACTTTGTAATGCATCCTGCGACGGATCAGTTTCCGATTCTGCTCCATGTCCGTCCAAGAGGTTGTTGACATCGCATCTCTTCACTTGACTGCTCAAATTCTATTGTTGCCGATGGTTGACTAGCTCTTTCACATTATCGGCCACTGACGACCGATGAAACTCAAACATGACCCAACTGTACGAGTATATATCGTTTATAGCTGATCGTCAGGAGGTCCTTAGGAGATATCTAACGGCTGTCGACCTCACGGCTCTTGCTAGCCACTATGCCGATGAGGGTTGCCGCTGAGGTGTTCAACACACCCAGCCTGAGTCAAAGACCCTGAGCGCATACAGATATTTGCTACTTCTACTCGGTACAATGAACCAAATGTTGCAAGTCTGTCACCTAGTACAAATGGCCATCAATGCTCGGTTGGCTTTGGCTGGCCAATACGGAGTCACACAATGCATATTTTTGAAGATCCGGGCCGTCTCCCGGCATCGGCAAAGATGTCAAACGGTAAGAATCTGATTGGCCGGAGGATTCTGCAATTTGTCATCAATCCCATCCGATGCCGACGGTCACGTGTAGCTCATTGCGTCAGAGGCCGGGCGGTCGGGAGAAAGTATTATCGCTCCTCCTCCCAACATCTCCTCCGAACGGATTTTGCCATTGTAGATAACAAGTCTGTTCATCACATTACAACAGCAAACATGTCTATTAGCTCCACCTCCGGAAGGAATATGCTTCGACGCACTGCCCTCTTCGGCAACAAATTGACGAGCGGTGCCGGAGCCGTTGAGACCTCCCGCTTCGCCCGGCCCACGGTATTCAGTTCCTACCGCAGCGTCCACCGTTCAGCACGATTGCCTGCGATCACCCCGTCAGAGACACGCCGCCGGCCTACCCTGCAGCCTAACCACCACTCTCTCGTGCAGGCCCGGGTGAATGGCCCGGCGCCGACGAGCAAGCGCACGATCTTCATTCAGACGGAGAACACTCCGAACCCCGATGTATGTTGTTTTGAGTCTTCGCCCTCCCAAGTCTTCTAGGAAAATTGGCTGACATTTCTGTGACTATCCCCCCAGGCCCTTAAATTCATCCCTAACCACCGCGTCCTCCCCGAGAACTTCCCCACGACCTTCCTCGAATACCTCTCGCCGCGCTCGACCCTCGCGCCCCCGCACCCCTCCCCGCTGGCGGCGCAGCTCCTCAACGTCGAGGGCGTCACCTCCGTCTTCTACGGACCGGACTTCATCACCGTGACCAAGGCGGCGGACTCAAACTGGGCGCACATCAAGCCCGAGGTGTTCAGCCTGATCACCCAGGCGGTGACGTCGGGCGAGTCGATCGTCAACACCGTGGCCAAGACCGGCGAGGGCGCCGCGCAGGAGGGCGGCGAGTCGGACTCGCTGCGCTTCAACGAGGAGGACGATGAGGTCGTCGGCATGATCAAGGAGCTGCTGGACACGCGCATCCGCCCCGCCATCCAGGAGGACGGCGGCGACATCGACTTCCGGGGCTTCGAGAATGGCATCGTGCTGCTCAAGTTGCGTGGCGCCTGTCGCACCTGTGATTCCAGTACGGTGACGCTGAAGAATGGTATCGAGTCCATGTTGATGCATTATGTAAGTCTTCCTTGGGGATCAGAAAGGTGGGCATTTGGCTAATCGTTGTGTACACGACAGATTGAGGAAGTCCAGGGCGTCGAGCAGGTGATGGATCAGGAGGAGGAGATCTCCATGCATGAGTTCGCTAAGTTCGAGGAAAAGTTGCGCCAGCAGAAGGGCCCCGCTGCTACGGCGTCGACGGGGGGTAAGGGGACGCTGGATTCGGCTGTCTAAGGGGACAGTAGTTTTTTGTGGTTGTATTTTTATTTTGAGATTGGATATACCGGGTATACTTTTTTATGTCGCCAGAATAGAACAAGCTTGATGCATTTATAAAGGCTGCTTTGATGACATATAGATCGTATGCTGCACTCCTGTTGAGCATTTCTACGCTCCGTAGTTTCTAACGGCGATTCTGTACTCTACCTTAGTTCATTCATTCATTGCTTGATGAAAAGGACCTGCTCGCCCTGCTCATCTTTGCATTTGGTGCAAACCGCATCACAGCTAGACTTAGAGTTGTTCCCCCTCGTTGGGCCAAGCGAACCTGTGCAACAGCCCAGCCATAGAAAGCCCTCTTCACATCTCTTGTGATATCCCCAGCGATGACAGTCAATCTCTGGCATCGATCCTTCACGACGGCGAGCGGCGAAAAAGCTTCGTCATTCTCTCTTCCTCGCAGTTGTGTAACCAACTACTTCCAGCGCATCTAGATAGCAAAATCCTATGCTGTGCTAGATAGTCAGTCCGCTACCCCACTCGCCAGCTCCAACCTACCCTCACTAGGCCTTTAGTCTTCACACTACGCAATTCTTCTACACAGCTAAGCTTTCAGACTAATAGCGGCCACCGGTACCGATGGATTGACATCCTTGGTGGCATGTCTCGCCGAAGCGCGATAGGAGGGATACTACAGAGCCGAACGCCGACGAGCACCTACCTAGTCGCCTCCACAGACCCTCAGTCCGATCGACAATACCTATCTCCCACTGTGCAGCCATCTACGTTGAAGCCGACCAGAGAAGAAAAAGTCGCATGACATCATGCTCGGAGGGAGAGGATCAATAGTATCAATGGGCAGGATCACCCTGGTTCCATTCGAATCACAAACATAACAATGAATGCGTATAGATTGTTCAGATGTCCGCCAATGAAGCTTAAGGCTGGGTTGCTGGTCGTGTACCGTCATGCTTCTCCTGTCAGCAAGTGGTCTAGAATTGCTTTTGGAGATCATGCTCCTCCCAGCATGATGCCTGAAGATGGGAATCGCCACGCATCGGAGCCGGAGGAACAACCTAAATGCTGTTCGCTTGAGGGGCAGGACTTTGGTGGTACCTGGCGCTTTTGAATCACAATATAGTTTTTAATCAATTAGTGGTTGGGTTAATGCCTGGGCGCGGGGGATTGGGAAAGCCACATATGAGGATGTGGTGGTTGTGGCGAATATTTTTGGGGACTGTCATGTTGAAGGAGGGGAGGGCATTCTCAGATTCCGAACCAGTTGGAGAAGAGGGAAAGACATCATGGTGTTTGATTTCCGTCCTGTCCGAGCGGGGGATTCAATCTGGCTGCTGCTCTCGCTCTCTTAGTGTAACTCGATTTGCTCCTATGGACCAGGGTACAACACACCCATCGCTTCTGAGAGGTCGGTTGGGAAAGCCAGCGAGTCCGAACCCACGGATGGAGACCGGTTCATAATCAGTTTCTCTTTCAACCTGCGTGAACTCTGTTTCACCACCACCGTCACGGTCATCGAGTCCATGAATCATTTCTGGTTTGTGAGCCAGGAATTGAGAATGGATGATGAGGAAGAAGGGAGAGGTGGAACCGATTTGAACCAGTGTGCGTGTGTGCGCATGTGGGAGAGGGATGGACAGGAGAGGAGTTGGAGTTGATGCCGGCGCAAGGCAGAAGAGGGCTGACGGACAGGTCCTTTAGTCTTAAAGCGGGTAAGCTCTCTCCGCAATCTCGGACGGAGGCGATCCTGCATGGGTCATAGGAGACCAATCAATTACCACTGCCCGCCCCCCTCCCCTCCCATACTTGCACTTTAGGGGCATTTGGGGCACTTGGGGCACTTGGAAGGGAGATTCTCCCCCGCAATCCGACGCATGGCGTCCGTAGGGTGATTATTATGTAACGCAGGCACGGCTGCTGTCTGGCGGATATGACCTCTTGTTTGTTCCCTAGTCCCAGCGGACGAAAGAGGAGGGGAGGGTTGAACCAAAGGGAATTGTTTGTTTTCTCATGGGCGATTCCCACAATTCATCTCTGCTTTTGCTGCTTTCTGTTCCCTGTGAAACTCGACGCCAGAATGACGTTGACGAGTTGTCCCTGATGACACCCAACCGGTCCTGACCCCCTGAAAGGTTCTTTCTTGGGCAGGCGGCCAGACGAACTCAATTAGGAAGTACTGTAATGGCGTCGTTTTCAATACCGTGTTGTCTTATTGCATGCATGAGGATTCTGCACAATGTCCTTTATCCGCGTCGTCCTTACCGGCGACAGTGATGTAAGATGTAAGCTGCGGTTGGGCAGGCGCTCGGTGATGGCATAGACGCGGGCGGGTTCTTTGTTCGCAGGGAATAGAGTTATGGACGTTCCTTCGCTGGTTATGGGTTAATCAGCGAGCTTTTTCGATCCAGGCTCGCTGGACAAGTTGATTGCACTTGGTCCACATATCTCCAGACTCGCGGTCCAACAATAGTGTTCATGTGCATGACCATAGATCATATATTCGTATATCCGTATAGGTGCGACTTTTATCAAAGAATGAATGAATCAAAAGCAGAAACACTCCGCAGAAGGGAAAGTGGAAGTTCCCGAGGCGTCCTGGGGTTACAAATAGGTAATGCTGGAGTGACGGTTGAGAGAGGACAGACAGACAGGCAGCCGGAGCATTTCGAGAGGCGGAGGATCGTCTGTCGGTCTGTTCAGTTCATTACTAGTTTGGTTTAGTTGAGGGCCCGCCCGGCCCACTTCTGGTTCCTGCTCTGGTCGTCTGTGGCCGGTCTGCCTGTCATGTTACTTAGTAGTTTTACTACTAAGTACTCATGTAAGTAACCTATGGTCCTTCTCCATTTCTTCATCCATTATTTCCTTCTTCCCTCCCTTCTCTTCGCTTTTGCTTTCTGTTCCTGTTCTTTTGGCTTTTCCTTTTTTTATTTTTATTTTATTTTGCTTTCTTGCTTATGAGTTGCTTACTCTTCTTCTTCTCCTATCTATCAACCATCACTCGTCCGGAAAGTCAATCCGTCCGAACCAGTGTCATCAGAAGAGAGCGATGCCTCGGTCACGGCCATTATTTCCCCTCCCGTGCGGTCCTTGGCTCCAGAAGGTATCTAGACTCCCATCGATTTTCTACCCCGCCCCAAAGCGAGTTCTTTGCCCCTTAGCCGTGGTTAGTCTGTAATCAAAAAAGTACCGGACCAGCATCCATCAACCCCGACATAGATCGCAACCCGAGGAGAAAGTGGTATAAGTTGATGGACCAGATCTTTAGAATTATAGCATGACGACGGTGGCATATAGACAGACAGAAAGAGAAGCGAAGGAAAGCAAAGTGTGAATCGAAGCAAAGACAAGACAGCCAGACAGCAAGAACAAAAGAAAGACCTCCATCGTCGCAGATGAGTCCGATCTAACTTGCTCCGGCCATAGTAGTATGCCTGTAGCTTCTTGACCACTCACTTTGCGCCACTTCTTGCTGGGCTGTCCCCCCCTCTTCCTCCTCTTCTTACTTACCTTCGACCCGTGGCTCGTCCTCTCCTCCTTCCCTCCTTTCGTGTCCACTGATTGTCCAGCGTGCCAGTGGCCTGAGGTTCATTTGACTCCATTGATCGAAGCAAGCTCTCTCTCTCTCTCTCACTACTACTCTACCTACTCTTCCTACTCCTCCTCTCCTTTAGCTTGCATTAACTATCCTGCGCATCCTACCCAGCTTAACGCATCTTACGACTGTACAACCTCTCTTCCCCTTCTCCTCTTTTTTTTTTTGCTCTACCCTGATCATTCCCATTTCTTCTTACCTTACCTTTCCTTCTCTTGTTCTTACATCTTTTCCCTTTTCCCTTCCCCTCTCCCCTCCGCACCCCCTCTCTCTTCTTCTTCTTACTTATTTCTGAAACTATCTCGTCTCTTTTTCCAATTCTTCCATTTCACTCTCCTTTCCCGCCCTGAACGATAAGGTACCCGATCACACCACCTCACTCCACCACCCCCGGCGATCGTCATCGATCAAGCAACGTTGCAGAAGCCCGCCTTCCCACTCTATCTTCTCCAAACGTCTTTGCAATTTACGCCGACGCTCCGCGCTCGGTACGTCCGTCCGCCCACCGTTCCCCCCCCGGCCCCGTCTTCCTCTTCCTTTATTCCTCCATTTCTCCATTCACTTCGCCAGAACACAGACGCCTTCCCGAGAGAAGTGCTAATTCCAGTGGATTTAGAACGCAGTTCCACCTCTACAATCCATCGCTGCTGTGATCGTCGCTTGCCAGTCCAAAATGCGCTGCTCCTAAGGCGAGCTGCCTAGAGTTACTGGAGTCAGTTTCCTTCCCAACGTCATCCGTCTTATGGTCACACTACCCCATTCCCGATTTCGCGCGCCCGCTGCTGTCGCAACTCGACGCTTACCATCACCATAGACCAGATTTGCGCCCCGGCCAGAACTATAGCCATACCTCAGATTGCGACCGCATCACCCACCACAAACAAGCACATATCATACAACTTCCCACCGTCCGGTGCGACTTCTGACATATATCCTTCCTCGTCTAAAAATCGGTCGCACAGCACCGAGCTACAACAATATTTCCTTCGTCTAGACTGAAGCCTGGTCGCTTCGTACGGATTTCGATTCTTTCATCGATACTGAAACAATAACTCAAATCGGGGACTGCTGCGTTGCTTTCATTGGATAGATCATAAAGAAAAGTTTCGGTTTTCTAAAATAGATTGGTAAGTTGGATGTGGTTCCTTCATTGTCTCGAGTGCCTGCTCACCGTGCGGGGTTGCGCCCACAGACGCGATCACGATTCATTGTGATTTACTCTTGTTCGGGACAGTCTGCGATACGGTTACCGCCCTGGAATCGGATTGGGGCTTGTTGAACTCAAAAGGTATGTTGCAGAATTGCCAGAACTTCTCGTCGCGTGCCATCTGCCGATGAGATGCGATATGCTAGTGCTTTCTCCATCCCAACAACGATCGCATTGGTATTACCCCGATTGTTTCTTGTTCAGAGATCTTCGACCCTGGTGTTTGATTGCCGATTGAGTCTGTTTATACTTAATACTGCGAGTGTTCGGCTTCCACTATCTGAGTATCGCCCATCAACTATCCGTTGTGCGGGCTCGGTCTGTGTCTCCAGCGAAAGAGGCTCGCACTGAAATATCCGAGCTTATTACTTGGGACTCTTCACAACATGTGAGCTGGGGCCCTGGCTGCGCGCGGGCTTGTTCGGGCGGTCATATGATGTGGTTTCATAATTCCATGAACGGGTTATGAAGTCGCCACCGGTGGCTCCCCAGCTTACATGAGCCTCACCCTCCTCTTACTTTTAAACTTCACATTCATGTTGCCTTCGTCTTACTTGCAAGAGTTTCTTCTTCCTCAGTCGTCTGATTGCTTGCCTGTCTTCATATCTCATCATGAGCCCTTCTACGGACCGCGTCTCACGTGTTCCCGTCGAATAGATCTGACTAACTGGTTATGCAGCAGTACAGGAGCTCATCATTGTCTGTCCCTCGCGAGAGCCAGTATTTCGGGCAGAATACCTGAGCTCCTAAGAGAGTTTACGACCTTGTATTTTTGTTCCGGAGCGAGTTCAACCGAAACGAGGTGACTATGGATCCCGTCCATTCCTCTTTCGACTCTAACACATGTTCAGTGAGATACCCCACAATTTCTCATTGCGGGGACCAATATCCTTTGCTCTCTGACGTCAGCCTCGTACTCTTAGGTAAGTTTGCACCTGTTCGAATTCGTTATCGTCAATATGCTGGTCCGTCGGTCGCTGTATCCATGTTTATACTGCTATCTTTCCATTTGGTCATTTGTGTCTTATCTCTTGCATACCGAGATCTGGAGCCTCATAACTTCGATGGATTGTGACTCTTATATTCTAACAATAGCTCTCTAAGCAGTGCTCACCTAGTCTCGCGGCCATCGTTCCATAAACACCAAACAGGCCTATATTACAATACAGGTCAGCAGAAAACAAGAAATCATGGCTGCACCATCCACCAAACCCACCCCTCAGACCCCCAAGTCGGTCGCCTCCCCAACTCCGACTAACAACCACTCGGCTCGACTGGAGAAGACTCACCCTGGTGTTCGTCGGTCAACTCCGGACTCGGAAGCTCTAGCTTCTTCAGACGACGACGGAGATCATCTCCAGAACATCATTGCGTCTACGACAGCACAACCAGCCAAGCCCGCTCGACGTACCTCCTGGCTCAACGAGGTTCCTGCTCTCGCCCCTCGCAAAGCCTCCCTCACTGGCCTTCCGTTGTCTTCAGGTGCCTCCAACCCTAGCAGTCCGGCTACCGAACAAGCGGGATGGCCGGCCAGCACGAGTCCTGGAATCGGCAGCTCCATGGGTTGGAATAATGCTGGGAGCAGTCCTTTTTCCTGGGGTACTGGTATCTGGAACACTGAGTCTCGAAAAGAGCCACCACCGCGTCTTTCCGAGATAATCCCTTCTCCGACCATGTCTAACCCGTCCACCGCAAGCAACTACTTCACGGAGGAACTGCTGAGTCCTACAACTCGGACGACCACGGGAGAGTCTGCCATTCCATTCTCCATTCCTCTGCATCCCACTCCCAAGACCTACCGCTCCCAGTCTTACTCTGTGGGTCAACTAGACCCGGAATTTCTGGGTTTCATGGCGAACAAGTCTGCATCCCCCTACTCTGGTGGTCGCGCCCGGAACGGCGGCCAATATACTTCGCTCCAGCACCGTTCGTCCCGTCCGAGCCTCCTTGGTGAGCTCGGACACGATCCTGCCACTCTTGGGCGTGTGTGCGAAGATGACGGCGACGACGAGGCCGGAAGCCCGGACGGCTCGGACGGTAGTCTCAGCAACCACGCTGCCAACCAGGCGCGCACCATCGAACAACTTGCGAGGGAGAACGCGCTCCTGCGCCAAGCAGCTGGTCAGATCGACAATACGCTCAAAGACCGTGCTATGTCCACAGCGTCCGCAGCCAGCGGGTATGCGATCGGAAGTGGACTGCATAATTTGCATCGTATTCGCGGCAGTGTCCCGGAAGAGACAGATCTTGCGGTGGAGGACTTAGACGAACTTGGGGGCATTCCTGGCTACAGCAGTTTCCACCACGGTGGTCCTCGGCGCAGGCTCTCCGAGCATTCGGTAAACTTGGAGAAGCAGTTCCCCACCTACGAAAACCGTGTTTTGGAGAACGTCCGCAAGGCTCATTGGCAAACCTCCCTCGGATTTGGCAGCGTTTCCGATATCCCTCAGAGTCGACGTCACTCATTCGCGGATATTCCTATTCGACATGCCTCCATCTCAGGCGAGCCACAGGCAGCGCCCAGCACGAGGTCGGGACTAGGAGATCGAGAGGAGGACTTTGACGGCCCACTTTCTGCTATTCATGGCCAGAATCGTGAGTATCCACATTTTCATGCGGCCCCTCGTCCCGAGGAGCATGAAATGGAGACAGAGTATTTACGAGCTCGTCGATTTGCAGAATCCTATTTTGCTCGCGACCAGGCTCTCCGCAGTGCCGACGGTCCTTCCATGACTTCCCTTCACCAAGCATACACAATGCCCAATGCTTACGGTCGCCACCAGCCGGGTCTTGCGCATCAGAACCAGCTTTTGTATATCGTCACCTTCAAGTGCCATCGTGCGGATGTCTTCTATATCCAGGAGGACACCGGACTTCAAGTGAAACCGGGCGATCTCGTCATTGTCGAGGCTGATCGGGGTACGGACCTTGGAACCATTCAACATGCCAATGTGTCGATGCAAAAGGCCCGAGAACTCAAGCAACAGTATGCCGAGGAGCATTACAAGTGGTTGATGATGTTCTCCCGGCAGGGCCAGAACGGAGCAGCAAATGTGGTCAACACTCCTGGAAGCGTGCCCGGCCTCAGCAACCGAAGCGCCATCGGTGGCATGGGACCTCATGGTCCACACGGACTTCAAGACTCGACGGCGGACATCAAACCTAAGCTAATCAAAAGACTGGCTCAAAACCACGAGATCCTGGCGCTGCGTGACAAGGAAGGAAATGAAGCCAAGGCCAAGCGTGTCTGCCAACAGAAGGTTGCAGAGCATCGGCTTAATATGGAGATTCTGGATGCTGAATTCCAGATGTAAGTCAACATTTCTGCAACGCTGTATACTTGACACTAAGTCTCTTTGACAGGGATTGGAAAAAGCTTACCTTCTATTACTTCGCCGACTCCTATATCAACTTCAACTCTCTGGTGACTGATCTCTTCAAGATCTATAAAACCCGAATCTGGATGTCGGCCATCAATCCCGCCTCTTTTGTGACACCTCCGAGTGCAGGCCTCCAGGCACCAAATCCTTTGGCGTACAGTCATGACGCTCCAGCGGATCGCTCGCACCAGCATGATGGTAGAATGTATGGCTCTGCTCGGGATGGCCTCGACGCCGGGCGAGAGGGCCAACTAGGCATGCTACGCGGCGCGTACTCGGAGCCTTATCAAGGCTTCAGCCAATCTTCTCGAGCACCGGAGTCTGGTCTTGGGGGCCTTTCTTCTCCGGACCCCTTTTCTCCCTACTCATCCAGTGGGTATACTCCCTTGGATTCGGGCTATGTCGACTACGCGGCCGGTTCTGGCGCAGGTGCTGGTTCCTCCCGTCTGCACCCTCAAAATGAGTGGATGAGCCGCTTCCAGGGGTTGTCGCTCAACTCTTGAAAATGTAACGCAACTCTTTTGGGTTCGAATTGTTGATCCGTCGCAGCACATTGAAGAACAATTTGCTCACCTCTGTCTGCTTGTGAATTCCACGATCCAACATGTGCAATTCTGCTTCGAAGCCGTCTTTTTCGGGGTTGTCATGTAACCAACTTGAACTCCAATTCCTCGTTCTGATTTGCTTTCGCCCGTTTTATTCCCCTGCTTCTACACTCCTTTCCTGACGCGTTCTTACAAGAGATAGAAATCATGCGCAACGGATCAAAAGAGAGAATCATGACATATCGTTAGTGCGGATACCTAATAATAGACTCGGCTTTGATGGTCTGGACAGCACGGTGACTTGACATCATCTCTCTGGGTAGAGACAAAGCACATGATGGCAACACCTGCTTTTCGGACTGGCTTTCCTTTTCCTGTATTATTCCGTTCTGCTTTTCCTGCCTCTCACGACAGCTGCTCCCTGCTATCTACCTTCGTTCGAAGAAGAAACTACTGCAAGAAAAAGTACTGGTGTCTCTTCATCACTCTCATTTCCTTTTACTTGCCAGTGTGATTTATGCTTTGTGGAGGGGCCCCTTTCTGCTGTGGGCATTATCCTTCCGTGTCTAGCTAGGCTTCAAGGTATTAGGTGAGATGCATCTAGCGTGTGTGGGGGAGAAGAGAAGGGGTTGGTTGGGGTTTTCTTTCCTCGGGTTAGACTTAGCTATGATTCTTCGAAGACTTAAATTGATGATGTTGTATCCATGAATTGAGGGTGATGGTGGTAAAAACGACTTGTGTAAACTAGGCCCTCGCGAACTCGGCTGGCTGGTCTCGTCTGTGATTCAGTATGGTATGGTGTAGACTTTGTCTATCGCTGCAGAGTCTACTCTACAAGGATAGACATACATAACTGATCGATAAGGACGACCGACCGCATTAGCATGTGCATGTATTCAAAAGGTTTTACATTCTTGTGATAAATCTGCACCCCCGTGCAACTCGCCGGTTCCCTCCAAGCAATCCTAGTTCCCTAGCTAATTCCAAGTGCACCGCAGCGGGGGAAGTCTGCAATAGCCCAGTTGGCTGTTAGTTACTGTTACACATACACCAGTATACACCAGAGAAACGAGCGTTTTCTTCTAGTGATACCTTTCACCCCGTTCAGATCCCCGATATCTGTGTCTGGAGTTCGAAGACTCTGATTAAAAGCCAGTGTCTTTCCCTCGGAACCAGATAGCTGACCAAATATTGCTGAGCGCTGATGGCTCCGTAGGAATGAATCTTTTACCTGTCTCGAGCGAGGGCAGATACCGCTTGTGAATGGCATGATGCTGGGTTACTGTCTGTTTTTGGAGGGTTGTGTTACCGCTACATTACACTGGCTTAGTGGGCAGGTAACTAATTTTGCTGTTGTGGATGAGGGTTGGGACTTAGATAGACGGGTTGATTTTGAAGTGGTGGCTTAGGGATAGATGGATACTGGTATGCTGAGGTCGCTGTGCGCATATTTAAGCTAGGCTTTTTTGGATACCAGTGGCTTTACATGTCGGCTTCTCGGTGAGTAACGGACGGCTTTATGTTGTGGTCCTTGTCTGTACTAACTTGGGTTGCGTGTTACACGCTGGAAGGGAAGAGACTGGTGGAGATTGGGTTAGTGCAGGTGGAGTATCACTAATGATATGGAGAGGTAGCTGTCAACCTGATCATAATATGGTTTTACCCCATTGCTTGGTGCTTATCTGGCAGAGCTCTCGTGATGTCCGAGTTAAGGCGCAAGGCTGCATCGACGGTATTGTGATCGGTATGTACAATACTTGACTAGAGGCTGAACAACCACTGACCAAGGCTTGTTCCCTGGTATGGACATAGACCAACTATCGCGGATCTCAAAGATTCGACCAAGGCCGTTCCTCCGTTCCTCTCCTGCCCTCACTCTTCGGTTGGTTACTTGAAAAGGGTAGTTGCATGAACTTATTCGGTCCTAGGACTACTCGCGACGAATGGATCAGTCAACTGCAAGTCCTATTCAACCCTAGCCGGCGCTTTCTGATTACACTACTGTACGTTGCTCGCGATCTACCGTCTGACCATCGCCCACCAGACAATAGCCAAGCGACGCCAAAGCGGCACCTTCGCCTTCACCTCCTTCGTCTGTCCGGTCTTGCGCCGAAGTTCCTCGCGAACCACAACGCCAATCGCCATGTACCCATCCACGATCACACGCATGGGACCCTGAACCTCCACCGGCAGCTGCCGTATCATCCGTTCCGACTCATGATACCAGGCGTCCGCTTTCAGGAGCATCCGTTCCCGCAAGCCGCGGATGCGATCATCTCCGGGGTTCCTCACGACCTCCGCGGGAGTCAGGCCCTCCGCTTCCAGCCAAGAGGTCGGGAGATAGACGCGGCCGATCCTCGCATCGACGACCACATCCCGCGCGATGTTCACGTACTGTAACGCCTGGCCCATGCGCTCGCTGGCGGCCATCACGGCGCGTTGTTCAGCCTCGCTCATCTGCGCGCGGTGCTCCGGGTAGTGGCTTAGGCTGAGTTGAATGGTGGCGACGGCGACGGTGCCCGCGACGTGGTATGCGTACCGGTCTAGATCTGCCTCGGTGGCGATAGGGAACTGGTTGTGGAGGGCGTCGAATTTGAGGTCGGTGCGGAAGCCATTCAGGAGCTCGGAAAGCGGGCCGCTGTCCATTCGGCCGGTGGGGAGGCGGTTCGTCGAGGCGAAGAGTCGGCGGGAGGACTCGGACGACGACACACATTCCTGCTGGATTGTGGGCATGTGTGGTGCTGTGCTTGCCGCGGGGTGGAAGTGTCTGTCGATTGCTGTGGCGCATTCGTCGATCCAGTAGCGTGCGGTCTCGCGGTCGTGGGCCTCGTCCACTAGGTCGTCGATGGTTCGGCAGAATGAGTATCTGTGTTGGTTGGTGGTTAGTTCCCAATTCTATATGCTGTGCTGTTCACACTGTCCGCGGAGGGCGGGATGCTTACAGAAAGATTAGATCGATCCTCAACTGCCCTTGGAAAACCGCGCTGGCCATGTACATGCTCTGGCTCTTCTTCTGCAGCGTGTTCACCGCATCCAACAACTCGGTGATGAACGCTGCATCGTAGATATCATCTCTTCGGAGATACCCCACGAGTAACGCCCAGAAAGAAGGGAAGGCTTTGTTTTTCTCGTCGGGGACAGCGGCTATCTGGTACTGCGCTGTAGCAATGGCGTGATCCACGGCGATGAGACCGAGCACAATCATCGTGTTTGTGGCTAGGAAGAATAGTGCCTCTCTGTGTTTCTTTAAGTCAGCGTCATTCCCTGACTTTTTCTTGATCGAATGACTGTGAAAAACTCACTCCACCTCAAGATGCTGCCATAACTGGATATTCAGCTTCGTGCCTTGGGAAAGAGCCCACGTTCCTTTACCTAATGCCAGTGTATCCACGTACCAGAGGTAGAAAGTGGGGATACAGATGCATGTCAGGACCAGCTTGCGAGGCAAGGCGAGAAGAAATGGATACGTGATCAACCTAAATCTCCTTGTCAAATCGTTGCTTGGTTGGAGGTATGTGACGTTCTTCAGAACCTACCATTGAAGCAGCAGAACCGGACACACCCAGCTCAGAATCCAGCCTAGATAAGTGGCCCGTCCCCCCAACCAGAGTGAAGCAAAACCAAGACCAAAAGCCCCGGAAATGACCAAAGCCCCGTTGTCCCGATAGCGACGCGTTGCTTTAGGAAAGCGAGGCAGATACATAGGTAGCACCAGCCGCTTTGTGAGGACAGTATGCAGCAGAGCGGTGTTATAGGTCTGGATGGCAAAGAAAAAGATCTCTTCCACGGGGATGGTGAAGAGGGTCCAGCCTAGCACAGCATCGGGCGGGTAGGTCCATATTTGTTGCCGGATCAGGTTGGAGTCCCAGGGTGTGGTTGATATCACGGCAATCTAGGTATATGCGTTAATCACGACGAGGAGATGTGGACTTCGGCGAACGGAGGCATACTTACCACGACTAGAGATAGGATCTTGTAAAGGTCTAGACGAGTGAAAAAGGGCCCGTAGAGAAAGGTCCCTAGAAGGGCTGGAGGAAGGTTGAACACCAGATGACTAGTTGTATAGACGCGGGGTTAGTCGCTGTTTTTCTTTTTTGCGTTGAGATCATGTCGACGTGAAGGACCACTTACACGAGTGCATAAGCTAGCCCCATGGTCCTTGATTAGTGCATCGGTATGAACGCTGTTGGCTGGCTTGGTGTTTTCATGCACGCGAGATTTAGTGTATCCGCACAGGAGGAGAATCACGATACGGATTGTGAGGTGAAGTAGTGTGACTGGAATTGCAGCGGCAACTACTTTTTCCGAATTGAGATAAGCCTGGCAACAAAGTGTTCTTATGTGTAACCCGTGATCAGAAAGATCTCTGTGCCCTGACGGAGATATACCTGGCAACGGTGACGTATCCAACCCCCCTTCAGCAACAACTCATTCACCAATTTTCACCACCCAAGTTGACTCGGGTACCATACCGTCGAGACATTCTCAATATAGCTCTCGTACTCTTGGGATGCTGGATGTGAAGCACGAAGGCACGGTTTACTATATAAGTTTGGCCATTATGCGCAGCTGTAATATGGTAGAAGGAGTTTAACGGGTTGAGGTGGCCTGCCGATGAGCTGCTTTCCCTGCCTCTTGAAAGGGTCGGTCCGTTTGACAATCAACTTGGTGAGGCGAATGCAGGAGTATCTTTTTTTCGATGCCTCCAATGAAAAGGTACGGGTGTCATGGCATGCTTTGATGCTTGGACAAGTGGACAAACGTGTAGGTATGCCCTCAATCTCTCATTTTTTTATAAATGGGTTTGGCTGACTTTTTGGTGTTAAAGCTTTGGCCACGCTTAGGTGCACGACAGGCTCACATCAACCTCATGATCAAGGGCTCTTGTTGCTTCGTTCAACATTCATTGCATCACTCCTCCAAAACGCCAAAATTCTAGCGGACATGGCAGACCAGAACTCCTGGCGAAGCTCTATCGCAACATTCTCGATACAAGAGTGCCATTCGCCAAGCCGATGCAAAATATCAGTGTCAAGAATCATCAGATCATCTTGCTGGTGTAGCACTAATGTGGACTGTGGTAGTTCGTATTGCAATAAGGCCCCAAGGCCCCGCTGCGATTACTTACACGACTGAGCTAGTTCAATACACGACGTATTCACTTGCAAAAGTCCTTGCAACCCGCATCGCTGCTGTGAGACGACACAAATCCTCTTTCTCTTAGTGTCGCAACCAATTGACGGTCACTGATAAATGACCAGATATGCCGGTACTTGGCGACAGTTCGCCGTTGTGTTTTGGATTGCTGACATGCCGAGTGGACGTGCACCGTTGGTGCTCACAGTCTTATGATACGGTTTTTAAGGAGCAGGCACACGTGTCAAGGCGGGGGATACTTCATCCCTTCGACATGAGGGAGGGAAAGCGTGGCGTGAGCATCACCAGCTCATAAAATATAGAAGCCTGGCTCCCTTGTTCCCCCGTACACATGAATGTAAGAGGCTGCGCTTTTGGTGAAGTCTGGTCGTGAGTGCACATAGACTGATGTGTTTTTATTGCGAGGCACGCTATGTACCAGCTGCGGAGGCCTAGCTTGCCGAAACGAGGACGAAGCTGGTCTTTTCTGCCATGAGCGTCATGTGATTTACTCCTGTTATAACAGACCCAGGTGCCAACGCTGATCGAATCCTGACAGGTCAAAGTTATCAGAGGTATTTTGACTGCCGAATATTGGGATTGACAAGAGGCGATTCGCTAAGATCCAGCATAGCACATTGACTGCAATTTTGTCACTTGACCATGACCGGTTGTCTCCAGTTTACACTGCAAAGTCAGGCGCAGGAAAGTGTTCAACTGGCAAGACACTCTTCTTGCACAGGGGACACAGACTGCTCGACTGGGTCAACGCGGTGTCGATACAATCTGGATGGAAGATATGTCCGCATGGTAGCTCTCGCACGGTGGATTGACCTGGAACGTAGTCATCCAGACAGATCGCGCAGGTCGTCTGTGACCGGCTCAGTCGGTTCTCGCGCCACCTGCCACTCGTTCGTCGGGAGTGGTGGGGGCTGCTGCTCATCGAGGAGTGTATGGATGAAGCTCTATTCTCGACATCTTTTATTCTAGCAGGTTCTGGTTTGAGTATGATTGTCTCCGAAGAGAAATGGGGAGGAGTGTCACGATGGTCGGCTTTGACGTTGGCGACGATCGTTTCTGCAGATCCCGTCGACGCCGGATGAGCATGTGAATGGCCGGTGGTAGGATTGGTAGACTGTTCCTCGGGATCGTTATCGGCGTCGGTCTCAATTCCATAGACATATATTGGCATCGTATCTAGATAGTCCAGTGGAACCCGTAGCTGATGCATACCCAACTGCTCTGGATCTATTTCCCCACTTTCCAGGCGCCGCCGAAGGTTTTGTCGATGTCGCTTCTGCACAACCTGGTAGAAAACCAGCAGAACCACACTCAGCACGAGGATCGTCCCCAAGATGGCTAGAATAAAGCCCCAAAGACTAGGCATGGCTTGGCTGGTACTTTCTGATTGTTTGAGATCAGCCAGTCGACGCGAAACTCTTATCGAGGACAACTAACCTATATCAATCACTGAAATCAACTGATGATCTGACTGAAAATCCCCAGCAGGGTCGTTCACAGTCCCGTACAACGACAACCGCTCCATCAGAGTGACACCCGCCGGCCCGGGTATCGCATACACTGGATACTCATTCGTGCGCTTCCAGTCGTCTTCATCTCCCAACGACCAGATCTGATCGCTCGCCGGCGGCGGTTTAGAGTCATCGCTATTTGGCTGAAAGAACACCAGCGCATCCGTTCCGTCGCCTTGTGAAGCGTTCAGGAATGCCCGCGTACACTCAACGTTCACCCAGGGCGCTAGGCCGATCTTGCGGTTCCCTAGCGGGGTGATATCTTCAAGCCGAGTCACGTTGGCGGGCACGTACGCAGCGGTCGCATTGTTGCACGGGTCGCCGGTATCGAGACTTGGAACGAAGAGGAACCCTTCAATTGGGCCTTTGCTAGGAGCGCTTTTCCTTGATAGTGTTTGAATGGTATCATCGAGCTTCAGGGAGAATGCCGCGCTATTCTAGATAGTAGTTCCGACGTCTGTCAGCCCTTGCTCCCCCGTGCCTTCTCGGAGCTCAGAAGAGAAAATCATACATTGACTGACGGTGTCGCATGAGTTGCCTGGCCCGAATTTGCAAAAAAGACCTCCGTGAAAGTGGTAAGTGATTTCGCAGCTAATGACAGGCAAGTTAGCAGCAACCTTTACAGAGGGTATATCACTTTGTCCGGAGCTGAAACACTTACTCATGATGAATGTGATCGCATGGGTCTACCGCCCCCTCCGAGGGGAGTGCCAGCAACTTAAAACACGAAACAGCACAGCCAGCATAGTGCGCCGGGTTTGGCTAGTCAAGACGTAAGAGAGTAAAACACATTTTGGCCACTGAAAGAGGAGGAATGCGAGCAGTGTCCAGACCGATAGTCAGGAGGAATGCTGACAGTAGGGCAACTGAGGGAAATGGGTCGGACTTGCCCGTCAGTGTCAGGATTGCTGCTAGATTTGCTGCATCGGTCACAAAGCTGCAGGGGCAAATCATGCAGAGTTCCGGCACGCCTCTCTGTCTCAGCCCCCCATCTCGTCGCCTGAATGTTCATTGCGGTTGTTTGGGTGACCGTGTTGCCGATCGTCCTGCTTGCAGACAGACGCTTGCGGAGGCCGGGGCTGGCTCCAAAATATGATGCAGACCACCGTAGAACTGGAAGGATAAGGTCATTTGAAGCACGATGCAAGCATCGAGGGGCTATAATAAATTTTAGCCGAAATCTTTGCAGCTACATCATGGACAGAGACTGAATGAGTAGGTGGACACTCAAGGCTTCAAAGAAGTAAACGACTCCACAGTCTTAGTCCTTCGCAATCAACCTTAAAACCGGGTCCGCTGTGGAGAGAGAGCGGTAGTCTAGCAGGAGACAAACTATGCAAATTCCATGTCTGCATAGCTGATTAGTCATTCCATTATGCCAGAGTACTGTGACTCGGTCTTGATTTACGTTAACACAGGCTCGCTCCGCGATTGATTGCCTTGCCGTGGGAGCTCTGGATGTACTTACTTGCCATCATGTTTGTTTCATGTAAAAGCGGTTTTGTGCGTGCGGCTAAGTTTGCAAATGTGGCATACTTGCTTTGACAACATTTGTCAATCATATCATTAGTTAGGGAATTACTATCCAGTATAAAAGAGAAAGCTGTTATGCGCTGCGAACAAGCTGGAGCCATCATTATCACTCACGTGACATCCATGTAAGTCTGACTAAGACCTCAGCACAGCACGTGATATCACATGGCTCTTCCCCTCACGTGTGGAGATACCAGGAACGATAACCCGCCAGATCACCAGTCCAACAGATCAAGTTCAGCTCACCAACATAGCCGATTTGAATCGCAAAAGGCCAAGTTGATCGGCCCCGAAACTCGAGCGCACCTCCCTTCGCCGCTTTTGATTCTCGAAGTGGAGCGTTATGGACCGCTAGCTCCCCGACGACCTCGGACAGTTCTCACCCCAGTTACCCCAGCTTTCCAACGCAGTCCTCAACCACCACAATCATCATGCCCCATGCCAGCAAAGGCAAGGGTAAAGGGCGCGACCGCGACCGCGACCGCGACCGCGAACGGGATCGAGATCGCGAGATGCGCCCCTCGCGCAGTCGCAACACCACGCCCAGCTCCAGTTTCAGTGCCGGCGCGACCACCGGCCCCGTCCACAGTTACCTTGACAACGATGCATCGAAGCTGATGATGAACGCCTCCATACAGTACGGGGAGCTCCTCGAGCGCATGGGTGGAGTGGGTCCGATCCCGGACTCCAAATCCCTGGAGATGTTGATGGAACACCTGAAGACGCTCAGTCAGCTGGCGGAAACCCGCGGTGACGTGTGCAATGCCGGCATCCGGGAGCTGTCGCAGAAGCGCAAGGAAGTCGCGGATGAATCCGAATTGGGTGAGCGGGATGGCGGCGACCGAGTGAAGATGAAGCGCGAAGCGGATGAGGAGGAGGAAGAGAAGGCGTTCAAGGGCGGTAAGCTGAAGAAGAGAAAGGAGCGCGGGAGCAGCTCCAAGGAGGATCGACCTCTGGCCCACGGGGCTCATGGTCTGGCGCGACAGGATGGTGCAGAGACAAAAGTTGAAGGGGGTGAGTCTTTTCCCTCCCGCCTCGGGCTGCCCTTTCCACATCATCAACCACTGACTTGACCACCAGCCGCTTCCCCAGCTTCCAAGAAATCCAAGAACGCAGCTTCCGACGATGCCTCCCTCTCCCCGAAATCTCCCCGTGAGGCAGCCGAGGCAGCGAAGGGGTCCCAAGATGAAGAATCAGACAACGATTCCGACGATAGCTCGGGTTCGCACCAGCCTGAACCGGCCCCAGCTGTGCCTCAAGTGCAGGTGTTCGGCCCCAATCCGCTCAAATTTGATGACCCGACTATTTATCACATTCGCGAGGTGACACCGGACATGACGGATGAGGAGAAGAAGTTCATCTACAGCGTCAACCGCTTCCCTCGCAGCGATCTGAGCCATATGATGGCGGGGGTACCGCCGGACCGCGACTTCAGCAACTCCAAGCCCACGAACCAAGTCAACGCCAACACCTTCTTAGCCTACATCGAGCCCTATGTCCGCCCCATGACGGAGGAGGACATGGCATTCTTAAAGGAAAAGGTTCGTCGTGTCATCCCTCCCTGGAAGCAATGCCCCCCACTAACGGCACCAGGGCGACCGAGCCACCCCATTCATCATGCCCCGACGCGGCAAGAAACACTACGCCGAAACCTGGGCCGAGGAAGACGGGCTCAGCAACACGGATCAGGCCAACGGCGATAAAGAACGACTGGCGCTCAACGAAGGCCGCGGCAACATTGACCAAGTGACCGACGAGACGGTAGAGACGGACAAGATCTCAGTCGGCCCGCTCGTCAGCCGACTCTATTCCCTGCTGCGCTACGAGCACCGGCCGAGCCCCGACGACAACCCTACCAGCACGACGACAGCCACGAACGGCACGCCCAACGGCGACGGCACGACGAACGGGCTCAACGGCTTCGACTCAATGGACCTGGACCACCCACCGCCGCTGCCTCCCTCTTCATCCCACCTGACCAACGGCGGCAGCGGAGACGCGGACAAGCCCCTCGCCTCAGCAACAGCCTTCCCGGACGTATCGCCGACAGGTTTCAAGACGAGCGTAGCCAAACTGGACCACGCGCAGCTGGACGAGCGGCTGAAGGCGGAGCTGCGGCACGTGGGGTTCCTGGGGCCGGAGGACGCGCCGGACTACGACGCGCACTACGACGACGACATCGCGCAGCGGCTGCGACTGCTGCAGAGCGAGCTGAAGAAGCAGATGATCGTCAACAGCGCGCGCAAGACCCGCCTGCTGGACATCGCCCGCGAGCGCATGGCCCACCAGGAGTACATGACCATCCACGACGACCTCGACTCCCAGGTCCAGCAGGCCTACCTCAAGCGCACCCGCACCCTCGGCAAGAGCAAGAAGGGCTCCCAGGCCAAGCACCGCCCCGGCGGCGCCGGCGGCGGCAGCCACGTCGTTAGTGCCGCCGGCGTCGGTCGCCCCGCCATCGGCGACGTCGCCCGCACCCTCATGGACCGCCGCAAGCGCTGGCGCGACTGCATCGGCCCCGTCTTCCGCGAGAGCAAGACCAGCGTCCCTGGTAAAAACGAGACTGTCTTCGATCCGGTCATGATGGCAGAGTTCGAGAAAGCGGAGTTGGAAGGCTGGGATGAGGAGCAGGAATAGAACGAACACTCATTCGCTCACTCATTCACTCACTCTGCTTCTCTTCTCGGGCTTCTCGTAGTCAGACAGATTCATGTCCATTGGATGTGCTATTCTGTCATGTGGTATACATATTCTATATTCAACGATCGTTGTTTGCGAGCGAGTATTGCTCAGCGAATCGGCGGGAACTGGGCCGGTCTTTCGTCAGATGACTTCAATTTTTTGGCTTTTCCCTTTATCACAGGGTTACGGACTGCAAAGTCACGGGTATTTCGGGATCAGGCGTCATAAAGGGGGGTATACACTGGGTCGCTGTCTCACTCAACGGCGGGCGTTCTCGGAATTCTTATCAAGTGTTAGAGTTTTTATCTCACACCTAATCTCGATTATACTGAATCATCCATCCATCCATCCGCCTCAAAAAAAAAAATAAAAATAAAATAAAGAAAAGGAAAGAATCTAAATTCGTGGTTCTCCAAGTAGGTCTAAACCACAGACTGGGTATCATCAATAAGTACATAGTTCACCACAAATCACCGATGTATAATCAACACTTCCCCAGGAAACCGCTTCAAGCGCGCCGTCAGCTCGCGTTCACTGATCTCCAGCTCCGTGCAGATCTGATCGAAGCAATGCATCCCATCTAAGTATTTGGCTAACGTCTTGTCGTCGATCTCATCCTCATCCTCATCGTCCTCGTTGTCCATCGTCGCCACCGTCGCGGGACGGCTCCCGCTATGCACGGAGGTCGAGTGGTCCCGAGCAGTATCCGGATGATGCGGGTGGTGCTGAGCAATTGGCGCCGGTTCGTCCCCCACACTCGACGCGTAAGGAGAATTGGTTCCCGTGCCGGGCCCGCGAGAGGAGGGGCCGCTGGAGATAGGGATCTGGAGCGTCCCACCTGCGGCGGTGATAACTGCTGTGCCTTGATGGTTGTGTTGATTTTGGTAGTGAACATTGTGGGAGAGGGCGGAGGCTTTGAGTGGTGGGGCCGGTTGTCCGGTTGCGACGGCGTATTTGTGCACGCGGTAGATGAAGCCCTTGATCACCCCGAAAGTGATGAAGCGGCGAATGTCGATGTGCGCTAGCTCTCGGCTGTGGTGGAGGTACCATTGTTTGACGCTCTGGCCTTGTTTGAGGCTCGCGTATAATGACACTAGGCCAGCGCCGTCGACGATGGGACGGCTGCCGTACAGTCCGCGGGCTGCGGAGGTGTCAGGATGGGGTTCCGAGGATACGGAGGTAGCGGCTGCAGCAACTGCGGCCGGACTTGGGGTCGCTGTGACGCTAGATGAGGTCGGGGCCACGGCGCTGGCGAGGAGAGTTGGGCTTGGAGTGCGGCTGGGGTTGGTCATGACGCTGGCGCTGCTGGTGGTGAGGACATCGCCGATCGGTGGCCAGACGGCATCCGGGTCAGAGCCGGAGGCGAGGGCTGCGGATGCGGCAGTGACGGGCGACGCAAAAGATGTGTTGACATAGCGCGCGCACTCGTGTTGCATGTCTTCGTCCATGGCGATGGTAGAGCTGAATTGTGCAGTTGGCGCGTAGATCGCCGAGAAGGAGAAGATGTCGAGCAGAAACAAGCACCCATAGTAAAGGAGGTGTCGGATGGCTCGGCAGGTCAGAGAGAAGTCAGTGTCGGCTAGGATCGAAATGATTCGAACACTGTTGACCCCATTGATATATGGGACAATCTGTACCAGGGTATGTTAGTATGGATGTTGTATTAGGGCCGTATAGATAGGTGCGACAAACGCGTTGCATGGTTAGATCCCAATTCTCGTCCATAAATGTTTGATATCGGACCGTGAACAGAGGAACCTGCCAGGCTTTGACCGGCGGCGGAGCGGGGTAGATTGGGAACAATTTGATGTTCAGGGTATTCAGCTCATCTGAAGGACCGTCAGCGATTCTGGCATGCAGCATAATCCGTTGGGCAAGAATTACCGATTGGGATCATGCACTCGCAGTAGTTATTGAGATCCTCCATCAGGGTCTCACACAAGCTGTATACTTTCCCCTCACCGGGTTTTGAATGATCTCGAGACAAGAATCCATTCTGTTCCTCCAACCCGTGCATCAGGTCCGCAAGCTTCTGTACGACACTCTTGTATGTGCTGAAGTCCTCCTCTTCCGCCAGCACTAAACAGAAGTTGAAGATAAACTCGTTGCGATCATATCGAAGCGACTTCATACAGATGGGGTAGCCAAGGATCCGATATCCATTGGTGCAGACTTGGATCAGATTGCCGCAAAGCTCTTGACGAGGGATCACGAAGAAGGAGATGTCGGAGAAGGTCAGGAAGGGGGGCTGCGAGGGCGCTGCGGCGGAGGGAACAATGGCACCATCTGGAACCTGGTGGACAACCTTGGGGCCTAGAGTGTGTCAATTACTGAGCGAGAGAGCCAGTATTGGGAACACTTACCCTCTTGGGTGTCGAATTTGCTGTAAAAGATAGCTTTGATCATGATGACAGTGGGAAGTTGTGGTGGTGGTGGGGGAGGAGCAAGGCGTGGTAGAATGAGGAGACAAAAAAGCTATGAAGCAAAAGGCCACGCAAAAGTTCAACCCATCTTGTATATGATTCAAAGCGCCTTTCAACGAGCGCGTACCCCAGTAGTGTGGGTGAGGAGCGACATCGTTAGAGAGCTGGGAAAATGACGGAGAGAAAGTTGGGAGAGAACTTTGGTAGTCGCGGGGAGTCGCGGGGAACTTCAGGCGCGGCGCGGAGAACCTTTCCGCCCGATGGATGGCCGAGGCCGATACCTCTACAGTCTACAAACGCTTTTGCGGGATCACGTCCTAACGGTCAAGTCTCATGTATGGTGAATCTGTATTATCTCTTCATCCAGAAAAAGCGTCTCCTCCACAACAATTACTTATGCCCAATAGTAGTGCAGCAGATTGTTGGGGGTATTAAACATTGCAGGGGTTAGATTTGAACCAGAAACGATAAGGAAAAGAAAAGCCAAGGAGATCTATAGTAAAACCAGCAACTAGAAATATCACGCTTGAAGACGCCAGTCCACCGGAGCGCTGAAAATGCATCGATCAGATAAGCCAAACCCATTCGCTAATCCGAGAAAAGGAAGCACAATATGCGAATTATCTTCTCCTTCCAGCATACTCTTTTTCTAGCGTGCAGCTCGGGATGGCGAATGAGCCGGCCGTCGAGAAGCAAGTAGTGTGGATGGTGATGGCAATATGAAGGGTTCCGATAATGATGAGGTAGAGGACCGAATGCTTGCTCGATCCAGGTGAGGCAACGAGGAGGGTATATCGTAAAGGTATCCCAAGGGCTGGCCCATTCGGATTGTATTGAGCACGTCAGTATAGCTTCCCCGTTCTCCGGCTTCCTTGAGCCATTGCTCCCAATCTTCGTCCAATGGTACATTGGCACCCTGTTCACGTGCAGCGCTTGCAGCCAGAAGACGATGATTTAGTTCAACCCCGCAGCTTTCCATTTCATCTTCGCTGTAATCTTCCTCGGCCTTTTCCTCGAGGATGCACTCGATGCCACGATCATCAATGACATCGCGAGGGGTGCGTACTTCTCTCCATGGCATCTCTACCCTGCGCTGTGGTTCCTTCGCGGGTTCTGGGCCATCCTCGTAGTGTACTTCGATGGAGGGGAGAGGAGAAGGGGGGGCAGGTTGGATACCCTCTGCAGTCGTATCGCGCACCTTCACTCCCTCTTCGATCTCATAACGCTCACGAGCCGACTTTGTTCCCTCCCAGCGGCAGAGGGACGATATCTCAACCTCCGTGAAGCCCAACTCGTCAAAGGCTCTGAACAGTCTGCGGTGCCATGGGAAACGGCTCAGCCTCATGCGATGAGGGCCATGTGAGTAGTCTAGTCCTGGGTACTGAGCTTCGATGCAGTCGAGCGATCCGTAGAATGTTGACGTCTCGACGCGGACCTCAGGGACTAGATTACGGGTGATATGAGCGGAAAAGGTTGCGGGATCGCTTGCACGCGGTCGCGGAAACAGTGCGCTGTGCACGATCTGGGCCAGCGACGGTTTGTGCATGATGAAGTGTCGTTTAAAGTAGAGTCAAATCCAGTTGATCAAGCGAAGTGCTGAGTGTATCGCGGAAGATGGGTTGAAAGTGAGGTTGTCGGGTGCCAAAGATGAGGGAGAAATGAGGTGAGGATAGGGAGACCGGAGAGCGAATAAAGGAGATGAAACTCTGAGGACAGATATGGGGTAACGTAGTGCACGGTTGCTGAGTGAAATGAGGAGAATGAAGGATGAGAGCAAGAAGGGGGAATGTTCAGACGGTGAGAAAGATACCAGAGAAGTATCTGGTTGCGGAAGGGGGCAGCCGGGGATTGTCGATCAGCAATAGTAGTGCTCGGAATGAGCAGTCAAAAAGATGGGCTAGAAAGTCTAGAATAGGAGGCAGGAGGCGCTTGGATGCAGCCAGGCTCGGTCAAGGTTTCAGCCAACACTCCGTTCTCACGCGATCGAATCGCAGGGCGGATAGGGTTCAATCATTCAATAAGGGAGAACAATGCAGGCCGGCATGTCTCTCCGGGTTGACCGCATGGAATCCCTACCAAACACGTGGATTGGAGGTGTGTTGCAGTTGCGAATAGGTATGAACGAACAGTAGAAACACGCGATCCGAGAACCCGTTATTGAACGAGAAACAGAGTCAACTCTCTTCCTCCCTTCCTTCCGGTTCGCCTTGTATTTTCTGTCGGAGATATTCCCAAATGGAAAAGGTGCCCCTTAGAGGCGAATAATAATGTGACGCACCACCCGACGCCTTAGCTTCAGGTACCGTTAGAGCCAGAAGCCTAATCCGTCCCGCTTGTCGATCAGAAGCGATGGGGAATCGGGCCCATTCTGGTGGAATGCGGTCTAATTTAAGGCTGTCCCGATCGGGAGAAGAAGATGAAGAAGCAACGATTCGAGCTTGCCTGTCAGAAGGTGAAAAGGCCGACGGAAAAGAAGAGAGTTTATCGAGGACAAGTGATTGTGTGACCGAGTTGACCTTTTTATACTTATCGGCCGTTCAACTCTGAATCAGTCGGCTGACTCTGGGATCGACGAAACCACGCAGGCAAATGACCAGCGCATCGCGTCGGAGACCGACTGCGTGGAGTTGTAGCCAACCTGAAGCCATGACAACAGGCCGATCCATCATCCTAAGACACTCTGGCCGCCTTGCGCCCGTAAGTGGGTGGGTGGGAAAGCGATATGATGATGCTGTTGATGATGGCACCAACCCTGCGTTGGCGGGCGGGTCCGTCTGCTCGTACTCTCGTTGCCCACTCGCCTCACGGTTCAGTTCAGCTGCAAGGCCACTTGGTCTGCCTGGGTCCATGTAGGTACTTGAATCGAGATGGCTTCTGGGCCAGCGTCATGACTTTGTCCTTTTTCTTTCAATTTCTCTTTTGCTGTGATCCCGTTCGCTGGTGCTAAAGACAAGGCAGTGACGGGCTGGCTGGACAATCAATGTCCCACAGTGTCAAAATTGGGCCCGAGCCAAAAAGGCGGTATGATCTGGAATACAGTTGACCAATGTTGATGCTGAGGAGTATGATTATTGCAGGCCAGCAAGATTATTTTTCAGGTAGGTAAGGCAGTAACAATAGTAAGCAATAGTAATGCGTCCAGTGCAGCATTGCCAATTGTAGGTGTTTCCGTCAGTGCCCAGTCCAGTCACTGTCAGTCACGTTACCACCCGTCATACTTGCTTCTTCCCGGCCTTTCTTTTCGCACTTCCTTCTTGTCCGAGAGAGCCTCGTATCTCGCCTTCTTCCTTATGAATTATAGATTGGTATAAGCTCAACCACCAATCCCCCAAAAGAGACTTTGTGACTATCATGTCCACCTTCGATGGGATTGTCCAAGGTCGGTGGTGTAAACCAGACAATAGGTTAATGTGGACGTATCTGATGATCGAGTAGAGTTTCCCTATATACAAAGTAAATCATCATGCAACAGGGGTATCTTCAAAGAAGCAGGCTGAGAAATCATCCCAGTTGACTACTTTCGCAAGAGCCTAGAAAGACCCCCTCCGCTGGTCTGCTTCCTGAGCCATGTGCACAGTGACCATCTGCAGGGACTCGAGTCCTTTCGGGCTCCCTTCATCTACTGTTCAGCAGCAACACGAGAGGTATTAGACAATCACGCACTATTCTATTAGTATTGGTGTATGGTGACCCATGTTATCCCAGCTTCTTTTGCGCATCGAAAAGTATCCTCATCGGATGAACTTCAGTAAAGGCATCCTAGAATCGCGCAGACTGCACTATAAGCACCTGTCAAAGCTTCTGGTATTATCTCCACCGGCCTTACCAAAAACTACTGGCTCACTCAATGAAGCGACCAATTCCACTGAACACGCCGACGGAGATCGACCTGACCCCGCGGCTGTCCATCAGGACCACTCTCATTGATGCAAACCATTGCACTGGAGCGGTGATGTTTCTGCTCGAGGGCGATGGGAAAGCCGTCCTCTATACTGGCGATATACGAGGTGAGCTGGCCATGTGTGTCTGAGACCTGTTTCATCATCTCATGTTATGATGCAGCTGAGCCCTGGTGGGTCAACAGCATCATCAGGAATCCGGTCTTGATTCCCTACACTCTCGGGAGCAAGCAGCTCGATAAGATGTACCTCGACAACACTTTCGCCCGTCCATCCCGTATCTGCCGTGTGTTTCCAACCAAAGCAGAAGGCATCGCGGAGTTGCTGCGCAAGGTCGAAACGTATCCCGATAACACCACGTTCTACTTCCGAGCATGGACGATGGGGTACGAAGAAGTCTGGATGGCCCTTTCTGCTGCGCTCAGATCAAAGGTATCACTGTCTGACATCGATTTTCGTCGCGATGCTGAACCCACCAGGTCCATGTTGATCGATATCAGATGGACCTTTATAGGTCGCTCATTTCCTCACGAACAGAAGGCAGCATCAATGAGGCACCCTCGCTTTGTGGCTTCGAATTGGGAAATCGATTCGTTCCCGGCTGCCTCAGCGAAGACGAGCGAGCGCGAATACACAGCTGTGAGCCCGGTGTACAATGCTCTGCAGCGAAGTCCAAGGGTACCATATACATTATGCCGGTTGTTAACCGAACCAAGGACGGCGCAGAGATGCCCGAGTTGGGAGCAGGTGGTGGAGGAGGCGATCTATATCAAATCCATGAGCTCGAACTTCCTGACAAGTCTGCCCTGGAACAGCTAGAAAAGCTGTGCCTCGAGCGCATCCATGACACCCGGGCACTATCTCAGACCAGACAGGCTCTCATCGAGGCCTTTGAGTCGAAAAGAAAAGTGCTATCACTGGACAGCTTCGGGATGAAGGATGCAGATGAGATACCGTTGGAGAAGCTTGTGAAGATCCTGGGTCGTGGCCGGTCAGAGGAAGAACAATGGGCGGGTCGCCTTAACAAACTCCCCAGCACGGACAGACAGCCACTCCCCAGAGTCATCGTACGGCTACCTGCTTACCCTCAGTGTCCCTGCATCTACTGACAACCATACCAGCGTTTCCCTTACTCTCGTCACTCCTCGTACTCGGAATTGTGCGATCTCGTCGCCGCATTCAAACCCAAAGACATCCACCCTTGTACCGTCGACCCAGTGACCTGGACCGAAGACATCTCCATGCAAAACCTCTTCGGCCATCTCTGCTCAGGTACCGACTTCGCCCACGACCAGATAATCCGAGACATGACCACCACCAACGAGGAGCTCCTTCACCGCAGGAAACGATTTAGACATGAGGCCCCGTCCACCACTCCACAATCAAGCCAACAGTCCTCATCCAGCATGCTGCCTTGTCCAGCACCAGCTCCAGTACCTCCACCTCCACCACCTCCACCATACAAAACCCTCGCACCACCGCAAACAATCCCGTCCTCCCTACCTTCATCCTCTTCCGAACCGGGCCTCCCCCCCTCCTTCGCGACCATCAACGAAACAACATACAACCCCACCAACCCGGAGAAAACCAGCACTACATCGCCATCCCCAAACACAATCCTCACCCCAACCCACGCAACAGCACAAGCCCACCGCAACGCAATCTGCGAAGCATGGACCTTCCTCCGCGACCAACCGACCTCGCAGCGCGAAGCGCACTACCACCTGGGCTCGCTCCCGTCGTCGTGGCCGACAAACGAGCAGAACTCGCTGCACAGCCTGTCGTCAGAGGTGGAGATCGAAGTCAACTCATCCAGCCAACCGTCAGCACTCCACAGAAGCTTCTACCCAGATTCTCACGCAGAGATGAACATAGACCCAGACCGATCAGCCCAACCCCCAATATCAGAGCACGGAGACCGACAAGAAGACGAAGCAGGAAACCAGCAGCAAAGCACAGCAGTCTACTCACCCAGCCATCGCAATACCACCACCATCAACCCAACCCAATCCTCATCCCTCACCTCCAAAGACCAACCAACCCCCCACCTGAACCCCAACCCTACCGCAACCGCAACCGCAACCGCAAGCGAATCAGAATCCGACTCCGACTCCGACCTCCTCATCGCCGAAACCCTCTCGCAAACCGACAGCCACGATGAAGATGAACCCGAAAAGCCCCAGCAACAAGCCCGAAAACGCCCCGGCACAGCAGCTGCATCCCGCCGAACGCGCCGGAAAGACGCGTACCTGGCTGCGCGGGCGGGGAGCTACGAGGCGTGGGCGGCGGTGTCGTTGATGTCGACGGGGAATAATCATACTGAGGAGGAGGTGGAGCTTTGATATTAGTATTTGCTTGTGGGGGTTGTGGATGGTCTCTTGGATAGTGTTTTCGTAAAAGGATGGGGTTGGGGAGGGGGTGTGGAATCTTAGGAATCTATTGGTATTGGATGGCTTGGGCGGACTCGTGATATATGCAGTAGTTGATTTGCAGGTGATACCTAAGTACCTCACTCTTAGGCACTGGATCTTCTATGTATCTCCGTGGCCTCTACACCGGGACGCAATATCTAACACTCATATAACCTCTTAAATAAATACCTACCAAGAAAATATTTGTATACAAGAATGACGACACCCACACCAAGAGCTAGAAATGTATATAGAAACAAGAAAGAGAAAAGGAAAGAAAAAAAAAAGAAACCAGAAGGTATCATCATCATCGTCAACAATCGTCAAGGAAACTCGTCAAAACCGGTGTCTAACCCTTTTCCCTACAACCCCAAATCTATAACCTACGTCTTCCTTTCACAGCCACAAAACACCACCGCCGCCAACTTCGACCTCAATAAATATAGTAATCCTGTGTCAGAGGCAGGATCTCCGCCGGCTCGGCATCACAGAGCACACCGTCGGCTTCGACGCGGTAGCTCTCCGGATCGACGTGCATCTTCGGCATGATGTCGTTGAACTTCATGTCTGCCTTGCCGACGGTGCGGCAGTTCTTGACGGCCTCGATGCGCTTCTGGAGGCCGTAGGTCTGGACGATGCCTGCGTCGATGGAGGCCTGCGAGACGAACATGATACTTGTACTGGGGACCATGACCTGATTGTTTATTTAGTTGTGGCTCATGGTCGTGAAAATCAGACGGAGTGAGAGACTTACGCCGAATTGGGGACGCATGATGATCGGCTCGACCGTGGGGATCGAAGCGTTGGGGTCGCCCTGATGTTGTTAGTGGATGGTCATCGATCAAGAAGCTCACAAAGACGGGCCCCAAAACGTACCATCTTAGACATCACGATCATCCCGCTCTTCAACACCTGCGAGGGCTTCGTGCCGAACGAGCTCGGGGACCAGAGGACCAGATCCGCAATCTTACCGACTTCAATGCTGCCGATCAAATGGGACATGCCCTGGGCGATGGCCGGGTTGATCGTGTATTTGCTGACGTAGCGCTTGACGCGGAAGTTGTCCGCGCCCGTGCCTTCGTCCTCGGGCAGGAAGCCGCGCTGCTCCTTGTTCTTGTGGGCGGTGTTCCACGTGCGCAAGATGACCTCGCCGCAGCGGCCCATGGCCTGCGAGTCGGAGGACATCATGCTGATTGCGCCGAGGTCGTGCAGGACATCTTCGGCGGCGATGGTCTCGGCACGGATACGACTTTCCGCGAAGGCGACATCCTCCGCGATGTTCTTGGACAAATGGTGGCACACCATCAGCATGTCGAGATGTTCGTCCAGGGTGTTCATGGTGAATGGCCGGGTAGGGTTGGTACTGCTGGGGAGGACGTTAGGGTGCTCCACCACTGAGATGATATCGGGAGCGTGACCGCCGCCAGCTCCCTCCGTGTGATAGGTGTGGATTGTACGGTTTTTGAAGGCCTCAATGGTCTGTTCGACAAATCCGGACTCATTTAGTGTGTCCGTGTGAATCATGCACTGCACGTCGTACTTATCGCACAAGTCGAGACATTTATCGATAGCAGCAGGCGTGGAACCCCAGTCCTCGTGGAGTTTCAGTCCGGCAGCACCCGCCTTGATTTGTTCCTCAAGGCTCACTCCACCACAATCGTTGCCTTTACCAGTAATACCGATGTTCAGCGGAATGCGATCGCACGCCTGGATCATCTGGCGCATGTGCGTGGGGCCAGGAGTGCAGGTGGTGGCATTGGACCCGGTCGAGGGACCGGTACCGCCGCCCAAGAATGTCGTCACACCAGAAGCCAAGGCCTCGTCCGCTTGCTGAGGGCAGATGAAATGAATGTGAGTGTCGAAGCCACCGGCAGTGACGATCTTGTTCTCGCCAGCAATCACATCCGTCGATGAGCCAACAATCATACCCGGGGTGACGCTGTCCATGATGTCCGGGTTTCCAGCTTTGCCAATACCAACGATGAGTCCATCCTTAATACCGATATCGGCCTTGTAGATACCGCTCCAATCGATGATCAGCGCATTCGTAACAACAGTATCCAGACACTCCGCCGTGGACTTCTCCGAAGACTGACCCATACCATCCCGAATAACCTTACCGCCACCGAACGTGCACTCATCTCCATAGCTCGTATAATCCTTCTCAACGCGCACCCAGAGGTTCGTCAACCCTAGACGAACCAGATCGCCCGTTGTGGGGCCAAACATACGCACGTATACCTCGCGCTCCATTGAAAAGGGAGTCACGAGCGCGGCGTCCGCAGTCGGTTCAGAAACATGGGCAAAGCCAACCACCTGCATGCGCATCATGATCTCTTCCGCACGACTGAGATCCACCTTTCCCGAAGCCAAACAGTTTCCTCCGCGAATGATCTGGTGGCCGGCGATCTCCACGAGCGTGACGACCTTGGTGTCACCGGGCTCGAACCGAACTGAGGTGCCAGCCGGGATGTCGAGCCGGTACCCATACGAACGGAGGCGATCGAAGTACAGCTGCGGGTTGGTTTCGATGAAATGGTAGTGGGAGCCGACCTGGATGGGCCGGTCACCCTTGCTCATGACCTTGAGCTTAATGCGCTTCCTTCCCTCGTTGAGCGTGATGCGGCTGTGCGGTACCGGCAGGATGGCTCCCGGCATGCTCTCCGGCGTGTAGTCTGTGGGGTCCGGGTCCGGGAACGCGTCTGCCGGCGGGATGGGGAGGAAACTTCCATAGAGCGCTTTCTCCAGATCCCCGTCGTCGCTGCTGATCGGGTGGTGCACCGTCACCAGGTAGGTGCCCGTCGGAAAGGTTCCCTCCACCTGCAATTCAACCAGGGTCGAGACGACCGAGGGAAGGACATGACGGCGACCCAGCATCGTCTTGCCGATGGACATAAGATCGGCCACGGAGTATTGTCCATCGCGGATCAACTGCGCTAAGTGTGAGAGTGGGTTATTGGGCGGGTGGGTAGACTCGAGAGAAATGAATTACCTCCTGCAGGTTGGACGAGATCAGAGCCTATGGAGACGCGTCAGCCGCTTATCGTCGTCAATTAAGGGGGACCTCCGGAAGGGGACGGTTGTTGGTGCAACGTACCGAAGCTTCAGCATGGTTGAGTCGTACACCACGTGCGAGACGACGTTGAGCTAGGAATCCCAATTGAGAGATGACGAGCTTGTCGAGCTAGAGGCGCGATACCAGTCAGCCTGTGCATTGTGTGGAGGTGGCATGGACACAGACCTCTTTTGGTACCAAATGCATGGTTGGCAGCGCGGCACGCGACGGGTTCTTGTCTACTATATAGTCGCAGTGCCCCTTCACAGCGACAGCAATGGCAAGGCAGACAAGAGCCAAGAACTACCCCGTGGGTACAAGAGAGAAGGCGAGCGCAATCAGACTGGAGGGGGAAAGGTTCTACGCAGACTCGCCGATGGACCACCATGGGGGGGAATTTAAGAACGAAGAAATAATGTGGGGAGCGAAAGAGAAGCTTCCGATAAGCGGCGGGCAAGGCAAATTGAAGCTGGAGCTGATAAGCCGGGAGGATGGCCTATGGCAGCCATGCGTCTGCCGAGTGACTAACGCTTTCCAGTCAATCCGGTGGATTCCATCGGCAGTCACCGGCAGGTGTCAAGGGCAATTATCTCAGTTCGTAAAATGGCTCTTATAAATTCACAAAGCTAACAGAAATAAGCAAGAGGCACGGAAAAAATAAGATAGGTAAAAAAAAAAAAAAAGAAAAGGAATGGAGGGAAAACATCCCCACTCATAAAAACCCCACACCAGTCAATCCGCAGACGCCGTTGACATCAGGCCCGCCAAAAACAAACCCAGCGATAGCAACAGCAACAGCATCAATCGTCCGGAGAAAAGTGCATCAGTCCAGAAAGAGATCCAATCCGTATATGCTACATGCAGCATTTAGATCGAAACACCCGTCCCATATACATGGTAAATCATCCCGATATAAACAGATCCCTCAGGACCGAATTTACTCCTCATTGCCAACCTCGCTCTTGCGCTTCTTCTTGGTGCGCTTAGCATCGCCGCTCGCGGTCTTGCGAGCTGAGGCAGGGGGCTGCTCGTCTTCCTTCTCCTTCTCTTTCCGGGCAGAAGTGCGCTTCTTCTTCTCAGGCGACTCCTTCTTTGCGCTGGGCGTGGCGGTTTCCTTGGTCAGAGCAGGCTTGCCCTCGCTGCGGCGACGCTTGCCACTACGCGGCGGGGTGGGCTCCCGAACAGGCTCCGGGGAAGACTCCTCTTCCTCCTCTTCTTCTTCGTCCTCCTCTTCCTCTTCCTCATCTTCAGAATCATCCGAGTGCTCACCGGTTTCCATGCCCTGGTGCAACTGGTTGGCAGCCTTGAGGTCATCCTCATAGGGCAGTCCAGCCTTGTAGGCCACTACCTTTTTCCGGTACTCAGCCAAGTTGTCTGCATAGAGCTTCTTCCAGATCTGGTGAACATCATTAGTCTAATTCTCTTCATAACATTGGAAAGGATGGGGTTCAGCAACATACCTCCTTCTCGGGTTCGCCCATCTCTTGCCAGCGGCGGGTGCCCTCATCCGAAACCTCCTTGGGCTTCGCGTTGGGGCCCAGGTCCTTAGCGATGACAGAACGGTTATGTTGCATGTAAAGGAAGAAAGGGGTCAGGGCGCGCTTGGGGGCGTTCGGGTCCGGGGGAGCGCGCTTGCGCTTCTTCTTCTGATCATCGTTCGCGCCAGGGCTCATTTCGCGCGCACCAGAGCCATAGAGAGCGCCGGCGATGCCGCTGGTAAGGTGGGTGAGATCGAGCAGAGGGACGGGATCCCGGCCCAGGACAGTGTTGGCATGGGTGATGTACGCTTCCTGCACGGTGGTGACTGCTTTGGCCAGTTGCGCGAGGCTAGCAATGACCTAAAATTGATTGTTAGATCAATATTGATCATGTTACATCATAACAATCGCGCGCGATCAAAATAAGTTCCATTGGAGGGCTGTGGGAAAAAAGAGGTGAAGCATGCGGTGAAGGAGGGCTGCGATGCGCCGGGGCGGGGCGCGTCGGGCCGTGGCAAGCAAGCAAGCGTTGTCATTGCCAAACAAAACAGAAAGCGGTGACGTTAGGGAGGGGGGAGTCACGGAAGACCGAAGGATTTAGGCAGGGCATCACCCGTTCAAGATGAATGGCTTGTGTAACGAGGTCTCTTAAATAAGGCAAGCCCATTGAAGTCTGAGATCGCAAAAGGAAAGCGCCGCCTTGTTTACGAACGCGTGTAGCTGAGAGAAGAGAGAGAGCGCGGGTGTCCAGGTAGCCCGGCTTAGGGGCGGCCGGGAGAAGCGCCCACCGCACGCCAGGCGATCATGACAACAAAAGACAAAGAAGAAATCAGCAAGAAAACTTACATTATCGCGAGTGCGCGTGAAATCGTCTACATTGACAGTGATGGTGGCATCACTGGCCTTGGAATCCTCCTTGCGCGACATGATGCGACAAACGGGATGGTGGCGAATACCGCGATTTGTGAAAGCTTGGATGGGGGGTTGGTGGTAGTTGTGAGACCAAGGACAGGTGGTGGGTGGTGGTGGAGAGAGAACCGGGAGGGAAGGGAAGGAGAGGAAGGAAAAGAAGGAAGAATTTTCGCTAGCGGGGTCAAGCTTAGCGGAAAGACTCCCCTTCTAAATAGTGATGGCCCGATGGGCTGTGGGCATTGGGGGGAAGAGACCGCTGGCCATGCTCTCGCTACTTTGGGTCTAGGGAGTTGGGCAGGGCAAAGGCCCTTTCTTTCAGCCTGGAGGGCGCGGCCCCCTTCAGTCTTTAGGGAAGGGAAAGCAACGGGAGCTTCCATCCTCCCCTAACGCAGGCGCCTCCCCCCCATCCTCCTCAAATCCCCCTTCCCTTCCCCCCGTTAGGCTTGTCGCTAAGCAGCAGGCTGCAGCAGTCTCCACTGGGCAGCCTCGGGGCCATTCGGAAAATCAGCCCATGAACCGGTTGCGCACACACACACATCCCTCCAGCTCCAGCAACCCGCTTGAAACCTGCTGAAACCCACTAACTCAACCAAGACTCCCGAGTCCCGTGGACCACCACAACAACGCCCTGCAGAACAATCGAAGCCCGGTTTGCTTTTTCCTCTCTCACCACGTTGGCGCCCGCCAATTACCACAAGCAAGCGCCATGATACTATTTAATGCCTATTCGCCTTTTAGTAATTGCTATTTACTGTAGTCTATGTTCTCACAATAAGAACAACTACCAGAATTAAAAAAAAAAATTAAAAAATAAACTACCCCTACTCCAATCCAACAGTTTATCATATCCCATAGGAAACAAAGAGAAAAAGAAGAATAACCCATGCTTTGTTCTCCCCCTCCCTCTCCTCTTTGTCAGTCTACCTGTCAGCGGCCACCAAAAACTCAGGTTCGATTCTGCACACACCGCCGGTACATCAGCGCCCTCCCCTCCCCCTCCCGCTCCGGGCGCATCCGCTACCTACGAGGCTACGACCGACCTTAGTACCCCGCACTGAGGCCTCCCCAAAAACAAAGCGTTCGGGAAAACAACAACAAGCAGCGCAGCGCGTCCCGCTGATAGTCGTAGCTGGCATTGGCCCAACAAACCACAGCGCGCTGAAATTAAAGAACTGCTAGGCGCGCATTCACTTTAAATTTAGGTAGTAATAATATTCTTTGGGCAATGTCCATAATAGTGAATGTGGGTTTTGCGCCGGTCGCATGAATCGGTGAGGAGCTTGGAAGTGAATATAAATATATCATGCGCCCGCGAAGCTCGACCCGCCGCTATTCAGCACCCCCACGTTGTTTGCGCGTAAGTTGGATTCTCTCGATCTATGGCTATGATATGGGTTATTCTACTTGAAAGCAGGGGTCGGATCAGTCGCTAGCTTTGAGGATTAGTGAAAAAGATTTGGACTCAATAGTATACTTGAAGCCATGAGAAAGTCTCCCAGCGGTCGCATTATTGAGTCACTGCAGTGGCCGAGGGCTACACCTGCAGGTTGGTCATGTTCGTCCGAGCAATCGCTTATGTATGCAGTGCAGGCGAGACACTGTTCCCAAAACACAATCTTAGTAGGCCAAAGCTATGTATATCATTTCGCGCTACTTCGCAGGGAATTCCACTGCTCGCTAGATCCAAGTCTCTAATATAACAAGGATGTGTATTCTAATTGCACCGCCGAAAACAAAAGCTTCACAGTATCATATACAACCTCGCTTAGAACTTGAACACCTGGTCCTTGCTGTATCCCAGCTCCTGCAGGATACCGGACAGCTCGCCCTGGTCGGCGGGGCTCTTTTTGGTGCCGCTGATGGCCTTGTACATGCCGGGGGGACCGCAGACGAAGATCTTGATGTTCTCCTCCTTGGGCTCGGGGAGGACGGTCTTCAGGAGCTCCTTGTTGATGTGGCCGCTGCCGCCGGTCCACTCCTTGGGGGGCTTGTCCAGGACGTAGAAGGCCTTGAAGCGCTGGGGGTAGGTGTTCTCCAGCTCCTCGAACTCCTTCTTCAGGAGGATGTCGCCCTCGGTGACGTTGCCGAAGACGAGCGTGACCTTGGTCTTATCCTCGGGGTTCTTGAAGATCTCACGGGCCAGCTGGTACATGGGAGTGATACCGGTGCCACCCGCGATCAGGGTGATGTGCTTGTGCTTGTTGGCCTCCCAGGGGTACTTGACGATGGGGCCCTTGAAGTCCAGGCGCTGGCCGACGTTCATGCTGTGCAGGTGCTCGGACATGGGTCCGTTGGGGTAAACCTTGACGACGAGGTCGATGTATCCGGGGGTCTCTGCACATGGCGCGGGTCAGTTTTCGGCATTTAACGGAATGCGCGCGCGCTACTCACCCTCATCGCTGGTAGGAGTGTAAGGGCGGATGACAGGCTTCGCATCGGCGGGCTTGAACTTGGTCAACAGAGCAGCTAACGGGAAAACATGTTAGTCGTCTTGCGCAATGATTCCATTCATGGTGGCAAATCCGCTCTACTCACAGGCAACCTGGAGACCAGAGACAGCGTCCTTGTCCTCAAATTCAAAGCGCAGGCGCTTGGTGTTGTGGTTCAGAACCTCGATCTCGGACAACTTCAGGTCGAACCATCCCTGGTCACCACCCTTGAAGACCTTCTCGCGGACAACGGGAGCTTCGGCGGTGGCAGAGTTGTAGCGGTACAATCCAACACCGACACCGGCAAGACCGACACCGACATAGATAGGGGCCAGCGAGGACTTGCCCTTGGGCGCCTCCGTGGAGTACTTGCGGAAGCCCTGCCACGAAAAGTATATCAGCAAAACAACTTCCCTACCGAGTTCTGCCGGCAACGGGCCGGGTAATAAAAAAACCCTGCGATGGCAGAGAGACAATCGTGTCAAAGGGAGAAGCTTACCTGCTTCAGGGACTGAGAGCAGCGGAAGGCTTGACGTGCGAACATTTTGGAAGTCAAATTGAGAACGGGATACGTGCTCAATGGACTGGGGGGAGTGAGTAGAGAGAGATTAGTTGAGAAAGCTCGGACGGGCGAGATAAGTATTTGAGCCTCCGTCGCCCTCCCTCGGGCTCTTTCTCTCTCTTCCCCCTTCCGTTCGGACTCCGGACCGCCGTTCTCCTCGGCTGCCTTCCTCATGACGCAATGCCCGTTCCTGGCTACAACAGACGCCGTATCCTGGCCTACAATTGTGGAGTAGGATTATAGAACCCCGGACCAGATCTACTTGTTACTTCAATTAACTACTCAGGACTTCATTTTGTTATTACTCAAGAACTCCATATCTTCTCCGCCGAAGAAGCAGCCAGAGCAGGCAGCCAAAGGTTACCACCGCTCCACTTCTGCTCCGACCAAGATCTTACACCGATCCGAGTACTCTGTAATCGGCAAACAGGAGTACATGTCTTTCCAATTCACTACCAGTTTAGAGCAACTTTCGCGGTTCGCATTACAGGGAATGATTCTTTCGTTCCCACTAAGAAGAAATCTTAGAAATAGGCCGGCCTTTGGCTTGCCGATCACCGTCGTTAATTCCGCTTGCATTACTAAACCTACCCCGGCAATCGGAGCCCGCCCACCGTTGACACCATTGAAACATACATATATACAAATTGAAGGCACAAGATTCCTTCAGATTAACATACAAGGGCCACGGGTCTATAAGCGTTGGTCCTTAAATAGAAGAGCCCAGTGTCACCGCTTCGACAAAAATGCAGCATTTCCTCCGAGCACCGGGACTGTACGGAGTCTACGCTCACAGTCAATGAAGCCCGCGCATGGTCGCCGCGCAATCCGGCCTCAATTAAACATATATCGCATTCAATAGACACCTTACAAATCGAATGCACTCGACAGTACTACAACAGGGCCATGAGCTTGCTAAAGGCTTAGTCAAAACACATTGAGTGGGTAAGTAATGGCTGCTGGCGCCCCGACTCGATGCGTAAGCACAATCCATGCACAATCCCTGGGCCGATGGCGTGCGCGTCGAAGAGTCGAACGACTCAGCCGCTTCCCATCTTTCAAGGTCCTCCAGGCTTGGGTAAGCTGCAGCCCCCGCAAGGAGGAGCAGTAAATGATGTCAAGCCTGAAGTGTCTTGCCCTGCCCCCAACCTACCCATTCTCATCCGACGGAAATGCCCTTTGCTCGTACCCACTCTGCGTATATCCGAACCAGACCTGACGTCCAAAACGATTGCACGATCGTTCCCCGGAGCTTGGCTTGGCAATATGCATGGCTGATGTTGCTCATGGAGGACGGAGCAGAGACAATTCAAGCCGATGTGGTCTAAAAGGGAAATGTCCGCACTTGGATGTGTACCACTGCATCTTCGAGGTACAGTCGTATACGGAGGCATTAAGTCGGAAAAGTCTACGAACCCACAGAACCAGGAGAGTCGGTTAAGTGAACAAAAAGAAATAACCCCGGTATTTTTTTGAAATAACTTGAAAGGGTCGCTGCAGAGGACTACTAAAGAGACATAAAAACCATCCGTCCCATTTCCTGGGTTGTAGATACACGCCTTGTTCTCCGCGTGATCCGTGTCCTTCGTGCATGCTATGGCCATAACATAGTCATTCATTCCTACACTCCACTCACCCACGCCCAAAACCTCACATTTACGCGAAAGTAGAGGGGCGAGAGTAAGCGAACAGCTTCTTGCCAGGCTTGACGGAGCGGTGGGGCAGGGGGAACTTGAGGTCCTTGGTGAGGAGCTGCTTGATGTAGGGGCGGCGGATGGTGTCGGCCTTCTCGATCTCAACAACCTTGAGGACCTGCGGGGAGGGGTTAGATTCCTAGGATCTTCTGGCGAGCCATATGAGAGATGGTGGAACGTACGTGGATGGAACCGAAACGGGCACGGTGGCGGGCAGCCATGTCCTGGTAGAGAGCCTCAACAGCGTCGGTGCGGCTCATCTCACGGAACTCCTTGTACATGTTGTGGGTGCCGGAGCGCGAGTCATAGCGGAGCCAGATACCGAAGTTCTTGACCTTGAGGGGGCGCTTCTCGCTGATCTGGAAAGAAAGAATGGCGTGTCAGCCGACACTCGCCCTTGTTTGCCGAAACGCTCTGGAGCATCGTAGACATACCACGTTGAGGCTGACGATCTCACCGTTGGCCTTCTTGACCTTGCGGAGCTGGGTCAGGAAGTACCAGAACCGCGACTTAGCGACAACGGTGTTGGGCGCAAAGATGCGCATGCGGTACAGCTTGGGCGTGGGGTTGGCCTCGGTGGGCAGGTGACGCCCGATAACCTGGTACTCTTGGAGACGCCCTATTGATTCCAGTCAGAAACTCCATCCGACAAATTTGCAATGCGTGCGGTCCCCTTGGTGGAATGCTTTGGGTCGATGCTTTCGTATCTGTGCGGTAAATAGCGGAGTGGTGGTGTGCGAGTCATTGAAAAGTGGCGACAAAAAAATTCAAAATATCATGGCGCGCCCGTGCTCATCCTCAGTTGTTGTGTTTGTCCTCCATAATCAGCCCCTATTCCATCGCTCTCATCCATCGTTCGTGGGTATCAATAATTCCGAAAGTGGCCGAGTGCAATTCTCTTTTCGTGACGTGCCGTTGAAAGATCGCAAGATATTCATCGCAAAAGCCGCACCGCCAAGGGGACAAGGTCGAAAAAAAATTCAAAAAGTGTTAACTCACCCATCTGTTAAATTCAGTCAGTAACAATTTTCCTAACAGCAAAACGAAGGACAAAAAGGGTGGGCTCACTTTGATTGACGCTGTAGTGGTTAGTCGACGAGAGATGTGCCGGTTGTACTCGTCGCGGAAAGGAGGATTTTTGGGAACCGGATTGATTGTGAGCTAGGTTTAACCCTCCTTAGGGCTAAGCGACCGTGAGGCTTAGCCCCTACCATTCCCGATCGGGAACACCAGCCACGCCGCTGTGGCGGTGGTGATTAGATAAGGCCTTTTGGCGGACGGTTTCCCCGCCTTCTCCGATCGCCGTTTCATCATCGGGAAGGGTCATCTATCCATCAACAAATTGTTGACCCGTTCCGACCACCCCTCCAGTGCTTGACATTTGACTTTCCGCCCTCCCCCAGAATTGCTTAGGACGTTTACTACCCTCCATCGAATATGGGCTCCATCTTCGATGATTTCAAGGATGGCCAGAAGCTAGGCTCTGGTCACCGCCTTGCTGCAGCTCTGACACCCGTCTCAACCTCCGCGAACCCCGGCCGTTTACAGTCCTTCTATTACTTCTCCAACGCTGCGCATGTATCCTCCGATCTTCGCTACTCCCTCTTCCAGGCAAATGGCATCAAACTACCGAAACAAGAACAAAACTCTTGGGTGGACATCTTCGCGGCCTATTGGAGCGCTGTCGGGGAACTTGTTCGGTTCGAGGAGGCCCCGTCGCGCGCTAGCTGGGTTAAGGTGTTCAATGCCTGGAAGGAAACTGCAAATCAACTCATCCGGGGATACTCGACTGGCGGACTGCAAGCATGGACTATTCCATGTCTATATGTGGTGGGAAGGTATTTGCGACACTTTGCGCGGAGAGCGGATGCCGAGCTGTCCTCCCAAGAGGCCGATGGGTTCGGGGACGGCTTCCAAGACGATGTGTCCAGTGGCCTCGAGAAGAACGCAAAGCTGGAGGAAGCCACTCGAGTCTTGAATCGGATGTTCACATTGTGTCTCACTGACAGGTAGGCTGGTTAGCACTAAGTCTGGGTCGACATTATTTGCTGATACCACTTGTAGGTCTCCGATCGAGGACTCCCGAAAGTGGGGAATCTACGACACCACCAATTTACTGTTCAAAACATACTTCAAACTCAACACCGTTGGCTTGTCTAAGAACTTGCTGCGTGCTCTCAATGCGCAATCCGCCGACCTTCCCGACCTCAGCGCCTTCCCCAAGTCTCACACTGTCACCTTCAAGTATTACATCGGAGTGATTCATTTTCTGGATGAGAACTACGCTGAGGTATGTGCATTAATACCTATGGTAACCATAGCATTGAACTAATGTCTGGCAGGCGGAGCAGCATCTGGCCGAGGCTTGGAAGATGTGCCATCGGAACGCAATGAAGAATAGAGAGTGAGTATGCATCTGCTTTGTCGGTTCCGCCTACTAACTTTGCACAGGCTCATCCTCACCTACCTCATCCCTTGCCACCTGGTCACGACACACACGCTACCAAGCAAGAAGCTACTTGCGCCGTTTCCTCGCCTCGAAAAGCTCTACCGTCCATTATGCAACTGTATCAAGTCAGGAGATTTGGGGGGCTTCGATGCAGCGATGTCAGCTGGAGAGGAAGAGTTCGTCAAGAGACGCATCTACCTGCCTCTCGAAAGAGGACGAGACATTGCTCTGCGCAATCTCTTCCGCAAGGTCTTCATCGCTGGAGGCTTTGAGGAGCCCAAGGACGGCCAGCCCCCTATCCGACGAACCCGAGTCCCGGTTGCCGAATTCGCCGCCGCTGTCAGAATCGGCACACATGCAGACGAGAGGTCGCGTGTGGACATCGACGAGGTCGAGTGTCTCCTATCGAATTTGATATACAAGGTGAGTGTCTATTGTGCTTGCAATGCAGCAATACCGGGCCAGTTATCTGACTGTCTTGTAGGGACTCATGAAAGGCTATATTGCTCGTGAACGTGGTATGGTGGTGTTGAGCAAGGGCGGTTCTGCATTTCCCGGGACGGGTGTCTAAGATGTCCTTGCGGTTGCAACACTTCCCGTCATGATCATTCGACCGTGAAACAACCCATGCTCGGTCTAATACTTATCAGCAGCCACGTGGGCGAAATGGTTGAACCAGTACCAGAGGCATTGACTGTGATCTGGTTACGCATATTCGCAGCTTAGCCCCGAGCTGGCCCCGAGCTGGCTAACCACGACCAACCTGCTATGGCCAGTTAGGCGCGCACGAACATCAGGCAAAGTCGTTACTGTTAGACCTTGATATCGGGCTATAGCGATTACTGATGATATGACATCCCCTTATCGGCGCCCATTATAACAGACACTATCTGAAGGCACAAGTCTCGCAGCCAGACCCCCAGCATGCCAAGGACTTCTGCGGGGATAGCACTACCTACTTGTGTACAGTACATTGATACAGCATATCAGCGCCGAGGAACTCACTCACAACAGATGCATCCACAGAGCTTATAGTTTAATGTGTATCACAAGACAACAATACCACAGATCCAGTAGAATATACACATTATACAAGACTAAACACATTTATAGCCATATCCCAGATACCAGAGTGAAGAACCACCACCACGTTCATGAAAACCAGCAGGGGCCCGCCCCCATATTCCAAATACCGTCATCTTCCTATGATATAAAAACAGAAACAGCACAGCAGCACTACGTAATCGTACTGACAGTTGACTGCGGCTGCTTCCCCATCGAAACCGTCGTAAGATCATCCTACCCCGCCAAGCGAACAATTAGCATCACTCCAGATTTGCGCGGCGCCAGTCAACTTGCGCCCTCACTTCCCCTTTCCCTATTAGCCTAGGGATTGGAAAAGGAAAGGAAACTCACCATATGATTACACATAGCAACAAACAAATCAAAGAACAGCTTCCCGCCCTGCTCCATCTCCATCTGCATCGTGCCGCTGCGCTTGAAGGTCGACCGGCTCCGGATGATGAGGGCCAGGTAGTGCGCGCGCAGCTTGGACTCGGTGTCCGGGGTGTGGGCGTAGGCGTAGCGCGCGCTGGTCAGGATCGTGCTACACGAGATGCCTGAGTGGAGGCCTTGTTTGCGGAGGGCGAGGCGTTTCAGGCTCTCGAGGCCGTATTTTTGGGCGGCGCAGCTGGTGGAATTGGTGCTTAGTTTGTTGGTCTGGGATTGCTGGATTGGGGATTGAAGTTGCGGAGGTTTGAGGGGATGTTATTGTGGTATACATATTCAGGCAGATGGGGATACGTGTTTGTGTACGGTTGGATACATAGCGAATAAAGGGCATGGGTTATGGGTGATCTGGATTACAGTGGAATGGTTGGATGGGAGGACTCGACAAAGACAGCGAACTTACTATACGGCTGTATCACGCAGGATGCCTGCGCCGACGCCCGGGTGAAAGATGGTTGCGCCATCTGGGTCGGCGTCGCTACTCCCCGTCGGAGAGGAGGCCGTCTCCAGCTCCCAAGTGTTGCGGGTCTTGTTGTGCAGGATACGGGGGTAGTAGTCGCCTCGGTAGAGGTATTCGAGGATGCAGGACAGGATCTCGGGCTGTTCGTCGGGGAGGTGGATGGGGTTGTTGGTGTGGTTTGGGTCGGTCGTCGAGCGAGCCCGGGCGCAGGCGGCGGCGAAATAGGGGGACACGCAGATGATGTCCTTGTGGGCTGCGAAGAGACGCTTCTCGGGCCCTACGCACAGGGTCACCGCTGCGGGGGTGAGGGAGCTATCGCAAATCTTTTAGATGGGTGAAGCTTAGATTGAAGGTTAGTCCTAGTGGTGTGCACTTACCTGCCATCCGGAGGACTGTCAGGGGTTTCCCGTCGACGATGTAGACGACGAGATGCAACTGATTGTTGTTCACGGGATCGTGTTCTGAGGACTCGAGTGCTGGATTTGCCGGCTCCGTATCTCGACGAGAAAGCCTCAGGATGGACTTGTTGTCGTCTGGAAGATAGTGTCCTGGGACTGTTACTACTGCTCCTACTTCGTGGTTGCTGCTGTTGCTGCTGCTGTTGCTGTAGAGCTAGCATTGTTTCAGGCGAGGGATTGGCGTGGGGGTGAATGGGGGGTGGAGAAGGAGAGGGAAAGAAATTAGTCTTGAGCTCCAGAACTGATTGAAGGGGGATTTTTCCAGGTTATGAACTTCCTTGGAAGCTGTGGAACGAACAGTGAAATGGAAAACCTGTAAGTAAGTATGGGACTGACTCCCTGTCCTGTCCTGCCCTGTTCTTATTTAGTGCCACAAGCTCCAGGGGGAAAGGAGAGTCTCCCCCCCACTCCAGTTTCTCATTGGCAACATCAGACAAAGAGAGACCGTCTGGACTTGACATTTGTCCAAGGATAGTCTGCTGCTGACCAGGATGACAGGGTCTCGATAGGCTTTTGGATGCAGCAGCTGAAGCCATGGATGCAGCAGCACACGCGTAAGAGGCGGTAATGCACGCGTAAAGTGGTTGAAGCTCCATCGCCAAAAGATCGCGCAGTCACGGGTGAAGCCATTGCCCAATGATCGAGGGAGAGAGGAGGAAAGGGGGTGTGGGCCGCCAGGGAAGTTGGAACTGGCAGCAAATCAGCATCACAACTCCTTCCGCAGCTGGCCGCTTTTGCCGGAATATTCGATCTATCATCTACAGTCCGTAGTTTGGTTGATGGACAGGTCAAACGTGACGAGTGCGCACTTTAGTTGGACATGCGAGGTGGTTAACGAGCATGTCCCGTCAAACTGACAGTGTGGCTGCATCCTCGAAAACTACGGAAGCCGAGACGAGCATTATCTTTCTTTCCGACAGCTTGGAGTTACACAGCAAGATCGTACAAATAACCTTTTCTCTTCTCTACAGGCTTCCAACATGGGAAGCAAACAGCAGTGAAAAGAAGACTGGTTGGCGAGTACTGCCTATGGAAGACAAGCTTCACACCGGGCACAATAGCGAGTAATACAGCCATCTACGTACTCCAAGCTGGGCCCAAACATAGAGGGCTCAGAGCAAGTTTTTTTTTCAAAAATTCCTGACCGACCCGAAGGCCAGTCAGAGCGGTCAAATAGGTAGTTTTCAACTAGCAAAAACACGGTCTCGGATGTCTCCTCACTGACACGTGTAAAACCCGTGCACCAGGATGGAGAAGAAAAGAAAAAAAGATTCTAAAATGGGGGAGGGGGCGACGAGGTTATATATCCCCGCCAAGCCTGCCGCACCGCGCTAGCGGAAGCGAGACTTGTCCCGAGCTCTGATTGGCTATAGCTAGTGGCTTGTGCTCTTGGCCGGAGTTTGCCTGAAGCCTGAGGCAACAATCTAGCGAATGGAAGCTGCTGGGTGCTGGCAGCCGAGCAGTAGTATATGTAGGATAGCTAGCAAAATAATCACCATCCCATTAATGATGCAGCCAGGCAACAGCCATTACCCCGGTCGTACAAGGTATGAGACTCTGAAACTCAACCATTCAGCCGACGATCTTCTTGTCATGCAGGTAAAATTGCGGATCAAGCTTAGCCTGCTTGGACAAGAGCCCGAAATTCAGTTACGGAAGTGTTGTCGGGCACCTACAGATTGAGTGCAAGAGGAGCAGAGCAGGTGACACTTTGAAAAGAAATAAGTGGAGGGGTCACTGGGCAAAGGGAGCGCCAGTCAATGGGGGGTAGCAGCAGCAGCAGCAGCAGCAAGCAGTCATTATCACTGAGCGATAACCCGCCAACACGTGATGTGACATGTCGTAATTGGCTGCGGCGGCGCGGCGGCACAGCGTCGTACTACCTACCAGTAGGTTAGGTTAGTAAGTCATTTAATCACTCACCTGCCCATGCACTGGTGACCTCTAACGCAATTCCTTCAACTTCCTGCTGCTGTTTCAAAATCCCTCAATTATTGCTGCTTCCTGCCATCAATGCTGTTCAAGGCTGGGCAACAGTAAGCAGACATATCTCTCGATACCCCTCCAATCTATGGCTATTGCTAGCTCCGCCCTCGAAGTGCGGTAACTGTCGGACACCGCTTTTGTACGCCTCGAATCTCCGCTGTACACCATCATGGAGCTCGTGCAGAAGGAACATGAGCGGCTGATGAAGAAGACCAAAGCCTCTCAGGGTCTCAAATCGATACAGAACTCAATAGATCTGCTGGAAAATGCGCGGGACGCTATCGCTGCAGGTTGGTTCGCCTTCAGGCCATTTCTCCGTACCCACCCCGCAGTCACTGAACTATACTGACAAGGGGATCACAAACTAGATCCAAGCCAAGCCTCAATCATCCTCGCCAAGCTCCAGAACCCGGTGAAAGCATCCTTCGACTCGATCAATGACAGTCTCAAAGAAACACACAGCAGCCTCAACAAATATTCCAAGTCTCTGGACAAGGTAACACGAGCCCGGTCGTCGGACAAGGCCTACGTCGACGCATGCTGACAGATCCCCAGCTTTTCAAGGACAAACCCTTACCAAGCACCGAACATGACGCCCTCTCCTCCCAAGAACACCTCATCAACCGGGCCATTGCGATGCATCTCCTGAGGGAGGGGCAGTTCTCGGTGGCAGCCACCTTCCTCGGTGAGATGGCCGAAAAGAAAGCGACGGAGAAACAACAGGCCAACACTGCCAACGCCGCCGAGAACGCCGCATCGATCCTGGACATCGACGAAGTCCCATCCGGCGAGGTGCGCAAGCAATTTGCCACGATGTATTACATCCTGCACGAGCTGAAGGAGAACAACAACCTACTTCCAGCCATACAGTGGGCCCGCGACAACGACGAGGCGTTGGCGGCGCGAGGGAGCAACCTCGAGTTCGAGCTCTGCCGACTGCAGTTCGTGTGGCTCTTCCACGGCGGCCGCGAGCAACAAGGTCCGACCCCGACCGGACGGCAGGCAGCGCTGGAGTACGCGCGCCGCGAGTTCCACGGCTTCGTGCCCCGATACCTGCGCGAGGTGCAGCAGCTCATGGGCGCGATGGCCTTCTGCCCCAACCTCCAGGGCTCCCCGTACCGGAACATCTTCAACAACCCGTCCGCATGGTCCGACGTGGCCCACTCATTCACCCGGGAATTCTGCTCGCTGCTCGGCCTCTCCGCCGACTCGCCGCTGTACATCGCCGCCACCGCCGGCGCCATCGCCCTCCCCACCCTCCTCAAACTCCAAACCATCATGAAAGCCAAACGCACCGAGTGGACCTCCGAGAACGAGCTACCAGTACGTCTACCCCTAACCCCAACCAACACTACACCCCATGACCCAAGTAACTAACACAAACACTTAGGTCGAAATCCCCCTCCCCCCCTCCTACCTCTTCCACTCCATCTTCGTCTGCCCCGTCTCAAAAGAACAAACCACGGACGAAAACCCACCGATGATGATGCCCTGCGGACACGTCATTGCCGAGGAATCGCTCAAAAGATTATGCAAGGGGAGCCGATTCAAATGCCCCTATTGCCCCAGCGAGAGCCATCCCCGCGAAGCCAAAAAGGTGTTCCTTTAGGTTCCAGGTTCCGTCTGCGTCGGGCCGCCGCGCAGGTACAGTCCAGTACCGTACATATCAATTTCTTACTATTTGTTTAGCGGGCGTTCAGGTTCAATTCCACTTGCTAGTACGTGCATGGTTTGGGATTCAGATCGGTCCTTATTTCTCTATCTCTTTTGGCGTACATGCGGACAGGTTAAGCGTGGGTAGGAGTGCGGGGATGTGGGATTGTATATAGTTAGTTCTATTTCTTCGTTGAATAGGTGAACTTTAAATCAACTGCAAGAACTTGACGATTCACTTTCAAGTTTTATGTTTCTGAGAGGAGGGAAAGGAGGGAAGGGAAACATGCAGCTGTGGGAACGGAGACCTGTTCTTGGGGAATCAAATGGATCAAACTGATGATCGGAACTACAGGAATAAGTGGTTGATGCTAACGACGTAGATACAGCCACCGCCTCTCCGTTCATCCTGCCGCTGCCCGCATGACACCGCTTGATTGGGCAGGGCGGGTGGGCACAGCCAGGCTGTCGATTCGCAAATTGAAATTATATGGGGAACTGAGAAGAAAGCAAAAAAAAAGAAAAGATAAAAAAGAAAAAGGGGCAGAGGAGGAGGGTAAGCAAGATTGGAGCCAATTATGTCCAGACGAATTGTAGCACTCATCAGAACATCATACATAGTAGCAAGGATGACGGAAAGCGCCGTAGTCTGTTTTATATCGCTGCTCAGGGGAAGCTGTTCAATCACCCATGTCAAAAGATTGAAACCTGCAGGGGACCAGATAATGAACCCCAAGATGTGCACAAGGGGTAAAGTCTATATTTTCAACAATAAAGTATATACATAGTAGAAGTAAGATACAATACTACACACAGTATTACTCCTACACCAACACAACCACTAGCCAAGACCCATCTTAACTCGAGAGACCAGCCAGTTTGCCCAACCAGGACAGCCACGAGCTATTCTCGCGGTCTTTCTCGCCGCGCACCAGCAACCGGACCCTAGTCTCCACATCAGCCACATGGCGTTCGAACTCCCCGAGCCCGGTCTCGACATCTTCGACTTTGGACTCGAGGACGTGGAGCTCGTAGTCCAGCTTCGCGCCCATCAATTCGACCCGGCGCATGTAATCGGCGAGGTGGGTGTGCTCCTCCGTCAGCAGATCGCTGGACTTGCCGCGCAGCTGCTGGAAGACCGCGAGTCGCTCCAGGTAGGCGGTATTGATCTTCTCGTAATTCTCGTACAGACAGCGGTTCAAGTCGTCCACGGAGGCCACCTGCTGCTCGACCCAGGGCGCGGTTTGTTCGCTCAGCTCGCGGAGCTTGGCGCTGAAAAGGCGCGCGTCGGAGGCGAGGATGTCCTCATGGACGACCGCCTCCTCCAAGGGCGCGTCGGGCCGCTCGTCCACGCCGCCAAACCCGTCCCATCCGAGTACAACTTCTTCCACGGTGCTGAAAGACAGATGGCGTGGCCAACGGCCATCCGTCCGTTCGGGGATACGCTCTGGGCCTAGCTGGCCGCAACTCTGGGGCCGACGCAGCAACGTGATCCCGATATCCGGCGTCCGCTCCCTATCGGCGGAGACATCCGTCGAGGGGGTCCTTCGACGTTCCTCGTCTGGCACCTCATCATCTGCTCGGAATATCGGCACCTTGCGGGCTGACTCCGAGTCGGCGTTGTCCGGAACCGCCTCCACCGTGATCGCGGGCGCCTTTGCTTCGGGAGATTGTGGGGGCACAATGCTTGGTACAGACTCGGCACCCGCAACATCCTCAGTGAGAGCTCGGCCCTCAGACTCGTGGACGCTTCCTTGCTCCGCAACGTTCGGGTCACCGTCGGGCTTTTTCCGCTGACTTGGCTCGGTGTCACTATCGATAGGAGGCAGGTGAGACGAGTCGCTATAAGCATACTGTCCCTCCCTGGTATGCTTGGAGGGATGTGATCGCAGGCCCACCGCATCTTTGAATCTACCGAAACCAGCTCTCGCGTCTGACACTTTCCCACTAACGCCTCTTCGCACTATACTACTCAGATTTTGATCCTTTTCGTCGAAAGGAGCGGCTGCCTCGGGAGGAATCCGAGAACGATCAGCATCAGGGGGAGGTCGATCCGCAGTCAGATCCTCGTGAGAATGTCTTTTCCGGGTTGTCCAGGGATAGCCCCCTTGCTCTTTGGACCTGTGAACCATGTCTGCGGCAAACGGGCCGCCCTCGAATGACTCGCCGATGCCACCCTTGCGCGGTTTGCCCCTCCATAGCCACTTTGCCCTCTCACCTTTGACCAGACGCGCGAAAGTGTCAATGTCCAGGGTCTCTATGTCGGCAATGCCGCTCTTCTCCCGACCCCGGACCATCCCCATGACCATCTCGCCGCCGTGCCCGCTCAGTTCTGCCATCGTCGATTTCACAGCATCGGTCCAGCCCTCAGCGTTGGCTGCCTTGGCAGTCGCCCGATGCAATCGATCCAAGGTCTGGCGGTCCAGCCGTCTGGTTCGTTTCATCTTCTGCGATTTCTGGAAGCTCCCGATCCCTCGTTTGAGATTTTGGATATCAAACGCGTCCTTGCCGACCGGGGCACCGAACGCATGAAGCCGATTTCGGGCCCCGATGAGAGTGCCCAGTAGCGCGGAGACCGAAATGGGGCCCAGCATACTGTCACTGGGCTCGATATTGTACAGGTCCATGCCAATCTCGGTCCACCAGTCCGCTATGGCAGCCTCCGTCATATCACACAGCAAACCATCCACATACTCCGGGGCCAGAATGCCAAACATCATCAGAGCGATCTGGCATTGCTTCACCAGTTCAATGACTGCACTGTAGAGGGGTACCCGCTCACTTGTCCGGTAGAGGTGATGAAACTTGGCTTCTGTGGCCGGCGACGGAGGCTGCAGCTTCAGGCTGGCCCGACCCGAGCAACCTAATCGTTTGAGATTCTCATTGACTATGAAATCGTCCTTGTGTTTGAGAACATCGCCGTCCGGGACGGGGATGAGCGTAAGTGCGCAAGGAAAGATACTCAGGTCGGTGACCATCAATGTCCCCAACGGAGTGTCTCTCTTCTGCGCTTGGCATTGTACGACAGCATTAAGATACAGCCTCAGACGGGGCGACCATGCTGATTCATCAGTCGGGACGCTCAGCACCCCGACGGTGACCTTGTGCGACGGATCTCCCGTGTAGGTAGTAATGATGAAAGTAGGATGAATCCGCGTGCACGCCCATTGTTCGACAATGTAGACCTCATACCCCTCCAGTATCAGCCGCCGATGCAGGACGACGGTACACCGGTCCTCCTCCAGGTAGCGGAAGGCGACCGGGTCGGTGAAGACGAGATTCTGGTGACCAGGACACGGCGGCGGTGACTGTCCTTCCGGCCCGGCTGATTGCACAAGCGGGCTCTCCTTGGGCACTGATTTCGTCGGTTCTCGCGGTGCTGACACAACAGGGGTGGCTTGCGCACCAGTCTGTGTGGGAGATGGTGGCATGGCGTTGAAACGGACCAGCTTTCTTAGCACATACGGGCCGAGTACAGAATCAAACTCTGTATAAATAGCAGACGAGACGAGACGAGCGATAGAACCAGCCAGGGATCTAGAGATGGAGAATTAGAAGAATGAAAAAAAAAAAGGCGACACAAAATGGTTTAACCCTCCGGGGGCTCTCTCTCGATTAGACCAGCGATGAAGAAAGCAAGTGCCAGGGACATATCCGGGAAGCAACGAAAGCGTTGAGCAAGATTGGGGGGGGAAGGGGAGATGGAGCCTCAAGCATCGACGTGAGGAGCCAAGCTAGGGGCAGTCCATGTCATCCAGAGAGGAGATTTCTGGCGAGAGTGGATGAAAAGCACAGGCGCATTGTTGGCCTCGAGGCGGGCTGTTGTCGTCGTTTCGTTGCCGGGCATTGCAGGCGGCGACGTCACAAGGGGATTTCCGCTATATCGGGGAGCGGTGAGCGGGGATTCGAGTGTCTGTCTGTCCTCAGTATCCTGTACTCCCTCTCGGTCAACACACGCATATTGTTTTGAGGCAGTTCATGTTTCTTGACAGGGACTGGCTTCTAGAACGACGCCACTAACGGTGCATGGAACGCAGCTGCCTAGTGGACAATCAATGCCATCAGCCACAACTCAATTGCGTCGGAGCCACTTCTAAGTCACGCTCGGTATAAAAATACACTAACTTCAAGTCGCATTTAAGTTATTCATGCATGCGGATGTAGTAGCTACTGTCACTTACTTACACAGAAGCGATAGAGACCACCTCATACCTAAGGTAACTCTTGTTCATTTTCATCTATATCCATCCATTTAAGCCAGTCAACCACTTTATACCCGGCAGTTCCCGCCGCAGAGCAATGCCATGCAAAATCCAGAACCATGTAGCAACGGGTAATCGTAGCAATCCTCAAGACAAGCACCCATATTCCGAAAAGTCCCAATCAATTATACAAATACATAAACGGAAGATTTTTGCACCACGAGTATCCGTCACATTTACATACCCATGCCACCCATGCCACCCTGTCTGTTGGCAGCCTCACCTTGCATCTTCTCGCTGACCTTGATGTTGACTTCGAAGAACTTGGACACGCAGCGGTCGAGACAGACGGACTCGCCCTTGTTGAGGTCGCCCTCACGGTAGTCATTGGGGATGCACTTCTTGGTGCAGGACTCGGTCAGGCTGATCGGTGGTTGAGGGTCAGTTCAGTTCAGTCCAGTTCACCGATGACGCAGGGTATATAGCCGGGTAAGATGCGGCGACCATCAAGAGCTAGCAGCGCAGAATCCAGGATCCCGCAGAACTTCAAAGCAGGGGAATCTGTCCGACTCACCGGTTGAACATGTCGGAAATCATCTCCACCTCGGTCTCAGCGGCAGCAATCTTCTGCTCCGAGGACATCTTGGGGGCACCGCCAAAGAGGAACGACATTGTGATGGTGGGATATGTGTTGGGAGGAGGAGTGAGCTAGAGTTTAGTGTTAGCAGGCTCATAAATCTGGTAGAAAGCTTTAAGAGCTCGAACTCACGGATGAAAGATAAATCAAGGTTGATAGAGTTGTATAGTTTGAACTGGCGAGTGTCTCTCTCTCTGCTTGTTTGAAGCTCCGGGAGCGGAAGCAAGTCGGAGCGGGCTGCCACTCACCGCCTCAGGATTTTCTGTCGGCTGCCTTTTCTTCTCTTCCGCACAACGCAGCCTTTTTGTTTCTCCTCCGTCTCTCTCGCATATGATGTGAGCACGTAGTCTTTTTTCATCTTCTTGCAATGCAACCATTTCGCCCGCAATGGGCGTCGCGGTTGAGGGCCGCAAAGCTATCTTTTAGGTGAGTTAGCCAAGCGGCACAGTTTTTGCCTTGCACTCCCTTTTTATGATGAGACATACCCTTCCATTTTTCAGAACCGCTGCACCGAATGCTTGGGGGAAACCTCAAGTCATGAGCGTAACTGGAAGACTTTATGTCATCTGAACTGTTCGATATCATTATTTTTTTTATATCATTGTGCCAATGTCAGTTCCAATTGAGCTCAATTGCTAATATGACATGCAGTACAGGAGCACCGATCTCATCCCGTACACAGACTTTGCAGGCAAATGGCACATTTCTTCGAGTAAATCAATACCTCACGACCGTCAAAGGGTCAAGGCATAGCAGCAGCGCAGCATCACCGGAAAGAGCTTTCAAGGAGCGTCAGGAGGCGGTCCAAACCACCTTTCCTGAGGCATACCCTCGGCTTGCGCCTAACAAACACACGGTGAGCTGTGCGGAATTCCGTGACCGCTACAGCCATCTAGCAGATAATGAAACTGTAGAGGGAGACACGGTCGTCGTCAATGGTAGGTCTTTACCTCTGCTGGCGCTCCACCCAACGTTGTCCCCGTACTTAGATCAGTAGGTAGGATACGTACCTATAGACTGGCCGGGAGCAAGTTGATCTTCTTCGATATGTACCAAAATGGCCATAAAGTGCAAGTGATGTGCAATATTCGTCTATTGGAAGGGGTAACTCCCGAGTACTTCAAGAAGTTCTACCGACTGCTCCGCCGTGGTGATGCCTTCTGTATGTTCCATCAACACGCCCTCCGTATCCTTTCTCGGTCCTAGACTGAACATGTTGCCCCAGCCGTAACCGGTAGACCTCACCGTACCGGACGAGGTGAGCTCACAATTGTGGCGACTCAGCTGCCTCAGCTCCTGTCGCCTTGCCTGCACGATGTCCCCCTGGACGTCCACCTGCATGAGACCTCCCCTTACCCTCGTCATGTCCAGTTCCTGGCCGATCAGAGAATGGCAGATACCATCCGCGCCCGGTCGGCTATCATACAATATCTGCGCCAATTCTTTGTCGACCGAGAGTTCATGGAAGTCAGCACCCCTATCCTCGAGGCGGTAGCAGGCGGCGCCATCGCTCGCCCGTTCCACACGTCAGCCACCGAGTTTCCCGACCGTCAGCTGTCGTTGCGCATCGCGCCGGAACTATGGCTGAAGAGGTTGGTCGTTGGAGGGTTTGATAGGGTATTCGAGATCGGGCCCTCGTTCCGCAATGAAGGTGGGTATTGCTGATGATACGAAAAATCCAGGGAGAGGTTACTGACAGGAAGACCAGGCCTAGACAAAACGCACAACCCCGAGTTCACCACCTGCGAATTCTACCACGCCTACGCCAATCTGGAAGACCTGATTTCGATCACCGAGAAACTTCTATCGGGCTTGTCGGAACATGTTCGCGGGCTGAACACAAACGACACCCTCGCACCCACCGAGGTAGATTTCACCGCGCCGTTCCGTCGTATCGACTTCATCAGCGGAATCGAGGACGCGATCGGCCGTCAACTGCCCGACCTCAGTGCCCCGGACGCTCAAGCGCAGGTCAGGCAACTGTATCGGGACCTCTCGCTCCCCGAACCCGCCAACCCCACCCTTCCGCAACTCCTGGACGAGCTCTGCAGCACCTACGTCGAGTCGCAGTGCATCAACCCCACCTTCATCATCAACCCACCGGAATGCCTGTCCCCCTTGTCCAAGTCATTCATCCACCCGACCACGGGTCGTCGCGTCGCGGCGCGCGCCGAACTCTTCATCGATGGCCGGGAAGTCGTGAATACCTACGAGGAGGAGAACTCGCCCTCTGAGCAGCGGCGCAAATTCGAGGACCAGATACGCTTCAGTAAGGAGGCGAATGAAGCCGAGGAGATCGACGAGAGCTACCTCGAGGCGCTGGAATGGGGGTTACCCTCGACTGGAGGGTGGGGGTGCGGAATCGACCGACTGTGCATGCTGTTCACAGGGGCGAAGAAGATCGGAGATGTGCTGTCGTTTGGCAACCTTCGCAAGGTCACTCACCGTGCTCCTGTCGTGAAGGTTTAGGATGGCTGTTCTTTGCAAGCAGACAGCCGTGGCAGGTTTAGACCCAACCCCCCCGGCTTTAGAGCTATAGCATAGCACCCCGACTACTCTGTATAATGTACCATATCGCATCACTGTACCATAGATACCACAACCAGCGTCTTCTATCGTTTATAGCACTCGTATCAATGGTCCTCGGCAAAAATGGCCTGACAGCCGATAAAGCCGTTGATAAGCGGGCATCGGAGCGGGCCGAGCCAAATTCTGTCCGGGGAATAATCAGTCCACCGCATTCTGTTTTCTTTCTTTTCCTTTCTGAACTCCAGACCAAACCAATCTACAACCGACAAAATGACTCTGGAGAACATTCCACAAGGCCAGGCCGTGACGGTAAGCCTTCAGGAGTTGATCGACGGTAAGCCTTGCCCCTAGGACCTCATCTCACGCAGGGCATCCTATACCCCACGCAGCGTCGCAAACCCCCTCATGCAACTCTAACCAGACCAAACCACAAATAGGAACGATAACCTTCCCAACCCTAGTGGAAGCCTTCGGCCCCTCCTCACTGGGCATAATAATTGTCAAAGACCTCCCCGCACACTTCGCAGAACTCCGCGCCCAAGTCCTCTCGAACGCATCCTACCTCGCCGCCCTCCCGCAAGAAGAACTAGGTATGACGCCCGCCCACCCCATATCAACCCTCAAGCACCCAAAAACTAACGCCCAGGGGCAAAAAAAAACAGAAACCCTAACTTCCTCAGCCGCAAAATACCTAGTGGGGTGGTCGCACGGCAAAGAAACGCTGCGGCCCGGAGTCTACGACACGCACAAGGGAAGCTACTACGTAAACTGCGCGTTCCACGTCTCGCCGGAACTGCAAGGCGCACCGGCCGAAAAGCATGCCGATCTAGCCGAATACACGGCCCCGAACATCTGGCCATCCCCCGAAAGCCTCCCGAGCTTCGAGCCGAGCGTGCGCGCGCTCTGCAGTTTGATCATCGATACGGCGGCGTTGGTGGCGCGCGCGTGCGACCGATTCGCGGCGGAGAATGTCGAGGGGTATGTGTCGGGGTATTTGGAGAGGGTGGTTAGGGGTAGTTTGACGAGTAAGGCGCGGTTGTTGCATTATTTTCCTACTTCCGGGTCTGAAGCAGAACCTGAAGGGGAGGATGATGATGATTGGTGCGCGACGCATCTTGATCATAGCTGTTTGACTGGGTTGACGTCGGCGATGTTTGTCGATGAGGAGGACGGTCAGGGTTTGAAGGCAGATGGTAACAAGACGTTGGAGGAATTAAAGGCTTCGCCTGATCCGACTGCTGGGTTGTATATCAAGTCGCGCACTGGTCAGATTGTCAAGGTTAATATCCCTAAGGATTGTCTTGCGTTTCAGACGGGTGAGGCCCTGCAGTTGATTACTCGGGGTCAGTTTCGCGCGGTGCCGCATTTTGTGAAGGGCGCCAGAAAAGGGTTGGAGGGTCGCCGGATTGCGAGGAATACGTTGGCTGTGTTTACGCAGCCGAATCTCGATGAGGAGGTGCAGCCTGGTGTTACGTTTGCGGATTTTGCACGCGGGGTGGTCGCGAAGACTCAACCTACTCTTTAGTCTTGTGGTCTAACTTGGAAAGGAATTGAGTGGATGGTTCGGTTCAATGCTCTCCGGCTCATGCAAATACAAAAAAGATCTCTAGCTCATCTCCATCATTCGTACCCGTTTATTGTGAGGCTTCTCCTCGTTGGCAGGATGATAGTCGCCTCCCTCGGTCTCCTCCGTTCCGCCGCGTAGTTGATCAATGCGTAGCATGTAATCCTCCTCTTCCTCATCCTCCGATCCACTCTCCGCAGAGATTTGGCTTGTCCCTCCGTCCTCCGCCGAACTCCCCGGCGCACTGCCGTCCACCGCGCCCAGCCCGGTACTGACCAGCTTGCTGAGCTTGCCCACCTTGGCGAAGTTGGACGCCGTCTTGGTGGACGGCCGGCCCACGTCGCCGGGGATCTTCGCATCGCGGTAATCCACCGCTTTGGCAGTGCCATCGATGACCCGGAGGTTGGCCCGCCACATCTTGACGTCGCGCACGTCGCTGAAGTGCCCGACGTCCTCGCCGTTGAGCGTATCAATCGCGAGGGTCTGCGTGCGGAAGTCGCCCCAGAACCATCGCTTGCCCGGCCGGATGCGCTCGTCGGTCTGCCGCGAGTAGTCCCGGCCGCGGAGCACCCCGTGCAGATCGTAGTTCAGCGCCAGCGAGCGGAACAGTAGTTGCATGGCGTCGGGCTCGTAACACCGGCCCAGAATCATGTCTTGAGACACGTTCACCATTGCTCCCGAATGCAGGGAATACCACTCGCCGTACCCGCTCATCCCGACATAGTGGAATGCACTTACTACTTCGTCCGGGGATAACGGCTGGGGCGGTGGGGCGTCTGGACTAAGGGGCGAGGCGCGTTCACGGTTGTTAGTGTACACCTTGCCCTGGATACGCACCTGGTACGTCTCCGCCAGTTGTTTGGATCGCGCGTCGGCGTCACACTCCTTCAGCTCCAGACGGATTTCGTGGATGACCATAACGTCCATGACGGGTGGGGAAGTAGGCTCACCGGCGGCGTCCGGGTCATATCCACGTGGTTTCAGGCGGACAGCGTCACCGACTGCCAGGAGTTCCGCCCCGAGGAAGATCCCACGACAGTAGATCGCTGCATCGGGCCACGTGCCTTTGATGTGGTATTTCTCGAGCAAGCTGAACGAGGCCATCACGGTCATGGCATATTCGATGGACGGATGCAGTTTCTCCCGAGGGATCCCCTGTAAGAAATGCTCGTATGCAGCAAATGGCCTGATGCACTTCATGAAGACGTACTTGTGCTGTATAGAGTAGCCCTTGTCGTCGCTGTTGGGGTCCGGGAATGTCTCCACACGGAACCCCGAGTAATTCGGGCCCCATTTCTTGGGCGTCGTGCTGACGATATCTTGCAGGACGATGTCGTCCTCTGGAAGCTGACCGATGACGCCCACTCGCCAGTCGGGGGCTCCGTGCCATTGCTCGTTCTTGTAGATCTGGACCTGCCCTTCCTCATGGTTCCAGGCCAGTTTCCCTTGGTACTCGGGGGTCCAGAGCACCAGTTCCCCCGCGCGGGGCACAAACGACGGCAGCATGTCCAGCTTCTGCAGGTATTCCTTGAGTGGCGTCCGCTCGGCTCGCCAGTCCATGCTGAGTGGTTCCCTAATAGCCTCGTCCAGCTGGCCATTTACCCTGAGTTTAAGGACGGCCGTCTTGAACACGTCGGGCGTGCCTTCGCTGTCGGAAATATAGTTCATGCTGGACCCCGGCGGCCTGCCGGGGACTCTGCCGGAGGTGCGTAGGCCAGTGGCAGGTCGACCAGGGGTGCGGCCACTACCTGGAGGTCGACCTCGTCTGCCAGGGACACCTACAGGCTTGACAGGGGTGGAGTGTCCGGAAGGCGTCCCGAAGGGTCTCCCGCGAGGCCGACCAACCCCTCGTCTGATTGGAAGGCCATCTACGCAGCGAGTGAGTTAGATATTCGACGGGCAGCGTGAGCTTAAACCGACCTTGTTTGCGTTTGGCTAGCTTCTCACAGAGAACGCAAAGGCAGGGCTCCTTGCCTCGGCTCATCAGATGACAGAAATGTGGGAAGAACTGGATTGTAGAGTAGAAGTATTGTTGAAGGGGATGGCCATAGAGAAACCGATCTCGCTAAGATTCATGACGTCAGAGTCATTGGCAAGCACCTGGGGGTTCAACCTACGATATCAGGGTTCGTTCCACGCGGTCTATCGAAGATGGCATAGCCATCCGGTAACGTATCCAGAATGTAGTCCTTTCCTGCAGTCAGTCAGCATCTGTGAATTCGTATCATTGGTAACGGGATAAAAGGCACATGATCACAGTATAAAACAACAAGGCGGGAAAATCTACTCTATAGAAATCAAGTGCAAACGCGACATAGAATAGAACGTGACCACCATAAGCCGCAGCAAAGAACACCAAAGGAATAAAAGAAAGATACCAGTGGAACGAAACAAAACTGGGCCACAGATAAAGACAATGTATGAATACGAAAAAGGATGTCAAGCAGGCAACCAGGCGTAACACCGGCGAGAAGCAAAACAAGACAAGACAAGACAAGGCGGCAAGACAACCGAAACAAGCAAGCAGCAGCCCAGGAACTGAGCCAAGTACTGTACAACTCCTTCTTATCCATTCACCCACTTACTCACGCATGAACGTATGTGAACCAGAAAACAGAAACAGAGAAGATTAAAGACCGAACCTACCAGGTTTGTAAGTGCCCACCCTTTGCACCCACAGACTAGCGATCTTGCGCCGATAGTAGCTGTCATCGGGCTTGTCGAATTTATCCCCCGTGGGCCATGCAGCTCGATCCCCATCGCTGTATGTTCGGTCAATGGGGATCACAATTGCGCCCTTCCCCGCTTCCCCAGTATAATCACCTTCCATCACAATATCAGCCTCGGCCATACTGTGCTGGTCCAAACGGCGCCCTCTCGCGCCTCGCGGAATTCAGCGCTGACCGTGTATGGGGCCAGAATTTGGGGGAGAGGCGCGGGAAGTTCAGAATCGCTGGAAAACTACCCTTGAAACAGAAGCGCCAGCAGGCCACGGGGCATTTCTGAGGCTTAAAATGTCGGTGGGAATTATAGCAATTTTTGAGGAAATAGCCAGGGGACAGGAGATTGATCTAGTATACTTAGAGTCAAGTAAAACACGGGTGAGAAGGAAAGTTGGGAATTGTTCGAAAAATAATTTCTGGCTGGGAGCCTTTCGCATCACCGTGACTGGCGGTCATGTGATTTACGGGCCAATATATGAATAGATTAAGAGATAGAAGTCAGTGCAAGAGGTGGTGATTTGGCTAGAAGTATTTCTTCTCGGTCGGGAAACTAGCTTAAGATGGATCTATGTCATTCAAAAGGATCATAATGTTTACGCGACACAAGTTGAGATGTCTTTCTGCGGCTGCCGGCGGTGGGTATTGTGCACATCAACCACACTACTGACAGACTACGACACTCAAGCTTCTTGTTGGCCTTCTATGGCCTCGGGGCCTGTCTCGTAAGGTGGCGGAGCGAGCTCGCCCTCCTCCACCCAGACCTTGCGTAACTCATCCTCGATCTCCTCTCGACGTCGTTTCAAGTCTTCCACCTTGTCTAGCCGCTTGCGAATTTCTTGCAGCTCCTTCTCGACTCCCAACTTCTCCTTAGCCGTGCCGATTCTCTCCAACTCCCACTGCTCTCCCTCAGCGCCGATATTGATGGTCAAGCTGTAGGTGTGATACTTCTTCAGCGATGCACGCGTGGAGATCGTGATGACCGTGATCCCTCGCTCCTTCGCTCGATCATACAGCAACCCCTCCACGTCGGACGAGACTGCAGAGGTTCCCTCATCCAAGAATGCATACCGGGGTTCGTGGTAGTAGATACGGGCCATGGCCATGCGCTGTTTCTCGCCGCCGCTCAATACGTCTTTCCACTCCTTCCGAGCATCCCATCCACCCTCTCGCGAAGGCAGGTAGCCCAGATGCGCATCATCCAGCACTTTCTGCAGCGCAGCATCGGATACCCCGGCCTCGCGCATGTCGATCTCCGTGTGCGGGTAAATGACCTGGTCGCGCAGGGTTCCGACGCTGAGATACGGCCGTTGGGGCAGGAACATGATGCCGTCGAGCCCGAAGCCCCGGGGCCGACTGACCAAGCCACGGTACACCGGCCAGATCCCCGCGGTCACCCGAGCAATGGCAGACTTACCCACGCCATTGGGTCCAGAGATCAGAAGATGGTCTCCCGAGTGCACTACAAACGACAGCGACTCCAAAAGCTCGTCTCCACCGCGGGGATAGAGGGATGGCGCGACGATGGGAACTTGCTCAAGGCGCACCCCATCGAAGCCATTGTGAATGGTTCCCTGGACATCAGCCAAAGAGTAAAGTTCCGCGCCAGAGTCGCGTGGTGGGTAATATGCATTTGCATGAACCCGGTGGAGGGTGGAAATGAGGCTGTAAACTCTGGATGTGTATCCCGCCAATTCTGAGATGTCCTTGATGCTGTACATCATTCGGCCGCCCGCGTCCGCCAATGACAGCATCAAGCGTTTGTTGGTGATGAATTCTCTCATGCGGTCGCGCTCCCGACCGGTGCCTTCCGGCAGATCGAGCAACTCCAGGGCCCCGCCAGATCCGCCCCAGGCAGGTAGAAAGATGGGCAGAGAGGTGATGAGGTAACCGAATGCGGACCAGGCGTACTTGAGGATCACATCCTCGAGCATGTTATACCGAATCTTCAAGCTGTAAATACCTTCCATCCATCGCTGGAGGTCTTTGAAGCTTCTTGCCAGGAATACGCGTTCAATATCTGCGCCACCATAGAAGGCGATCTCTTCCGCGTTAGCAAGTAGTCTGGAATGCAGACTCCGGAAGTCTCCCTCTTTCTTCCCTTCTACCGCCTTCAACTTCCCGAACGGGGGCGAGAGCCGCCGAAGGACTGCTGCCGTGCTGAAATACCCAGTGAGGATTCCAGTGAGGGCCAAAGGTCCTAAGGAGCGATATAGCTGGTAATTGAACACAAACAGATCCACTAAGGGCTTGCCCATCGAGGAATACAGCGAGGCTGCTGCAGTACAGAACTGAGTGAGGTCCTGCGTGATAAATTGATCCGCCCCTTGGCCGATACTGCCGTCAAGGTTCATCAATTTGTAATAGTTGTTATCCTTGGTAAGATAGAGGTCATGGATGTACCGCGTCAGTCGAGTCCGGAAAGCAATAGACACCTTCGACTGGAGAAACTTGATCATGGCGTTGGTGTAAGATGCCAGGGTTCCGATGCCGCACCACTTCAGAATACCCCAGGCGAAGGCCCGGCCCTTACCGGCGACAAGATCCCGCACAATTTCACCATCGAGGCGTGCAATGAGCAGAGACAAATACGTCCGTAGGAGCAGGAAGACACCATGGCTCATCAGAAGACCGGTTTCCTTGCTACTCCACCTGGGCACCATGATGCTTCCAAGGCTCAGGAACTGGTGCAGGAAAGCGAGGTTTAAGCCTGGCTTCGTCATCGGCGGCGGCGTTTGGTTCGTAGACGCCCCGTCACCTGCGCGTGCCGCAGCGGGAGGGTTAAGGAACAGTCGTCGGTGCGCATCAAACGTCGTGGGTTTGGTCGGGTAGATCTTGACCTTGGAGGTCATGGATCCCTTGTAAGGTACGTATATAGTCCGGGTTCCATCCTTTCCTCTGATCCCAGAATTTCGACGGAGTAGCCGCCGTCCCCGTGCATGTTCTTTTGACCTTGCCCGAAACCAGTTATAGCCTCCGTAGCCAGAACCCAATATGGAGAGGATCAGGGCGATGGTGGCGATGATCTTGGCGGCTTTGGACGAGCGCTTTATCCGGGCTCGGGTGAGGTTTGCGTAGTAGTTGTACAGCACCACGAGAGGGTCCTCGCGATGCTGGAGCGTCGATTGAGCGGCCATGTTCGTTTCATGCGTAGGCCGCGGGATATTCGGGATGGTTTATGGTTGCCACGATCGCAAGACTGCCGATGCGGCAGTTGATACCCTTACGTTCGGGCGCCGAGGGCCATGAGGACTGATGGGTAGCGCTATAATCGCGACGCGGGGTGGGCAGACAAAGATGAGAGAGAGCTGTGATGTGATGTGGAAGGGAAGGAGGAGAAGGAATAGGTGACAACTCACACAACAAGTCACATTACATTCTCGCTACTTGTTGAAGCTGAAGGCGGAGTCTCGCGCATGTGAATGACCTCGGGCCAAACAACCCTGCGGAGAGGCGGAGACTCACGTGCGGAGTTTATCCTCATACTAAGTGATTTCTAGACTCTGACGTCGGTCGCTAGGACTCCGGCTTTCATTTATCCATCCCACATTCCATGGAGTCATAAGAATAGAATTGAGTATAGAAAATCATGCAGAGTGAATAGACTGGTCAAACATGAATACAATGAATTGCCCGACAATGTTTCTAGACCTTGTCATGTCTCTTGGCCAACTTATCGTTTGCTGATTATGGTAAACTCCCTCAACTATACATCCTCCGTCGCGCATATAGGTGTTGTTGCATTTTGAGCTCTCCCAAGTTTTATTGAGGCTGGCCGAGTAGATGGTGATAAGTCTTCAGAGGTTTGCTTCTGTTATCACTGCCGATCAATAAGATAGTCGAGTACGGAGCACAGAGTAGGGAGAGAAAGTACGGAGGCTTGACACGCAAAGGCCTGACGCCAAATCCAGCTGGCACGCCCACATCACGTTTTTGCAGTCGGGAGTTCGACCCGCCGCACGCCCGAGGATCGCCCTGTTTTGTTTCTCGAGCTCTCCCTTGCACTTCTCTTATCGTCCGTTAGCAGGATGACCTCTTTATTTCGTTCCCATCGACTATTCAAGGTAGCAGCCCAGCTTTCTTTGACAGTAACATTGGTCCAGCCCTTGTGACCCAGCACTTGCATGGATATTCACTCCTCCCACCTGGATGCCCGGCGTAAGCGCCCGCCTTCCCAAAGTGGATTGAGATCGCTGCAGCTAAGCCGGGGTTGAATTGCTCGAGGCACAATCTGAGGCTGTTAGCTCCTGCGTAATGATATGAACATTCCACCCTGGGCACTCAAGCGCTGTTGCCGTAGCCATGAGGTGCCCAATGCTGACTGTCAGATTGGAATACTGTAATTAAGACCTAGAAGGTAGTAATGTCGAAGGAAGTGCTCCGGAGGTTTACCGCAAGCCTGAGTGTCGGATCGATGGTAAAGCAACATGGGCACGTTCAGTGTTTTAAGCTTCGCCAACGGGCAGGCTGCCGTAGGTTGCAGTGGAAGCTCGAGTTAAACATTTCAAGAAGCACGAGGGGCCCCAATCGTCCGAGAGTTTAAGGCTAATGCCGATGTTGCGAGGTCCGTACATTCAGTACTTTGGTCGCGCATACAACCCTGTCAATAACAAGGTCCAAGGTGCTTTGTTGGATTGGTCTCGCTAGTTGACCGACTTACATACAACGACCTCAAGGTCTCTTCTTTGTATTGGGATCGTGTGTGATAACGGAAGTTGTCGAAGATGTGCATGGGGCATGGCCGTGATTACAATGGGCGCTTAAGAATTCATGTCAGCCCGGCGTCCAACCCCACGTTCGATATCGGGCGGTCACTGGAGCAGTTCGAACGCATCGCGCAAGCGCGAATGCGACACAGGGGAACTGGCCGGAATGGTCCGCCAATAATGACCAGTTGCATGGGCGTCTACGGCGATAATTTCGTTCCATGCGGGCTCTGATTGCCGAGACGCAGAGTAATACAGAGTACCGTACTTGGAGCGCAGGAGTAAGGTGCGGCATTACCTCGGGCAGACAGTAGGCATGCCGGCCAATTGTCCTGTATGCATGCAGGTAAGGTGTATGTATGTCTTGGTCTTGCTATCGTCGATGTCTAGCACTAGGTAGGTACTGTACGCTCCGATAGGGTTTGTTTATGTCTCGATCTTTTGCTGCATGGGAGGGAATCCATGATCGCATCCACGAATTCCCTCTTGGGACGGCCCGCACGGACCTGGGCCTGGGCTTAACCTGTTGTACGACTTCTGATTCGCAGGGTAGGTCGGAGACACATACTTACTCCGCCCCGAACGCATTGTGATAAGGTAGAGATGGCGGTTAATTATTGTGGGCCAAGGCCAACTAGTGGTCTTGGGACGCATGGATGAAGGCGGTTGTCGGTCGTTCGCATGCGAGAACTGAATGTGTCAATGACGGAGGCAGAGGCCAATGGCCGTAGGCAGGATCAGGATTCCACTGGAGAGCTGCACCCGGTCCAGTTGGAGATCGGGATACGAGCGAGCAAGTCGGTGGACCCGTAAGGCACATGGGTGTCTTGTTTGGAGCTGGCCTACCGGAGTCTGGCGGGATCCGTCCGGTGCAGGATCTTGAGAAACGACCTTGATTGAAGATTCCGTACCACCGATCAGTCAGTCCGATCGCCCATTGAGATAGTCTTGAAAATCGAAGCAAAGTATAGACGGGAGCAAGGTTCATCTGCTGCATGATTTCAAGTTTAATCATGAATGTCAGCCGGAAGTTCCAGTCGAGGTTCTAAGCCAAGGTTCTAAGTCGTGACAATTCGAGGGAAGGTAGAAGAGGGTTGTTACTCAGTAATGATCATGAGGGGCCAGCAGGTGCCGGAAATTGACCAGCAGCTCAATGAGATCATTGATACTGATCGATACCCCTGGATTTTCCCATTATGGTCATCTGCTGTGGAAACACCTTTCTCTCGAATGGGTCCCTGCGCGCTGGAACCCGGAATTCAGTGCGGATGATTGGTGCAAAGTTCAAACTAAAGTCGAGATGAAAGCATGCTGGGGAGGGCGCTGCTTATTCAAATCTTAGTTGAGTTGAGGGAGGGCAGATGTCATCCATGCAGTTGTTTAGCATGTCTTTTCATTTGAGCGAGGAATGAAATTGCGATGGCTCTACCTCCCACTTCCGCCCAAATTTCCCCCAGTGACCATTCAGCATCGTCGAGTCTGCAGCCCTGCATCTTTTGTTTCTCTGGTCCAGACCAATGTTACTGACCTTTTGAGCCCTCCGTCCTTTCTCCTTTTCACCTTCTTTACAAGTTGTATTCACAACCTAATGAGATCTTGCTTTCTTTCTGGGTTCTTTTTCTATTCTGTCATTCTAGACCATCATCGTAGACGCAGACAAGTACAGAACATTTTGGAATGCATCTTCACTCAGTATATGAATGGGCAAGTAACTGAGGAATTTGTTTAGATGGCGTCAACTGGCGTAATTATCCTCTTGTTGTTATGGCTCGCTATTATTATTGTTATTGTTATTAATTGCTTTTCCCCTCTCCCCTTCTCCGCAGTTCCTCCTCATCCGTCAGGGCTGCCCGTCTGTCTGTTTTGTCTTCCGATTCTTCCCCCTCGCCGTCTTCTTGTTCTTCTGGTCCCCTTTTCACTCTCCTTCACTCTCCTGGTCTCAAATCGGCTAGCCAATTTTAGGAGCTAAGGATACCAGGCTTGTCTAACAACTCTCCCAAGACGCAAGCACAGGTGCTCCTCTGCCTTTGTGCAACCTAGGATTACATTACCATTTCCTTCCCCTCTTTTCGTTTTTTTCCCTAACATATCGTAACAACGCCAATCTTGTCTTCTCTTTCTTCTGCCTGCTGCTGCCTGCCTGCCTGCCTGCCTGTCCAGCTCCAGTTTCAGTTCTTCGGCTAAGCGATTGAGCGATTGAACAGACCATCAACAGGCCACAGGAACCAGAACCAAGAAGACCTGATCGTCGACCGCCGATCCGAGGAAAGATCCAGGACAGCAGCAACCTCGCCTTTCCTTTATTGTTATTATTAAGCTTCATCCCCTCCCCATCCGTCAGCCCCAGTGCAACATTACCATCGTTGTACCCTAAGGAAGGGCCCGTTCCACCTCCATTACCCGTTCATTCCCTTTGATTTCCCCCCTTCCTCATAATTTTTATTCTTAATTCAATATTTTACGAGAAAGAGTTCGAGGAGCTGCATCCTGGCAGAGCCACGTGATCTCATCGCTGCACTCTCCCACGCCCGACCCTGCTTACCTGCTTGTCTATCTGGCTGTCAGCCTGTCCGCTTGTCCGCCTGTCCGCCTGTCCCTGCGAGCCTCCCCATTCCCCAGACGGCGAGATCGTGCCCGTCGCATATGATTGATTTTATACTTGTCTACAGTCTGATTTCCAGGATTTTTGGAGAAAGGCCTGAGCAGTGATTGGATTGCCCCCAAATTCCCCCATCCCCCCCATCTGCGACAAGTCTTTAGTGCTGTGCACTAGCCTCATTCGAGGCGGTGGTCCGCGACCCAGAGCTACCCAGTCCAAGCAAGCAACAGGCTTGACCTACTGACGACCGACCGATTACTTACTTTACTTTACTTCCATCCTCTCCATCCATTCCTCTCCCATCCCTCCTCCGCTAGATCCAGGAGGCGTGCCTGCTGCACCTTCACCTTCAACGAGCCCGGTCCGGTCCCTTTCCCTTCCACCCTCTCCTAGCCCCCTCTCCCTCTCCCTCCACTCCCTCCCCCCCCAAACCCACTCCCCTCTTCGGCGGATACCCTGGTGGTCCTTGTTCCGACGTTTGGTCCTCTTGCCACACCCACCTCCTTTTGATTTTTTCCCTTTCTTTCTTTATCGTCTTCCATCCCCGTGAACCTCGCCCTGCTACCCTCAATGCTCGGAGGGAGCTCGGAGCGAGATTCCTTACCATCTAACTCCACCGCGGCCACAGAAGACGCGTCCATGTCTATCGCAGCAGGCCAACCCGAGCCAAGTAAGCTTTCCACCCCCTTACTCTACAATGCGACCGGTCGCTTTCGAGCATCGCCACTGATACTCTCTTCCTTTAGATCCTGAGGCAGCGCCTCAGGGCCAGCCCGCTAATCCTAATGCCTCACCCCCGTCCTCCCATGTAGAAGCTACCGGTCCGGCCCAAGCATCAGTCGCATCTCCCCAGGACCAAGCGGGCGTTTCCACGGCTACCTCCCCCGATCCTCCGAAAAAGCATCACCTCCTTCACCCCATCTCGTCGCGTGCATCCTTGAAAGCCGACCGTCAGTCAACGTTGGACAAAAGCCAGGATACGGTCAACGATGACTCCGAGAACACTCTCCGCGGATCGAAACGAAGCATCCTGAAAGGGCGACGAGACAGGAGCAGAGGCAGTAGCATGCGATCACGTCGGCAAAATCAGGAGGGGGCAAGTATGGAGGAGGATAAGACAGCGACTTCCGATTTACGTGACACTTCCAAACCGGAAAGGAAGAGCAAGGTCACCTACAGGCTATTTGCGTTTCTCAGTTGCTGTTCGTCGTCCAACGATGACCCGGAAGAGGCAGCTATTCCCGCGAAGAGGACATCCAGACGGCCATCGGTACCCAACACTCAGCCAATCCCGGAAAAGGCGGATGCCAACACTGGAGACTCGAGCACGGGGGAATCTAAGGAGCCTTGCTACTATCGCGATGAGAAGGCGAACATGACCGTGACGGCGGATCAGTCAACGTCGCAGAAAGACGAGGAACGAACAGCTAAGCCCTCGGATCAGGGCTTGAAATCTGATGGCTTGGCGGCGTCGTCAGGTCAAGCTGAACTGGGTCCGGAGCCGACGCCGACCAAGGATAATTCTGAAGCTCGGGATCCGGATATCATCGTCGCAACTGTTGAGGGAGGCGCTGGTGTCCCAAAAGGCATCGAAAAGACCGAGGACAACTCTTTGCAACAGGAAAAGGAGAAGTCACCATTGCCGACAGAGCAGGCCCAGGCCCAGGATCTCACACCGGAGACCGATGAACTACCCCAATCCCCGCCCGAAAACGACACGACAGACGATCTCAAGTACGCTTCCCATGATGAAGAGGCTTCAACGCTAGCTCCTTCACTACCGCCCCCGCCGATGCCTCCGAGCGAGAAACACATAGAGACAGTGGACCCCGATGAGCATGGCCAGTTCCTCCTGCCTCCACCTTTACCCCACTTGCGAGACAGAAAATGCTTGGTGCTGGATCTGGATGAGACGCTAGTCCACAGCAGCTTCAAGGTACCCTCTTCTCTTTTCCAGCCAGTCAAAGTGCTAGTACTCACAGATTTTAGGTACTTGAACGGGCGGATTTTACCATACCTGTTGAGATTGAGGGACAGTACCACAACATTTACGTCATTAAACGACCCGGCGTCGATCAGTTCATGAAAAGAGTTGGGGAACTGTATGAAGTCGTTGTCTTCACCGCCTCTGTCTCCAAAGTGAGTTGTTCCGGTCCTCTCAATGGCATTTTATGGTACGGTCGCTGATTGAATTCTAGTATGGTGATCCTCTGTTGGATCAGTTGGACATTCACAACGTCGTCCACCACCGCTTGTTCAGAGATAGCTGCTACAACCACCAAGGCAATTATGTTAAGGTTCGCATTTCTCCTAGTATGAAATCCAACCGGACACTAACATTGTGCAGGACCTGTCTCAAGTCGGCCGTGACCTACGAGACACCATTATCATTGATAACTCTCCGACATCCTATATATTCCACCCTCAACATGCGATACCCATCAGCAGCTGGTTCTCTGACGCCCACGATAACGAGCTCCTAGATTTAATTCCCGTCCTCGAAGACCTTGCCGGGGCACAAGTGAAAGACGTCAGTCTTGTTCTTGACATTGCATTGTAATGCCTGTATATCTAGCTCGTCTGGCATCTGCATCACAGCACGAACACTTCGCTTCCCTTTGGATTGTACATTGTCTGTCCTCGGTATGCTTGACAGGGGGACTGGCTGGTTACGACGCTGTATCTCGTGGTCAAAAACAGGCCTCCTCCGACAAGCCCGTGGCTCGCGTCGTTCCAGAGCGGTGATGTATGTTTTGTTGACTTCCCATGCTTTCTGAATTACTGTGCTCTGCGCTCCCACCCCCGCGCACCGGTCTTATCTTTCCTAACTCTGCTTTTGCCCCCTTTTCTTCTCCTTTTTGTTTCTTTTTTTTTCCCTTACGCTCCAAGTGAGTAGATACCTGATTACCCCCTGTCATTGTTTTCTCTTAGTACCTAAAACTGTGTGTGTGTGTTTGCATTCTGCAGGCGTCCGTCTTGGTCATCAGCCAAAATTCTGCTGATCTCGTGTATACGCTCCCCGATTTACCCATTCTTTCACTCTTTCATCTGTCTCTTTTCCATCCTCTGCCCCTGTCTCGTCATTTGCACCCGAGCAGCCCTCGGAGGCTCGACTTACCGCTCTGGTTATCTTTTTCTTGTGTCTGAAGATGTGATTTCAAAACCCCGCAGCGCGTTTTGTTATTTTTCTACCACGATTTGCCTCGTTTTTTTGGAGACCTCGATAGTGGATGACATCTTGATACATGTCTCTCCATGCAAGTTCATGCTCTGGTACACGCATCCTATCTCATCGATCCAGGATTGACAAGCATCGGTGATTTTGCAGTGTATATGTACCATTGGCGTACGTCCTGTACATAGAAGCGTCGTCACTCCATCCCATCCTGTGTTTGAATAATTGAGAGATTAATATAGACTACGAGTTATGCGGCAAAGGTATTCCAGAGTAATTGCGCAGGAAATGAGGCTAGCTTGGTATGTGCAGGGTGTAGTCAGGCGGAGTTAAGACTGACCGCGGCTTGCGCTTACATTGACCGTGCTGCACTTTTTTGTCTTTGAACATCAAATTTGAAACACCGTTCTGCTATTCCAAAGACCTCTTCTCTAGACTCATAATTTATAGTTTCTAGTTTTAAGGTGGAGAGAAGAAACGAACTTCCGCCCCAACCATCGCATAGATTAGATTTTCCCCCTCCCTCCCTCCCCCGCCCGCGCGCTCGGCATCGTCATTCCTCCGACGGTCAATAAATCCATCGAACCCAAACCCAAACCCCACATCCGCCTCCGGAGTTAAACAGACTCACTCACGCAATACTCACACCACCACCACCACCACCACCTTTTTTACCAGAAATACACCAACAAACCCAACAAGATCACCATTCTACGCGTCCCCCGTCCTTCCAACCTACAACCACTCACACAACTTCAACCAACACAAGAATGAAAGACCGCCACGGCTGGGACGGGAAACTCCGCGTCGGCGGCACCGACCAACCCAAAGAAGCGATCATCACCAACCCCGAAGCTCTCGAAGATCCCGAGTACTCCGATTCGGATGCGCCGCCTGTCGAGGAGATCCAGGCTGATGAAGGTGCGCCATTTATCTATCCTACCTTTTCCAAAACATTTCTTCCGTCCGATACTTTTTCTTTTTTCCGAAGCACCAGCGCAAATCTGAGATGCTATGTTTTTTTTTTGTTTCGGAGGTTCTAATTCGGGATGGAATTTTGTTTGGGTTGATGGGTAGATTTGTTGGAAGATGAGGATGTGGATACTGAGGTTGGTTTTTTTTTTTTCCCCTTTGCTCTGCTCCGAGTCTCTTGGGGATGGGGTTGAAGGGCGATGCGCGAGCTGGAGCTGTTGCGCGCTGTTGGGTTGGCTATGGGGTTGGTACGGTATTCGTACTTTACGCAAAGGCTAACTGTTTCTCTTGCTTGGGGTAGGACATCGATCTGGTACATTGTCGGATAACTTCGCTTCCGGCGTTGAAGTTAGAGAGGTTTGAGAAGGTTAAGGTATGGTCTCTTTCCTTGCGGAATCCTCAGTGGTGAGAGGGAAGGGTTGGCTACGGGTATGGGAATGGGAATGGCATTTGAATGGGCTGCTGAAAACCCACAACTAACCGGCGCCTGCTTTCTATAATCAGAGACTATGTTTCCGCCAGAATCAGATCACGCGCATCGAATTTCCCACCAACGTCGCCAAGTCGCTGACCGAGCTCGACCTCTACGATAACCTGATCTCGCACATCAAAGGGCTGGACGAGTTTGAGAACCTGACGAGTCTGGATTTGAGCTTCAACAAGATTAAGCACATCAAGAACATCGCCCATCTGGTCAAGTTGACGGATCTGTACTTCGTGCAGAATAAGATCTCTAAGATCGAGGCCTTGGAGGGGTTGACGGTCCTCCGGAATCTGGAGCTGGGAGCGAATCGGATTCGGGTGGGTTTCTTTGAGTTTTGTTTTGTTGAAGAAAAGTTGGTGCGGAGGGGACTGAACACGGTTGCAGGAAATCGAGAATTTGGAGACCCTACAATCGTTGGAGGAATTGTGGTTGGGGAAGAATAAGATCACGGAGATGAAGGTATGTATGGCCTGCGCTGCGGCTGTTGCGTTGTTGCGATGTTGCGATGTGCGCGCGCGCGCGCGTGTGTGTGTGTCTGTGAACTCACAGTGGTTTTGCGAACAGAACCTCGACGCCCTCCAGAACCTCAAGATCCTGTCCATCCAATCGAACCGCCTGACCAGCATCACCGGCCTGTCCGCCCTCCAGAACCTCGAAGAACTCTACCTCTCGCACAACGCGATCACGGACCTCAGCGGTCTGGAATCCAACCTCGCGCTGCGGGTGCTGGACTTCTCCAACAACCAGGTCTCAAAACTGGAGCACCTGTCGCATCTGAAGAACCTGGAGGAGCTGTGGGCGTCGAACAACCAGCTGGCCAGCTTCGACGAGGTGGAGCGCGAGCTGCGCGACAAGGAGAACCTGAAGACGGTGTATTTCGAGGGCAATCCGCTGCAGATGCGGGCGCCGGCCTTGTATCGCAACAAGGTGCGGTTGGCGATCCCGCACATCATGCAGGTAGACGCAAGTAAGTTTTTTTTTTCTTGGGGGTTTTATATCGACCAAGAGCTAACTAACCCTCGTAGCATATCTGCGCGTTGAGTGATGGAATCGAACGAGGATGTGCAGTGTAAGGACGTCGAATAATATCCACGCCAAAAAAACTGGAATAGATAAATAATATTTACTTTACACTTGACTAAGAAGCAAGACTATGATATAAATGATCCAAGATCGCATACTCAGATACAAACCATCTCTCCCTCCTTCCTTCATATCATCCTATCTATCTAAACACCA